GGCAAAACAACCACTAAAATTAGAAAGTAATTTGTAATTTGAGTGGAAGTCACTCGGAAAAGTAGTTAAAGTAAACTACGAATTACTAGAATATAAATGTAATTAAAAGTTACTAAACTACCCAGAAAAGTAGTTAAACTACAGTAACTTGAGTAAAGTAGTTGAACTACGTACAAGTCTGGCCCAGCAGGCGCTCTGCGTAAGGGTTTTCACCTATCTGCCTAGCCCCGCACACCATCACATGGGCCAAGAAAGGTGTAGTTTTACTGCAGAGGAGAAATCAGCAGGGTCCAAGATGGTGACAATGGAGGATGGGGGACTGTTCCAGTGGCTGATGGCTTGAGAAAGGAATGACCAATTGAAAGCGTTAGTAGAGTCAGAAATGTGCTTGATGGTGCAGACGTTGTTGAGGCGAGAAGATGTTCGGTCGGGGGGTAATAACAAAGTGGTTTTGAGGTCGGGAATGTGGTAGTAGATTTTGTGAATAAAGCACAGCTGAGAGACTTTTCTGCGAAGCTGCAAAGAGGACATGGTTAGTTCAGTTTTTAGCGCTGAGACACTGAAAAAAAAGTCATAAGTGGATGAAATGAAGCGAGCAGCTCTGTTCTGAACTGCCTCTACAGGGTATTGATGAGGTACAGTCGATGGGTATTCCAGATGGTTGAAGCATATTCTATTTTTGGTCTGACGTACGTGTCCAAGGTTAGCTTACGAACAAAGGGTGGAGCCCTTTTTAAGTTACGTCTGCTTAGTCCAAGAGTTCCAGATGAATCGGCAGTAATGACTTCATGTGGTTATTTTAGGGAAGGTCAGATGTTAGTCTTACACCAAGGTATTTATACACAGTAGCGGTCTCAATCAGATCGGAGTACAAGTAATTAAATGACAGTGTTTGTTTTTTTTCTTGGTGAAGTGGATTAGTTTGCGTTTATACTTGTTTAATGACATAATCCACTCTTTGCACCAATTGTTAATTTTCTCTAGATCTTCCTGAAGCTGGTTATTATTTTGCACACAAGTTACTTTGTTATGGATGACGCAGTCGTCGGCGAAAAAGCGGTTTTTTGAAGAAATCCCAATGGGGATGTCATTAATAAATATTCAAAAGAGTAAGGGCCCAAGTACGAACCCCAGGGGAACACCAGGAGATACATTTCTTAAGGAAGATTCATGATCATCATGGACGTGACCTGTACACGGGAAAAAAGAAAGTCACGAATCTATGCAAACGGTTATTTGGTCGAGGCAAAAAGATGATAGCTTAGAAAGAAGGCGTTGATAAAAAACACGGCCGAACGCTTTGAAAAAAAAAAACAAAAAAAACTGCGTCAGTTTTTTTCATTTCAAGGTTCAAGGTTCAAGGTTAGTGTGCAAGTCATGGATGAAGTCGCAGAGTTGTGTTTCGCAGGAAAGTACAGTCTCCGGCGATATGAAAGACCCACTGGGAGCGCGTGGCCGAGGCGGTGGCTGGTGGGGGCGCTGCGAGCGCTCCGGGCAGTTCCATTCTGCTTCGAGGGGAGGACGCTCCTTCGGCACTCGGCACAAACTGATAAGCGCGTTTCGCTTTATCTGAGCCCGAGTGAGCGTCCTCCCCTCGAAGCAGAATGGAATTGCCCGGAGGGCTCGCAGCGCCCCCGCCAGCCACCGCCTCGGCCACGCGCTCCCAGTGGGTCTTTCATATTGCCGGAGAGTGTACCTTTTTGAAAACCGTGCTGCTGTTTAAAGAAAAGAAATGGGATGATAGGTGCCTCATGATACTGGAGTAGAGGATATGCTCAAGTAGTTTGCAAGAAATTGAAGTCAATGAATTAGGGCGATAATTAGATGCGGAAGAGCGGCTGCCCTGTTTAAAGACTGGGAATTACCCTTCCCACCTTTTGGTCAGATGGAAGGCACCTTTGAGATAAGGACTGAATAAAGATAAGTTTTAAATACTCACTCGAAATAACACTGGTGTTTCTTTTAAATTTTAGAGTTGATGCTATCGGTTCCAGCGGACGAAGTAAGTTTTAGTTTATCAATCAATGTTATAATACCGGCGGAGTTAACGTTAATAGGATGCATGCGCTCGTAAAGCTCTTCAGGGAGAGTGGGGACGGAGTCCAAGCACTCGTTAGTAAACACTGATGAAAAATATTCGTTAAACACAGAACTATCATGGCCGACGTTGCACATCCGACCATTCCTAACTCTCCCCATCTTCCTAAACGTCCGTGTGTGTCCGAACACCAGAAACCGGAATTTTAAAGGTTAAAAACGGCACGTTGCGAATATGGAACGCGCACTTTCATGCAAAGCTGACGTCAAGTGACTCAAATCGAAAAACATGCATATTTACAATATTGTTATCTCTTCTGGTGAAGGCTCAGCAACCGTTGCATCCGTTTTCGCGCACGAAACGGCGACTACCAGAGTAAGTAAGAACGCAGTGATTGCCTTTATTTTAACAATGTAAACACACTTGCAGGCGTGCGCTGATGAAGCCTCAAAATTAAAGCTCTCGTAGTGTGATCCGTGACTGTGCCGGCTACTACCCAACCTCGTTGTCACACCACTTTCTGCAAGCATACACCAAAATTACAAGTAAACACACAAAAGCGACATCGATACAATTATCTTCTAGAATATCACCTTATTTAGTCATAACTCTTTCAATAGGCACTACAAGTTGTATTTATTTTTAAGAAGAAGAAGCAAAATTTTTTTCGTGAGAAAAAACAAAATATCAATGTTAAGTCTGGTAACGTTGTAATTTTGCCGAATCATTGCCAAATCTTTAGAAAAGTTGGACAAAAGTTGCGCCGAATTTTCGATTTGGGGGGGGGGGGGGGGGGGGAGAGGGTCTGGTTTGCCCCCCCACTCAAAAACAAGTTGATACGCCACTGGGTAAGGCGCCCCTGCGCGATATTTCCGTCTCTTATCTAGCCCCAGCCTTGTGCCTGCTTTGGTACACTACTACGCTTTTCATGCGTACAAAGTATTGCTGAAAATGACTGATTTAGCGGTTTGCAATGACGCTGAGCAACTTTCTAATTGGAACCACATGTATAATTTCATTAATTAAAAAGTTAATTAACACATTTTAATTATTTAGCCGACTTATCGCAAAGATTGGCCACCTACATAATGTCCCCTGGCCCTACCTCACTCGCACAAACGTAGCTTTCATGTTTTTTTTTAACAAGTCTGTATAAAGAAGACACCCTTTATATATATATATATATATATATATATATATATATATATATATATATATATAAAAAAAAATTATATATATATATATAAAAAAATTGCGCCTAAGTGTAATATATATATGTAAACATTCGCCAACTTTTTATATATATATATATATATATATATATAAAAAGTTGGCGAATGTTTACATATATATATTACACTTAGGCGCAATTTTTTTATATCTTGGGGGTTAAACGTAGCGGATTAGACCAATTTGGTGAAATGGCACATCACTCAAATCACTACCATTCGCTGAAACATTAAATTATGACTGACATTAAACGGCATTGAAAATAAATGTCGTACAGCGTATCTTTTATGGCACCAATCTGCATGTCTACAACATGCTTAGTGAAAGTCCCAGCGGGTATAGAGCCTCCTTGTCCGTGTCTTAATGACCTGAAAAACGCGAATGCAGAACTTGCTGCGCGTTGCGGAAACAGTAACGCAGAAAAAATTGACAATAGGGATTAATTCGAAAGCATATGGTTTCCAATAAAATAATTTTTTTATTTCTGCGCAATAATTTCTACGTATGGCTTTTCTTTTTTTCATAGATTAGAACGATTTTTTAACATTTTGATTTGTGAGTATTTTTTTTAATAGATTAAAACGATTTTTTAACATTTTGATTTTGCGTAATTTTCACTTATTTTGTTTTACGTACATGCCTCGATGATACAATCACGGTTGATCTAAATTTATTTTAAAAAATCGGCGAAAAAGCTGTTTGTAAGCTGGATAGTGCGAATGCCCTATCGCGCCGCGGTGGATGATACGAACAGAAGCATCGACCTCAAAATAATAAAATCTCAATAAAAAAAGAATTAAAAAAAAGCCAGAGACGATGAGGTAAACAACATCCAGGCGCTTTCCGCCACTAAAACAACTGTAAAATTAGAAAAAAAAAGAGATGAATTTTGTTATTTAATTGTATTAGCTTTAAGCTGTGAACGCCCCCTTTGCGCAGCCGCGGTAGTCCCGGCCAGCCGCCGAGGCGTGAGAAATCGCGACTGCCACAGGGCCACAGAGCTACGGCTAGGCCGCTCCACTTCAGCGCTAGCCGACGCTTCAACCACATCTAAAGCTGGAATAACAAAATTGACCGATTCCGGAGGCAGTGCGATTCCGGCGGTGCTGCACCGCCTTCGGTAGCAAGTTTTTTAAACAGTCATTTGTTCTAACCGGGTGTGTACGCATACTGTATTACATTTTTGGAGCCCGTTTTTGATGATACGATTTTCGGACGATAAGATTCTACTTGGATATCTACTGGGGTCAGCGGCGTAGACTTTCCATTTTCCCGGGGGGGGGGGGGGGGGGGGGGGGGTGGCGTTACCTTCTCGCCAGAATTGGAGATTGAAGCTAACGAAAGCACGCTGGGATTCCATTTCCTATGTATTTTGTCAATAAAGGCAACGTGGGCGTTATTTTGTTTACATGCCACTACTAGAAGCTCGCTACATGGCACGAAAACAGCGTCTCGGTAAGGATCATGGCCCGGGCCCGAGGGGGGGGGGGGGTTTCTGCCTCCCCCCCCCCCCCCCGGATCTCACCAGGGGGGGGGGGGGCACGAACCCCGATGCCCCCCCCGTAGTCTACGCCTATGAATGGGGTATCTGTTCCAGCCTTTAACTAAGTCCAACAAGACCAGAAAATATTTTTGTTTCATATATCAGAGAATATGCACTTCACTGAAAATCTGTTATGAACACACAAAAATGCACCGACGAAAAAAAAGCAGGTGGGCAGCCTACACGACATAAATTTATTATAATATCTTTATTTTCATGCACTACGTGTATGTACAAAATTTTAATTTTAAAATCAGTTGCTCATTTCCTACAGGCCTTGTTTCCGCTTCATGTCTTTTATGGCTTCCTGAAACAAAATAAAAGGAATCCGTTGAAAGACACAGCTCGATTGCCTACTGCGTTATTTGCATAACAGTGTAGCTGGAAATGGGCAGGTTTCGCCCCACAACTCACAGGTATTCCCGTGAATCTTCTCAAAATCAAAACCAACAACTCGGTAACTGTAGCCATTTTTACCCCAGCACATACAGACATTAATCCCCCCCCCCCCCCCAGCATTCAAATCGGGTGCAAAAAGGGGGTGGGCTACCTTTGTTGTGCCACCCAAACAAAGCTGAGAATAAAGTAACCCATTTGGTTTCATGTTCATTCACACCTTCATCAGCTGCTCTAGATCATACTAGATTATTCTCACAGCCAAAGGAAGAACTTCATTCATTCAGTTACCTTCAAAGTTGTTAGACGAATAGACGCTAGTGCAGTCAAGATGCATATTATCCCAATGCCCAAATTGCACGAAACCAGATAATTCAACTTATAGGGGCAGACTGTCTTTTCAAGAGCAGGAACATAGACAGAAAACAGGGGTGGACCATCTCTTGGGGCACTACGGGAGAAACAAAGTCTAGTCAGCCACGGTCGGCGACAGGTAAGAGGGCAGTAGATGCTCTGCCTTCCAGCATACGCTCGCTGCCTTCTGTCGAGCTCTGGCTGCGCATGCGACGAAGTGTTATCAAAGGCAGAAAGTCAAAACACCTAGGAACACTTGTAGGGCCAGCCGATTATTTAGATAGCTGCTTTGTTTAAACTAAAATCATCACAAGGCAATTATGACAATAAAAAAACAACATTTTGACACATGTAATTATTTTTTACAGCCAGAAAACAGAAAAAGGAATTAAGAGACTCAATCAACCATCTTAATTTTACAAACGTTATACAACTTATCGTAAAAGTGGAAGGGTGGTCTTGCCACACAGAAGGGGTCTAATAAAGGTCAGACCTTACAGATGACTCACTATTTACATTCCAGAAACTTAGCCTTTCGCAGGAGCTTTGAGACTATTGCCTGATAATGACACTAGTACAGAGAAAACCAAAGAAGGCATTGAACATGTGAAGTGACATCAGTGGCCAGTTTGCAGAAGACCACTTGCCTCTAATCTTTTCGCCTTCTCCGTTGAGAACTGTTTGGCCTGTTCACCGGTCTGGCTTAGTCTCTCCACCAGTTTCCTCAGTAGACTCGATGTGGACATGAGTTCAAGGCTCTCCTGCCCTGCAGGCGAGGATTCGAAATCAAATTCAGCTTCAATGACAGCAGAAAGGAGAGGTAATCACACACATAACATCATAACATCAGGAAGCAGTGGCGTAGCCACGGGAGGGGCTTAGGGGCTTCAGCCTTCCCCCCCCCCCCCGGAATCCAACTGATCTTATAATACACACATGCATTTTGAACTGCCACCCCCCCAAATCATGGATATTCCAGAAATTCCTGGCTACACCACTGTTAGGAAACACGACTGCAAATCTTGGCCTATGGTTTGTGGCAAGCTCAACTCGGACTAGGTCCTAGCAAGGACCTCGATGGGGTTCTGCACATCTGGCTTTTGAATTTTTGTTTAAATTGCATGGCTACAAGTGTGGCTCTAATTTTCAGATCACCTTAAATTATAGGTATGAAAATTTAAGGCCCATCGAAAACCTTTTTAATAAATTCAGTATTGTGCCCCTAGAAAAATTTGCATCTTAGACCGCCTGATGGCTCTGACTCCAGCCTTACATTCCTGGGCACCTTCATTTGGATTCAGGCAGTTGGGTATGTTGGCATGTTTTACTTTTCTTCAAGTTATTGTATTTTATGGCACATACGTTACGAAAAACAGTGCTTCTTATTTAAAAGTGTGATATGTATAGTTTTAAAGAAATAAAATACCTAAGGAGCAAAGTAGAATGGCAGAGTTTTGACAACTGCCGTCGATGGCAAACTATCAGCGACAGACACTCAATAGTTTTTTTGGGCGACCTTTGTATAATATAGTCAAATGAGCATTCAAATAGCATTTATTATGTATTGCATAGAATTTTGTAAAAAGTCCCAAATATGTATCTGCGGACAATTTTGCTAAGAATGAAAAAACCCAATGCCTATGTCTGTGCCCAAAATTAAAAAAAAAAAAGACAATGTTGGTAGTAGCTGTTTCATAGCATATTTAGAAGCTCAGTCCTTCTATACCCTGTTTCGGTTTGCAATGAGAGCGCTTCTCGGCCCCGACGGCACCGCGCCCCGTGGAGAATTAGTGCAACCAACCTCTGCTGCACTGTCCTCGTGCAACGCAGCAGAGGCTAGTTGCACTATTTCTACACGGGGCGTGGTGCCGTCGGGACCGAGAGGCGCTCCGATTGGAAACCGAAACTTAAAAACCCGTTGAATTTGTGCGGTTTTTCAGAAAGCCGTAAAATGCTTCTATCATTCTGCAATTTGTTGATTTAGTATTTTTTGATGATGCTGAGCAATTTTCTAATTGAAACCATGCCCTTAAGCATAATATTAAAGAAGTTAATTACACAAAAAATAATTAACAATCTAATTATCCCGGACCTTAATAATTTTCCTAGATAGGCCCCTGGTCCAGGACCAAAATGACACAAGCCTTTTTTTTGTTGCGAAGTATAGTTTTCGCAATATCAAATTTGTCCATCTTTCGTGAAACACCCTGTATGTTACTCACAAGCTATGTGCTGAACTATCCAGAACACAATTTGTGGCTCAAATTCGTTTTCTTTCCGCTCGAAAACCGCCTCATCGAGAACTGGCCGGTTTGAGTCACGCTCAGTCTTTTCTCCGAGGTCACGTGCCATTCTTCAACACAACCATCAAATATAGTAAGTCGGGTGTCATCGAAAACACACTCAATATTAAAAACAGAAAAAAAAAACACAAAAAGATATATATTTTTCGTGGTTTCTAAAAAGCTGCAAATACGTTGATTTCAAGAAAGAAAAGTTGCACAGCCACATGACTTTTGGTAACTCTCTCCTCTATATTTGTTCGTCCTCCCCAGCCCAGTTTTGGTTTCGAAGAGTTGCGTTTTTTTATTAAAAATATATGTGGCGCTGTAGAAAAAACACTCAATGGATAATCCTCCGACACCATAAATTGCCTGGCAAAAAATCAATATCTTGGGTGTGTTGTGTCTCTTTAAAAGGGCAGCGCAAAAATTTTCAGACTTTAGCCAATTAACTGCGGAAATTAATCTGCATCACCTATGGAACGAAAAACCGAAAGCCGCATTTTCTCGCAAGTGCTAGTTCTTATTTAAAAAAAATGAAACAAATCGAAAGTCGAAGTGCCTCTCAACTCTCCACGCCGACTTTCGAATGACGTCTCTGGAGGTTCACATGGTTTCCCCTTGGGCCCTCTCTTCAGAGACCACAGCCGCTTCCTCCGCGATTGTCGACTTTCAAAGGATTAGCCTCGTCGAAGGTCGCGGCGAGCGATGGACACAAAGGACGGTTCGCCAGGGGGCTGACGGCGAGTGTAGCAGCGGAGGGGGACAGGGTTTGTTGACTTCCATGTATCCCGCAGAGATGCCGTAATTTTAGTTCCCGTAGCCGCCATCGGCGGCTGCAGATCGGCTAATAATTAGTTTTTTTCCTAGCGATTACGCAGCAGATTAACCGTTTCTTGGGGAAAGGTGACGCATTTTTGGTCACTTGGGCTTGTATGAACAATATAAAAAATGCCACTGGCAATTCTTTCAACATTACAACCGCTGCACCGCCCCTTTAACCTATATAAAATTTTAAAACATGTCATTTTCCATAATTAGTTTCTCGGTACAAACAAACAATAAAAAACTGCATTTATACCATAATACTTTAAAACTTCTATTTGGAAGAAAATCGGAAGTCATGGGCAAAATTGTTCGACACATGCTTGGGACCTTTTACAAAACTCTATGCCATAAATAATAAACATTATTTGAATGCTCGTTTGACTATATTATAAACAAATTAACTGAAAAGACTATTCAATGTATGTCAATAATTGCTTGCCATCGATCGTGAACCAAAGATGACAACAACCGTCAATACCCTGCCGTCCTTCATCACTCCTTCACGAATTCTATTTCTTTAAAACTGTACATATTTTAATTTTCAAATAAGAAGCTTTTTTTTTTAAAGTCTGCAACGTAGCATAAAATATTTTGAAGAATAAAAAAATACCAATGTACCCCACTGCCTGATTCTACATGAAATCGTCCTATAATACAAAATCACAGAATCGGTGGACAGTCATGAGAAATGGGAAGCCCCATGGCAGTCGGTTGTATGGGTTCCACTTGTTCAATCAACTTCTAGATAGCAGGGTTGGGCAGAAATACTCACAAAAGTATTTGGAAATACTGATAGTGAAATAGATTTATAAAGATGTATTGCGATATGTATCAGACATACATTTGAAAAAAAGATAAGTATTTTGAAATACAAATACAAGAACACAGATTGGTGGGGCTGAAATACAGACACTGAAATACATTGTTTAAAACATTATTTTGGATGGGTTGGTACACACCTTAGAGCATACAAAGAACAAAAAAGAAGCATGTTCTAAAATACAAGATTTTGTTTTCAAACCAGCAAGCGAGCTCTAACTGCATGTTGGAACCTGAAATAAGCTCGAATCAAATTTACCACAGAATTAACATCTTGTATTTTGGGAAGAAGCAAGCAAGTAGTAAGGTAGATAGTTGAGCTGCTTCTAATCATGTATAAGGGAAACAAGCGACATTTTCACTATAATGCAAATAAATGCAATGGTGCAAGCGAGCTGGACAAGAATGACGTGGCTGGAACACAGCTTTATTTCGGCATCTCTTATTTATCTTAGAAAAAATCCCAGGAAGATATAAATCGGTTTTCTGTCCTCCCAAATAAACTCAAGAGGTCACTATGATTATGTTCAATTCGGAAGCCTCTTTCAGCAGTGACCTTCAGCAGTGAATGTCACCGTGGAATGAAGTTCAAGGAACCCGTATCCTTTTATTTGTTAGCTGGGTACGCCGGTAGAGCCTTCAACTTTTGGAATTGACTGTAATAGTCGACCACCTAAAGTGCGGGAAAACATTTTGTTAGCCCTCGCACAATAAAGGAAGTCATGTGCGGTCAGAGACACAAAACGTCCCTGACAAAACTTGGTCTTAAGTCTTGACCCTCTGTGTGGAGGTCGACGATTCCTTTAACAATGTAACAAAATACATCGGCCCTAAAAGCACCGCGATACCAAGAATACACCCAAAAATGTATTTCGATAGAGAAATATAAATACATAATGTACTTCTGAAATACAATTGCGATACATTTGCGTTGCAATACTGCCCAACCCTGCTAGTAATACAGTACTACAATCACTTTTCACTTTATAAACATCATATAGTAAAAACATTATGCAATAATCAATTTGAAATGTATTGTGAAACTAGAACTCTTCCTGTATGAAATTATACGCAATGCTCCTACACTGTGCATACACAATTTGCATTCCTTAATGCTACTGATATACTGGTAGGTGGGCATGTGCAGCACCAACTTGTGGGCATAACAATTGGCGACTCATATTAAGCTGCATAACTGAAATGGAAAAAAGTGCCAGCCTTGCTTGTGCCAACTATGTTGCACAAAGCACATATCCAGTTGCAATATTCTTCTCATTGGAGCTTTTGTGCTAACCATTTGTCTTCTCATTCGAAGTATTAAATTTGCACATGCCCATTAAAGTGTTCATATCCAAACTACCATAGAAGCTGAAGCATAGTGAATGTTTCTTGTTTGATTGATTCGCTTGATTGCGTTTTTTATTTGTATTGATTCGTCACACTGTTCTGCACCTGACTACGCGGAGAGCAAGTCGTCTGCTTCTTGCGCAGGAGTTGCAGCGACGTCATGCCGCTGCCGAGGTCTAATTGGCTTTGATTGAAAGGACAGTGGGTAGACTTCAATGATTGATGCCCTGAGGTAGAGGTCTGCAAGTGTACAGGCCAGCCCGCGGGCTGGGTTCGGGCTTCATGGCTACATTCATAAAGGGCCCAGGCCGAGCACGGGCCTTGCATTGAAGTCTACAAGGCAAACAAAGACGGCAGTAATTTTTCTTCTTTTTAGCAGCAATTTTTTAAAATTTTTGGGGGGGATTTGGGGAAGGACTATAGTGGGGGAGACTCAAATGCTGAAAGCACGTGTGTGCAGGGGCAGATCCAAGGGGGGGTGACGGGGGCAGCCGCCCCTCACCCCCAAACAAAGTCGACCTCCCCCCTTCTCGGAGGGCAATTTGACATGGGTGGAACCCCAGTGCACACGAAAGAATGGGAGAATAGTATCCTTACAAATTCCCCCCCCCCCCCCCCCCCCCCAAAATGGAATTCTGGATCCACCCCTGTGTGTGTGTGTTTGAATATGTTTTTGTACGGTTCGGTGTGTGCACAGCGAATGCTTTTCCTGAGCACTAGCGTTGCAGCGTTCATTCTCATCACCTGCGCCGTCGCATAGTCGTTTTTCCTTATCAATACGCACACATACCCGTCTACACAATATGCACTTTTGCAGGTGTAAACCAATTGTACGTACGAGTGCAGGAATCCACTATATGGATGAAGAGGATCCCCTCAGGGGTGCTTTTCCTAAACAATTTCTCGCAGACCACCGCAACAGAGGGCACTTTTTTTTTAATATATTTTTTTCCTGGTTGTAAACAGCGGGAGAAGGTAATTTAGAACACTGCGCGTGTTCTGTCCGAACCCGTCACAATGTTTCTCTTTTCTTTCAACCTTGACAGACTGTTTTGTTTACTGCTGCTTCCCATCTTTATTTTTCCGTCCTTTCCAATACGCGAGTTTGGTCGCAAAAAAGGCCGATGGGGGCGATTTTTCTTAACGAGCTGCATAAACCCGCAGATTGGTCTGACTAATAACAGCAACAAAAATAAAGGATGCATACTCCCATGGCCATCGAGTACCGAAGTCAACGTGTGTGGCAGTGGCAAGTGAGCTGCCATGCCACACTATTTGCGAGCTATTCATATTGGGCGAAAATAGAGCGGGCCTCAGAGGGCCCGCGAAAATCAACGTCGGGCAGGGTCAGCTGTCAAAAATAAATAGCGGGCCGCGGGCGGGCCGGGCCCCTAAATATCGGCCGTGCAAACCTCCACCTTGAGGTCTACCCAATATTCTTTTTCAACCAGTCAATAAGAGCTTGGCATTCTGACATCAATGCAACCCCTGTGCAAGAAGCAGACAAACATCGAAGACTTCAGTCCCATTTATTCGCGTCCCCAGCGCATCTGAGGGACGCGAATGATTATCCTTTTTTTTTTTTTTACTAGTTGCGTACAATGCTGTCCAAGCCATGGACAGGGGAGAAAGGAAAGCCGCTTTTGTATGAATTTTGAGTCACAGGCTAATCTTCTAGAGGAACAAAGACCACGTTTGGGACGCACAGAAGAAAGTCTGGGTAAGAGAAGAGTTTTTCCTTCTCCAACTACTTAGGTTATGCTCTTGCCCCTGAACTTTTGGTAAGGGCTGTAAGGGCTGTCACGTGTTTCACCTCCATCGCACTGATTGGCTCGGGGAGCCGTAACTTCCGCTCTTCGCCAAGTTACAGTGAAACAAGGGTTTGCATTTTTTTTTTTTTTCGCTTGTTCTGCAGCAAGCGACGGAATAACCAGATGTCGCAGATAACCAAGTGCATCACTTTTTTCCAGTCACAGACTGACTGCGGTCTGTGCTAACCTCGTACCACACCATAACTGCACGCAATGGGTGAATGACGACAAGTAGTACAAGTCGCTCCTGTAGTTCCTGCACGACGCTGGACTGACTCCTTTCTTTGAACCCCCCCCCCCCCCCCCCCCGCGTCCCCCCATTATGCCGTGTAACACAATTTGCAAAAAAAAAAACAAAAAAACTCGTAGCGGAAGTGCCTTCCTTCCATCGTCTTGGCAACTCGATAGTCGAACCATCGGCAGCGGTGAGAGAGCACGGGGCAGACTTACCAAGCGATTTGCCGCGCAGGATAAGGCTGGCCGTAAGCTGAGCCGCTCGCCTGAACGGGTACGAATCCGCCAGCTGCGAAGATTTTGAGAAGCCGCGGCTTAGGTTAGGCGTTGGCAGTGCATGGCGTACAACGGCAAACCTCGCGCGCTGGGCTGTGGGGCAACGATTTGATAACCTAGTTGAGAGGTTTGAAAGTATCCTTCTTGGACAAAACAAAAATATTGCTCTCAAGGATATTGTTTCACTTGGAAAATCTGTCGAACAGCAGACACGTTTTTGTTTGTTTTTTTTTCTGGCAGAACGTTCTTCTGCCAAATGCTCTTTTAATGGCTACACACAAACATCCGTGTTGATCTAGTTTAGCGAGACTCGTTGCTGAGCTAGTTGGTGCATGCTGCTCAGGAAACGTGTAGGTGCTAACAGAACAGAGACGGACACAACGAAGAGGACACGGACAAGCGCTTGTCCCCTTCTGCGTGTCCGTCTCTGTTTGCACGTACACATTTCCTGATCACTCGTATTAATAGTAGAGAACTGCGCGAAACTATAGTTACACCAAAGCTAGGGAATCTGCATAGAGAGAATGACGATGCTCACCCTTTGAACAAGCTGTTCGTTGTGCAAAAGATACCTGCAAAAAAGGAGAGGTAGCCTTGCATCAGCAGCTTCGCGCGGAAAGATCGCTAAATTTCGCCAATGCCAAGCGAATTCTGTTAAGAACTCTTTTATAAGTACAATTGTGCCGCGGCTTACCGCAAAAGTATTCGCAGGACCATCGTACTTGTGACGGAATTCCTCGATTTCTTGACGTTGTTGTGCCGAATCGCTTGACTGCCGCTCAGCACATGTGGGCATCCATCTTGTTTATCAAAAAAAAGAAAAAGGAAATAGCCGAACGTAGCCGAGCATCTGGTAACGAGGATAAGCATCGTTCGCATCCTCGACCCCAGGTATCTCTCTGATCTCGTTCCCGAACCCGAAATAATCTGCTTGTGTGGAGTTCGCGGTGGAGTTGGACGTGTTTGACGACGGCCGTGCTCAATTGGTGTAAAATTCGTTTTCAGATGTACCAAACGATGAGTTGAGCCTTTTACCGTGGATACGTTTCTCCGCCGAGATGTCTCATACGACTTCTAAGGAACGGTCCTAGAACGGAAAACTGTACGTCGCACTTTTCGAACTGTACGGTCCGCAAAAATTGTCGGTCGCCTGGTCGTTCGACCTGGCTGGCAGTCCGGGCAGTTAAGAAGGGTCCCTGAAAGAGGTTGTGTTTTCAGGTGCGCGAAGCCTGCGGCCGACCATGTCTGAAGCCGGCTCCACGTTGATCGAAGGGGTGGGCGACGAAGTCGTCCTCTTCACGTCCATCTCGCTGACGTTCGCGGTACTGGCTGTCACGGCGCTCTACTTCCAGTACGCTTTCCAGTCTGGCCAGCGTCCACGGAGAGAGGTGGGCTCGCGACGAGTTCGTCCTTTTTGGGCGCCAGTTTGCATCTCTGACCTTGCAAAGTGCATCGAAACCGCGCGTTTGGGTTCAGCCCGAAAATACCGGTTATGCAATTCGTTCCACTGTTTCAGAATTGACTTCTTGAAGAAGAATATACGTATTTTTCTTTCATGCGTTCATCGCAAACCAGTTCATCGAAGCCTTGTGCGGAAGCCACCATCGACTGATCAATGCAAAACGAGAAGAATGAAATACAATATAAAGCGCGGTGGCACTCATTGATTTTAAACGAGGTGGCAAGCACCTTAGTGTACATGTGACAGCTCTGGAAATAAGCAGTTCTCCCTTACCAGATGAACGGACTCCTTCGATACACCCTTTCCTTATCTAACAAGGTGTCAAGCAGAGGCACAGCTCTCCTTTATGGAGCATTACAAGTTCATTTTTAATTTTTTTCTGCCACCTCGTACAAAAAGCTGTGGGATCAGATCCCACAGCTTTCTGTTTGTATAATGCCTTTTTTACAGTTCCAGCCTTTGCAGATTTCTCACATTCTCTGCACCCTAGCAACCTGCTTTATCTTAGTCCTTTAAGCAAGCATCTTTCATGGCGAACTGAGCGCCTCAGCTTTGGCACAAGTAATAGACCGATCTCTAAGTGTTCTACGCATGCGTGATGTTGCCATAACTGTAGTTCGCAAGAGATAGCTTGTGAGGTTTTGTACTCAGCTTGTGCAGACCTCCAACGGTGTTGTTACGCATGCAGAAAGACTATACAGGTCCTGTGATGGATGGCAATGGCAGTGGCTTACTCAAACTAGCTGGTGAGATCGGTCTATTGCGTTATAAATTGTAATTGGACTTCTCTCCGTTTCGACAGCAGCCATCGCCAACGCAGAACCGGCACCAGCGGAGCGACGGCCAAGTTGTTCCAAACCAGAATGGGAATAGTTCTTTGCCGACCCAAGCGACGCTTGCCCGAGCCTCCCCAGAGTCAACAAGAAGCGGGCCCGCAACGAGCAAACCGAACGGAGCTCCAAAATGTGCCGGCACATCGAGGTCGGCCACGGCAGACTGTGCCGTGGGCCAAACCACAAAAGAAGAGGCTGGGGATGTGGAAGAAGTGCCCGAGCACAGCGACGCCCTGCGCCAACGTCGCCTTGAGTTCTACGAGAGGCGCGAACGCTCCGAGAGCCTGGGCAGCAGTTCGGCCGACGAGGCGGAGAGGGTCCCTGAATTGCCGCCAGGGGATGCGAAGGTGGAGCCCGACGAGGAAGAGGTTCAAGAGGAGGACGGGGTCGCGATACGCCTCAAGTACCTGAACGACACAGAGCGCTGCGTGAGGGGCAGGCTCGACGAGACGGTCGGCGCTTTCAAAAGGTTGGTGGGAACGAGTGCCGTGCCTCGACGCTCGGTGAAATGTCTCGAACGTGTTCATGAAGGTTTAGGTCGACATCGAGCCTCGAAGGTGGGGCAAGACGACACACGTTTCAACTGGTAACAAACTAAAAGTGGTGTTGTCGTGTGTTCGTCTTGCCTGTTCCGATGCTTCGTCACAGTTTCAGCTGAGGATTTCATTTCGCTTCCTACACCAGTGCAGAAAGTGTAGCGTGGCATCATTCAGTTCAGTGGGCCCTTTCAGCCATTTGAGAGAGAATGTATGTCACAGCTTTTTACATTGTGTGCATGTTGGATACTTTCTCTATGTTAGTGAAATCGCAGATAAAGAGTGAAAATTTCTTCTCAAAACCGCCCCTAGAAGTTAAATATTTGACTAATTCATTTTACCACCCATTTATGGTGTGAATGGCTGTCAACCATGCATCCATCTTGAAGTATGCGGTAGAATTGGACACTACTATGCCTCTGCAGCTTATGTGCGCAGACCTGTTAGAAAGGCAAAACAATATAATACTACCATACATTACGGCACATTGTCTGTTCTGCAAACACTTGACCTTCCGACTCCGTCTCATGCGATCTGTTGCACAAGTGCAGGTTTCAATCAAGCGGTTGAATGCCAGTAGACCATCAGCTGTAAAATATGCTTGGATCAGCCCTCACAGACATGAACACCTTTGAAACCGATTGACACTGTCCCACAAGTGATTTGCAACAAAGTAAACAACAGACAATCACAGCACCAAATCACGTGTTTCAGGCTGCTGCATCCTACCTAGAACAATCCATTTTGCTTATATTACAGCTTTATTTGTCCGAGAAAATTTAAATTGGGCTTCTAGCATGGTTGCATTTCCAGCACCCATGCAGAGCAGTGCCTCATATCATTACGAGACTGCTATATACTGCACAACTTTACAATTTGGATACCTTCTTTTGCTAGCTTCAAGAGCATCGCATTTCACCAGAAAACTGAACTGTTTAACATGGTTTCCACGTGACATCCTCGCATTATATGCTGGTGATCATTGCGATTTGTTCTTGTTGAGAAAATAAAATCTGGTGGTGCGAAATGCACGCTGCAAAAGGTTTGCGCTCAGCTCATGCATTCAAGAGACAAAAAGTGTTGCTTGCTACAGCGTAGTGAGGAACGGCACAAGCGTCTGGCACCACAAAAACGTGCCTTCTGGCAGGAATGATTTTGCCAACATAGTAGTTTCTGGGATCACGCTGTCTGGTCTGTGTGCCAAAGATGCAGAGCAGAGGAACCTTTACAACAGAGTATGCTTTTAATCCCGGCCCCGTCCTTTTCTTTTACAGCGCAGCTCTTAGGTGTCCGTTTCCGGGTTTTGCTGTGTCGCCGTCGGCGGAACTGCCTTGCCAAATTTATCGGGTTAAGTTTCCCCGCTAGATTTAGCGGAAAAATTGACGCCATGTGACCTCAACACCAATTCAGTTTCCCCGCTAAATTTAGTGGAAAAATTTCCTTCTAAATTTAGCGGGAAACTGAATTGGTGTTGAGGTCACATGCCGTCTCTTTTCCCGCTAAATCTAGCGGAGAAACTGAATTTGTTCATGGGCCACATGACACAGTCAAGTGACTTCATTTTCACTGTTAAATTTAGCAGGAAAATTGATGTCGCGTGTGACCTCAACACTAATTCAATTTCCTGCTAAATTTAGAGGGGAACGTATGGAGGAGGAAGAGGAGGGGCATGGCCTCCCCTCCTTTTTCTCAACAGCTGCGCTCTAGTTTCACGTTACAGAGATTTGTAAATGACTCATTTTTTTCTATGCCCCTCCAGAGACTATTTTTCTATTCCTGAGGGACTCCCTCCTCCGTTTGGGGGTGTCATTTCGACAATTACATTTCTGTCATTTAACAGTAGTCATCCATTTCTTTTATTTTGCACCCAAAAGCTGTGAAGTTTCAACAAAGTACGGAAGTGGTCAAAGCTTGGGGAAGGACTTGAGAACAACACTCCTTGAGACTTTGAGCAGCAGCCAACGTTCGGCTGTCCCTCTGAGGCCACTAGGATCATTCTTTTCAGGTATCCCTCCCGTAGACAATTGGAGTTATATTTATCGTGGGGATCTTAAGTCACATGTAGTCCTTTCAATGCTCCTATTCTTGGGGACAACTTTTTCAGACAGTTCAGAAACAACTAAACATGTTGGGGTGCCTCAATGATGTGTACATGTAAAATGGGTCATGCAACTATTTTTGTATTTTCAGTAAATACCGTTTAAAGCTAATCCTTAATATTGATAACTTGCAAAAACACCCATTAGTTTTCCTCTCCGCTCAATGGCAGATGCAGAAAAACATAAAGGAAAGAAACAGCTTTCCCCTCCTCATCTCGCTATTAAAACAAGCGGTCATATGATCTGATGCTAATTATGTACCGTCAGTGCTCATTATAGTCATGCACTGGGGTTGGCAAAGAATAAAGTGGGGGTTGAGCTTTAGACATTGTTAGAGTTCGGCTATTCTCGTCTTTGATTGAACCCGAGCCATTACCCGAGTGTTTGGCGATGCTGATTGTCAAGAACCCGAGTATTCGACTCAGGCTCTAATAATCGAGTATGTCATGGTGTCACGTGACTCGCTGTGAGAAGTCGTGATGCCATGTGACGTAACAGTGTCAACAACGCCTAATGACCTCAATTTAAGTCGACTTGATGCAGTAAGTTACGTGACTACATCACAGGGCCACGTGACGTCTCATTATTTGACAGCATGTCTTGACACCATGATGCCACGCGACCATGTGACACATGATTAATCATAGTGCCAATACAAAAGTGCCACCGAAATTCACAATTTCTCATACATTGAAATTCGGTATGTGAAAATTTGATCTCCACATAGGAATACAGGTGCCAATTTTTATTTTTAAAACACTCATTTTGTTATAATAAAATAAAGAAATTATAATAAGAGAAATAATGAAAGAAAGAAAATGAGATCATGCCCATAAAGTAGGTGTACCACTATGTAGCACGAACACATTTCAACAATCTTTCATTCCCAAGACTTCTTTGTATTGGAACCACCTTTCCACCTACATCGCCATAATCCAGGCAGAGGATTTGTTCAAAAACTGCCGTTACTAATTTCTGTTGTTCACAACTAATGTGTTTTGCCTTTAAGTTATTCATTGTATACATTTTTTTTGTTGACCACAACACACTCCCCTCTGTAATGCCGTTGGCTCTGAGGGTATTGAAATAAATAAACTACAGGGAACCGTTTTGAACCGGTTACCATTATATTTTTTTCCGGTACAGTTTCAAGATAGCGGCGAAGATTTCGGTTCGGTTCAGTTCCGGTTCAGCTAAAAATAACGGTTTGGTTCTGGTTCGACACTCTGGTTTCGATCATGTACTTCCCCCCTCCTTTAATACCTTTGAGCAACTGGAACAAAAAAAAAAAAAAAAAAAAAGGCTCGAGGTACACCCAAGTTGTGAATTCGAAAGCATGCAAGCCGCTCGTCCGCTCCCTTATTTCGTCTACTGTGTACTTCTCGTCGCCTGTCAGCGCGCGCGCTCTCCTGGGCGCGCTGATCTTGGACGCTCCTTTCTAACGGCGCGCCGACGGACACGCAGCGCCATGGGGCGAGCGGTCGTTGAAACTGATGCGCAGCGGCCAATGGGAGCCGTGTCGACGCGCGCCAGCCAATAGGATTGAAGCCAAAATCCATCACCTGTACTCCGCTCCTTTGGGATCGGGAAATTTAGGTGCCGTTGTCAGGCTTTTCGCGTGGTTTCATAACTGAGAGCTGGCTTCACTTGGAGAAAGGATTTAAGGTGCTGTTTGGCACGGCTCGCTTTATAAGACAGTTAATACTTTTGCATTAATAGCCGAATCTTTTTATACCATTTGAAATACGGTGGAAACGGCGCAAATCGAGACGATAAAAGAGAATGTATACGACAAAGTGCTGTCCTGTCTGCTCTCTTCTTTCGTCCTCCTCTCTGTTCATGCCATTTATACCATGAATAGTCACCAACTCTCCCAACTTTCTATTTTACGGGAAATAAAAAACATGGACACGGAAAAGAGTGGCCCAACTGAGACGCCGATGCCACATTGTGTACTTACTGCAAGACATGAGCTCCCCAACTGAACTTCATTCCTCAAAGACCATACAATGACAGTGTGTTTGAGCAACATACTCGAAGGGGAAAAAGAAATATTGAAATGTAGTACTTGCTCGCCCCTGGCCAAAGTAGTAGCCCATGGCAAGGGCAGGCAGTAACCATGAATTTCGTGATGACTGACTATGGCACCCCAACGATTTAGGGAACGTTTGCTCTGTGAACGACTTCGTGGGTTGAACTCGCATTCACTAGGGTGCCCTTCACCTGACCTTTTGCAGGCGCCACTTCGCTCCGGAGCTGGCCGATCAGCGGTTGGTGCGCCTCATCTTCAACGGCGGTCAGCTCCGCGAGGACAGCGCGACCCTGTCCTCGTGCGGCCTGTGCGAGGGGTGTGTTGTGCATGTGCACATCTCCACGACGCCCGTGCCACCTGGGGACTCTCCATCCGCCAACGGTAACGAGGGCGACCTCAACCTGAGCGGCCTCATGTGGCCGCTCTTTGCGGCCATCTTGGGCATCCTCTGGGTGCTTCACTTTCAGTACCAGGAGCTCTTTAACACTTCCACCACTGTTGTGCTCGTGGGCATCTCTGGACTCTTTTGCGTCGGACTGTACGGACAGCACTACCCGCAGTCTCCTCCGCAGACTGATCAAGTGCGGCCGAATCCGCTGCCGACGCGATAGCAGACGACGCGGAGGTCTCTGGTGGATTCGGGACGGCTCAAGACGCCGCCGGAACAAAGCGCCTTCTTCTGTTCGGTGGCTGTTGGCACGTTTGGGTTCTTTTTCTCGGTCGCAAATGTGTCCAATGTTTTTCGTGCCGGTTGTGGGCCGTCGAGTCAAGCCTGCAAACGCTACTGTAGTAGATTTCGAGGAAGTGGTTGCAAGTGATCCAAACATCCGGCGCTTGATGTTTTGCAAGCTTCTTCGATCGTTGGACAGTACTGCAGAGAAATGCAAGCTTCTTCGATCGTTGGACAGTACTGCGGAGCTATGAAATTGAGGCACGTGGTTAGGACAGTAGCACGCTGGGAGGGTATGCGTGATCTGGACTGGATGCAGGTGCCGCGATTGAGCACTTTTGCTGGTGTTATATTTGTTAACGTTTACGGAATGTTTGGTACCGAATCACGAAGATTGTGCAGCAGCAACTGGTGGCTGGGTGATGCTTGCAATGGGTTTGCGTGCGATGGAATGCGTCGAGATAATGCTACGGAAAGCGCACAATTCCTCACTTTTGCCGTTCACGAGAGCAAATGCCAGCAATGGCATTGGTGATGGATACAAACTTTCTGTACGCCTGGCTGTCTATCCCCCCCGTCGGTTTGTTTCCTGCACCTTCTGTTTCACGCCGGTTTTCAGTTGTCGGCAGGAGCGCCTTGAGATTGCTGGTTATTGTGTTGCTACAAACATACCTGTAAAAGTTTTGTTGTGCATAAAAAGAAGGAAAGAAATCAGTCTGCTGTTTGTGGTGTACAAGATTGTTTCTGAAGTGCTGCAAATTGTACATGGTGGGCAGCACTGCCAATGCTTCAAGATTTAGTGCACTTTGAAGCTTTAAATAAAACCAAGCGTTCTTGGCACTTTGCAGAGATTGGATATGCACGATACAAGCTGAGGGCATGCCAGCACAGCTGGTACTCATGCCGAATGGAAGTCTACACTGAAGATTTCCAAGCCTAGGCCTTTGAATGTGCATCTGGTGGCATACCTGTCGGAACTGTTCTTATGAGACTACCAAAATTTCCTATACAAGCACTGGTCACAGGATGAATGGCAGAACATTCAGTCACTTCGAAACCAGTAATCTGCATGTAGGCAAATGAAAAAGCGCACTAAAATAATTTCCAAGTTCCTTCAGAGACCTAAAAGAGTCGAGACAACTAAATCAACCAAATATAAAAAGACATAATTTTGCTTTACCTCACTTTAGCCAAAAAAAGATTAAATTAAAAATATTAACATCCTTCTCTTTTGCACTCTTGCCTTCTTATGGGGTGTTCATTTGTTTTATTACATGCAACAAAGAAACCGGCTCCTGCACTTTTTTTTCTTCCTGTGTTTGAAAGTGCAAGGTAATACTTTTGAGTATTGGGCTCATTCGATTTACCTGCACCAGCTGCACTTGGTGCACACCGCCATATTCTGTTTGAGTGCAGCCTATCTGAAAACACAACCTCAAGTACACTGCTTTGCACTTTTCTGCACCGTGCCACAATTTTCTGCACCGGTGCAGGTAATCGAATAAGCCCTCTACACTTGAGATGTTTTAAAGGTGCCACATTCTTATATTAGAACTTAATTTGGACAAATTTGAAATATTCAGTGCAGTTTTTAAGTTTTAAGCAATTACCAAACATTCCTTTGGACACTAACACACTGAAGCCCACTTAATAAGCTGCTCCCCATTTTTGTTCTTGGCTACTTGCCTATCTTATCTGCAGTTGAGGGGGGACACTACCCAGAAAAACAATTTGTGCAAAAAAAGAGTCAATTTTGAAAAATGCCATATTTACATCCTTCAACATCTAGAGATTATTCCCAGAAAGTTTCATTAGTTTACACTGCATAGCTATCTTTTAATAAAATATTTTCCGTCCACCAATGGTAAAGAAAAGTAATGGGTTAGAGCACTTTGAACACATTTCTCTCCATTCCACTTTTTGCCATAAATTTCACTTTAGGAAAACTATCCTTTGTTAATGGGGCAAGAAGAAAGACCCTCTCATTGTTTTTCCTAACTTGGAATTTAATGGGCAATGCAACTGTAGAATTTTTTTTTTTTACTTTGAGGATGTCCGTTTTAAAAGATCAAATTTTGTCGACAACATAAAAGAAAAATTTAATTCGATTTTTCACTGCGATGTTAGCATAAAATAAATTGTTTTGGAAATTTTGTTTTCACTGTTGCACTTTCCAGGCATTCTGCTGCAGATCCAGAGTAGAAAAATGTTGGGTATTACATTAGTTTCCTAACGATAGTTTTCCTAAACAAAGTCGGTGTCCTCGTGATAAAAACGACTATAATTTGTTTTACAATTCATGTACAGATGAAACTTTGCACTGCATTCCATTCATATTAAAAAAAAAACCTGAAAAGAAAAAAAAATTTTAAGACTGGTTGGGACACGCAAATCAAGAAAGAAATTTTACGTGAAAATTTTATTTTTTTCTCTGGGCAATATTGACAGCGAGAGATTTATTTGAAATTCTGTGCGCAAAGTCTACGACGTCGTGGGTCATTCTGGAATGACCATCTCGGTCATGAAGGCGAAGCCAATCCACCTGTCCTCCACGTGGCCGAAATGCTGAGAGAGAAAACGGGAAAAGGAGGTAACTGCCAACTAGTGATGGGCTGAACTTTTGCCGAATCGAAAGTTTGGCGCCAAATTTTGGGATTCGGCAAAGCCTAACTTTTGCCGAACTTTTTTAAAGATTCGGCAAAAATACATTGTTATCAGACTAACGTCGATATTTATTATTTCTTTTTTATGGCAAAAAAAGGTTTTAGCTTGTATTTTTTTTAACTTAAATGCAACATGTAATGCATATTGGCACAGTTATTACTAAATAAGGTGATCTTTTACAAGATAATTGTGTCGGTGTTGTTTTTGTGTGTTAACTGGCAATTTTAGTGACTTCTTGCAGAAGTGGCGTGACGAGGTTGGGTAGTAGCAACGCTGGGTAGCAGCAAGCGCAGTACGCATCTCGAATCACGGTACGAGTGTTTTGGTTTGGAGGTCTCACCAGCGCAAGCCTGCAAGTGTGTGTGGTGTAAATACAAAGGCAATAACACTGCGTTTTCACTTTCTCTGGGAGTCGCCTATTCCTGCGCGAAAATGAATGCAACGGTTACTGAGCCTTCACCAGAAAAGATAATATTATTGTCAATATGCATGTTTTTCGATTTAAGTTAGATACTTGACGTCCCATATTCGCAATGTCTTGTTTTTAACCTTTAAAATGCTGGTTTCTGGTGTTAGGACACACACGGACGCTTAGGAAGGTGGGAAGAGTTAGGAATGTCAAATATGCAACGTCGAGCACAATAGTTCTGTGTTCAGTTTTATGTAGATGCATGATAACCGCGAAATAATGCTAATTAAAAAGCAGTATTCTGTTTTGGCACAAACTTCTTGTGAGCCAAAAACAGGATTGTTATAATTGCAAGGAGTAATTGTGAGTCAATGCTTCATCTACCTCGTTGCATCACTAAAAAGGTCAAATGAAAATCACGTTATCCAGAATGCACTGCATCATTTGTCACTTGTGCAGTGGACTGCATAAATTACTGGTCGATCTTCTGTTCTTGAGGCAGAAAATATTGAAGAGAACCATACTCGCACAGGCTCACAAACGCAGTTACCGTGTTGCCTACTCCCACACCTTGCCGTAACCGCTGGTTGTTCTACACTGTACGATGCGGCGTCCATTTGCAGTTCATGGCCCCGTTCCCGTGTCCTCGCGCGTGCGCAGGCATTTGCCGAATATTTTCCGAACTTTCCTTCAAAAGTTTGGCATATGCCAAATTTTGCCGAATCTGAAGTTCGGTCCATCACTACTGCCAACTAAATCGCATCTCGCGCCGTCAATATTGCTTAAAATTTTTTTTTTCCTCGTAAAATTAATTTTTTGACACGCGTGTCCCAACGAGACTGTTTAAAACAACCTTTTTTTTTTTTTTCTTTTCAGGGGTTCCAAAGTTGACCCTTTTGGGTAGTGTCCCCCTTCAACATAACATTCCCACTGAACTTTCAATGAAAATTGTGGTCGAGGGTGACTTTTTAAAGGTTAATATGTCTAACTATCAAACTACCTTGCTTATTATTCCTTCAGTAATGATAAGGCTCTTTAAAATGTGGAGACACTTGTAGCCCCAGCCTTGTTGGGGAGGGGGGGGGGGAAGCTGTGGGGAACGGTGGACCAGTAAAGTGGTTAATTGGGCTGATTGCTTAACAGTAAGACAACACAACGTGCTTGTGTAGTCCTGTGTTGCCTTACTTCATCTTGGTCCTTGTTGAACGGTGAATGTTATGTGCAAGAACATCCTTGTAGATGAGGCTCTCAAGTGGCACACTGAATTTCAACATTGACTTGTCTAAATACAAAGTATTATTAGACATTGCTTTTCAAACCACCGCCCTTACAACCCTGGGTGGAACTTATTTGCATGGGCTAGACCACGGTGGAAGAAAGAGATTTAGGTGATGACTTTGGCCGCTCTTCCTGCGGGGAGCGAGCGACCAGATCGTGTTCAGAGCTAGCCTTAAACCAGCAGTAGTTAGTTCCGCGCCACTCCGGAGTGCGCTAAGGTATGGAGTTCTTCCTCGGCGACCACGGTGTCGATGGCGTAGCGTGCTCGCCTTTTTTGCGGTGTGGTGGTGTGCGGCCAGTGGCTGACCTCGTGTTTTGCTTTGGTGCTGTGTCGATCACAGGCGCCACCATTGTGCACGAAGGTGAACCTTAACCCGAAGAAGAAGAAGGAAGAGAACACAGATTTACGGATTCTGGCGAGTTGGTGGCGGCGTGGCAGCGGTGAAATAAGAAGCAGTGAGCGAGGGAATGGCGGGACCACCGCTGGGAGAAACAACCAGAGCGGTCGGTTTGGGAGGGACCCCATACTTGGGCATCATCTATCCCCGTGCGAGTGAAGTGCGCTCGGTGCGCCGAGTATAATGTGGCCGCCGCGTCGGACAGAGAGTCATCACTTAAATGTGTTTTTTTTTTCACCGTGGGTACAACAGGAAGCGGTGAGCAAGGAAATGCGGGACCACCGCTGGGAAAAACAACCAGAGCGTTCGGTTTGGGAGGGCACCATCTATCCCCGTGCTTGGGCACCATCTATCCCCGTGCGAGTGAAGCGCTCGGTGCGCCGAACATAATGTGGCCGCCGCGTCAGACAGAGTCATCACCTAAATGTGTTTGTTTCATATGTGCTAGACCCAGGCAGAAATAGGAACAAGATCACAGACACACCTCCTTGCAATAAAGAAAAGGTTTTATAATCTCAAATTGCGTTGCCACTAGCAGTGCCAATGTGACAGTCTGCACATCATGCCCAAGAGATGGAAACCCGCTATGCAGTTTATCGTGACGCCGTTGGCGAAGCCTTCACATAGTCATATCTTATATTATATTCTACTGCCGTTCCTCGGAGAACATGGCACAAAGCAGAGAATACAACAAACGCCTTGCATGGTGTTCTTAATTATTGTGCAGTGTGACTGGAACTTGCAAGTAATAATTGCCTGCATAAAGGCAAAGAAAACCAACAACACTGGACTTTTTAGCAAGCGTAACCAAAGTGTTTGCCATTCCAAAACAGGCACTACAACTGGACGCTATGCACAGCCATCTTCAGATTGTCTGGTTTCCACCTTCTTTTTTTTGGCAAGATTCCATCCTCGGTGTGCTAATACTGCACGGCTCCTTTCTTGCTTTTTGACACGGCCCAACAAAAGTGCACGGGAGAAACAGCGTGCAACTAACAGCCTCGCAGAAAAGTAAAAAAAAAACACAAAACGACAACAAAACATTGAGACCCCAAACATATGGTTTATGCGGTGCAGGCAAAGCATTCTAAAAGTCGCGAGCCATCGCCCGACAAGCCAAAGTGCTCTCAAGTTGGAGCGGCGTACACTCGTGCGGTAACCATGTTTCTTTTTCCAAAAGTCGTTCCTTCCTGCCTACGCCTCTAATCCCCACCCCCTCAGTTCCTACTGTACGTATTGCACAGGATGCGGCTGCAACTATGGCTGCCGACGGCTTAAGAAACGCGGAGAGTGGTTGTGTCCCTACTTCTCACCTCGCATTTTGCTGCATTCCTGTCGGCCAGGGTAGGAGCCCACGCCCCACGTTTCTTAAGCAGTCAGTGACCACACCGCACCAACTCCCCAACAAGGGGCCTTGCAGCAGAGAGCAAAGCGTTGCCATGCCGCTCGAGCCCGCAGGTTGCACCACCTATCGGCCTACATGTACGACGGGGACTCCGGAAGGGGAAGCGTAAAAAGAGGTGCGTCTCCTTTCGGCACTGGTTTCGCTACAACCGACGGAGGGGGGCGGGCGTCTTCCACCGCTCGAGCCCGGAGAGAGAAAGGTGAATGTGGCAAGACGGCAACGAAAGAGAGATCCGCGCTGGAGAGGGAAAGGGCTTGCCACGGCCCTCCCTTCAGAGCCGCAGCTCCTTGTCGGCAGGCAGCGGCTCGAAGTACGAGTCCACCTTTTCTTCCGTGACCTCCGCGAGCGTTGCCGGGTTCCACTTGGGCTCGCCCGAGCGTTCGATGAGCACTGCAAGGCCACAACGCGGGCAAACCTTTATTTAGTTCCTACTTGAAAACTTGCCCCGCAAATCGAGGCTCTCGGCGAACGCATGACACGGGGTAGGGCGAACCGAGCCGTGGCTAGGATGTTAACGAGCAGACGTGTATGGACACTCAAAACTTCTCATCCCATCAGCCACTACAGTACAAACAAAAGAGTCGCTTTACATTGAGTAGCCTTCCCTCCTGGCATGAGTGCACTTTGGAGAAGTAACACCCGCACTAAGGGGGCACTGCCATAAACCGGGACTAGCTTAGGCTGCACGATTTCTGTGAAGTGTCGCTAGTGCTGCAGCATTTGTTCGTTCTACGGGTATACTGAACAATGAATTGCCTCAACTAGCCGTTTTCCCGTTGTCTGTACTTTTAAAAATAGGATCTACAAACAACCCAGATGCCTCCGACGCTATTTAATCTGTTGCCTTAAGCAAAAACTTGAGACTATGTTTTTGTTGGCTGAAAGGTATGTTCCATTTGGTCACCCTGGCAAGGGGACCTAAGTCATGGCATAAGAAAACAATCTTAAATGAGGCTTTTCCTTTTATTTTATATGATACTGTCATCACTAGCTTCACGGGGTTAGGACAGATAAAATAAAAAGGTAGATTATTCTTGAAATGAAATGCTGATGGGATACTTCACCTTTTGGGGTCATGTGACTTCCCCTCATTGGCCCCTCTGGTCATAATTAATTTATGCAAAAAATATCCAATCGACGAGGGACTGTGAATTGAACTCTTAAATTTGAAACCAGCAACATGTTCACTTGGAAACAACTCTGCATACTCCTGGATGCTTCGGGCATAGTTATGGAACGGCTAGAGGTACTTGCAGAGCATGTGGTACTTTTCGAAGTTGTCACCCGGGGTGCTGGCCAGAATGGCGAGTGTTTGTTTTGTAGTAAAAGGCTGTTTGGCACATTTGCCCTTTGGTTTTCCCGTTACTGCAGATAACACAGTTCTTGTGCTTCAATTTGAAACTCGACGTGAAACTGAGTTTCAAAATCTTGATCTACGTCCAAGTATCATGTCCACCTTGGAGAACAGATGCCATCTGTACATGACTCTTCCCTACTTTCGGTACTATCATCATCTAATGGTTCATCAGAAAGCACTTTGACACCTTTTTTAGGATCGTAGGTATCTGCTGAAATCACAATTGCTTCTACTTGATCCACTGAAAGCTTTTCCCTAAATTGTGGATGGAGCAGGCCCATTCCCAGGGGGGTCCCAAAAAACTTGCCTAGTAGTGTTGGGATCAATGATGACCTCGGCGTAAATGCGGCTAGTTTGTTATGGTGGGATATAAGCAATTGCTGCTGACTGGGAAGCACAGTCATCTTTGCTTCATTGTCCCTTGCCACCATAAGAAGCTTGGTAAGGGCACAACCTAAAAATAGCTATTTTTTAAAACTTTTCTTAATTGTACACCGAAATTTAGCCCACTCCATATTTTCAGCTGATTTTCTCTTGATGTTAGGCGGGCTATCTCTTGGGATTTTACGGTAATGGGCTAGGTCATGATGAATAACCTAAAATTTGGTCCTCCAACCAGAAAAAGATGGCACAATCAAAGGTTGGCACAACCAAAAAAATGTTTGCACAACCAGAAAACGTTGGCACAACCAAAAACAATGGCACAACCAAAAAACAATGGCAAAACCAGGAAATGTTGGCACAACCAGAAATTGTTGGCACAAGCGGAAAGGTTCACACAACCAAAAAGGCCATGCCAAAATGTTGAGCCAACCTTCCTGTCACAGCCTCTCTGTGCGGAGAAAAGGACCCACCTGCTCCGACGCCCTCGAAGAAGTCCGAGTCCTGCATGAAACGCTGCGACAGGCGGAACTCCATCTTCAGGGCGTCCTGAAGTGTGAGCGTGGAACCCTCCTGGAGCTCCCGGAAGGTCACCTTCATTGACAGGGGAGACTGAAAGGACACAAGACACAAGTGCAATATTGTAACTGCAATTCGAAAGAGCTGTTCTCCTAATATATTGTATACCTCCCCACACGATGCGAAAGAAGTTCATGGATAACTTTACCTCTTTCCTTACTACGCTTATAGGTCATTGATCACCCGTGAGTGATGAATTCCGCCCGGAACCAAAATTCAAATTTGGCACGCAGGAATACCAAGTGCCATCTTGTGGATAGCTGAAGAACTAGAGTTTTGGTTTCAACTTTGTTTTGCACTTTCTCCCAAACTGATGAGTCATCAGAAATGAACCCCTGCATGGCGGTGGGACTTGTCAAACGGTTTTGCTGGCATCTGGAATTGCTACGAAGACGGCTTCAACCGCGCAATTTATCTGCATTTCCTGCTTGTTCTTCTAACGATAATAGCAGCAACTAGAACTGCGGATGACTTTGGATCATATGACTTAAGCTCCGGCAGCGACCTTTCATCCCCAAGGCCCGGGATATTGACAGAGACTCGTTGCAGAGTGTCATTCTAAGTTTCCAGGATGTCCTGAGCCGGAGCACGTTTTATATGTGTCGCAAGTCATAAAACTGCAAAACAGGAAGCTACAAGCAGTGCAATAACCAACCCAAATCTCAAGATTGAAAAAAAAAAAAAAAAAAAAAAGAGTGTTCCGGAGGACATGCATTATTGTTTGCAAAAGCTTCTATGAATGGCACGGCACCAGGACAAGCTACAAGCAGTGCAATAACCAACCCAAATCTCAAGATTGAAGAAAAAAAAAAAAAAGGAGTGTTCCGGAGGACATGCATTATTGCTTGCAAAAGCTTTTCTGAATGGCACGGCACCACAGGAGCTAACTTGCTAATGCACAAAAAAAAAAAACACAATAGGCTAGAGCACTTTAACTTACAAAAGTTTTAAGTCAAATCTCGTTAATTCATACTCGAGGGTACCGAAAATTTGTTTGAATAAAGCAAAGTTTGAATTACCGGGAGTTTCCTCCCATAAAGATGCATAGGATGGGGCCTGCATGTTAGTTAGAATTATCCGCAAGTTTGAATTAACGAGATTCGATTGCGGTGGTGAATATGGGGCACACTGTGTATATTTAAGGTTTCTTAAATTTACGGTACGATTTGATATAGCTGCAAATGTTTCAACTTTCTGTACTAATGTTTAAAATTTAATTTTCTGTACTAATGTTTAACATTTATTTTCTGTACTAATGTTTAAAATTTATTTTCTGTACTTATGTTTAAATTTTTTTTCAATACATCATTAATTTTTTTTTTTTTAACAGCAGTTTATTGGTTACACTTTGGTGTGATCATGAGCCATATGCTAATTAGCTATTTAAAAAAGAAATGTTTTGTCATTCCCTAAAAACTAATACTTTTTCCCATGGTAAGGAAAGAGTCATTAAGATTTTTGCTTTGACATTCTCTCAATCCAATGCCGATTCAATGTCCCTTTCTACACTTGTGCAGACCGCAAGGTTGTCTGCTTTTTTTTTTGCAGGGGCTGTGGTGACAAAAGAGCACCAAGCTCCGATTGGCTCTGATTGAAGGATAGAGGGTAGACCAACCCCTGCAAAAAAAGCAGACAAACTTGCGCTCTGCACTGGTTTTGAGGAACACCCTCCCCATGGTCTCGACATTGAAGCAATAAACCAGTGCAGGCCTATAGACCATTTAAACAATGCAATGACTTCACAACTTCTGACTATTACATCCAATGTCAGAAAGAAACTGGGTGTGATATTCCACCGCAGCTCAGGTGTAAGGCTTTGTACGGCAATGAGAGGTGCTGTACAGAGCCCACACCACCAGATAGAAAGCTTAGCTTGTTGTAGCGTTCTCTTCGGCAGCCTACACAAGCCGCAGATATGAGCCGACGGCCGCCATGAAGAGGTCCCGCTCCAAATCTGCTCATTCAGCAGAAGAACAAAAATCTGCAACCTCATGGCAGCGACTTTCCGACGAGTGGGTTCTAATATTATGAAGCAGTTCAGAGAAGAAAAAAATGTCCCCCAATATTTAAATAAATGTGCAAGCTCTTTAGAGCCGTGTGAAATAAACTGCTGCACGATTGTTGCTTCCTGTCTTATTTACAGGCCCCCTAACCCCCACACACCAAAATGTTACTGGTTGCGACATTTTCCCAGGTCATACATTTTGTTTACTGCGGTCCCCTGAAAAATGTATTAGTAATGGGGTTGTTGCCATAATGTTCTTTATTTTGAATTCATAATTTATGTGAATCACACATAGCAAAAGTTTGAAAACGGGCATACACAATCTGACTGTTCAGTCTTTGTGAAAATTATAATTTGCAGAGTTGGAAAACTGATGTACTAGTATGCCATCGAGGTCATCATTGTGAACAACAATGAACGAGGCAGGCCCGTCTTTGGCGGCAAGGGTGACAGCACTTCGTTTAGCCACTCACCATCTTCTGGAGGACCTTCGCTTGTTCCTGTCCCCATTCAGAGGTGTCTTTGCTGAGATTTTCTATGATTGCTTCGACGCTGGGGGCGTTGAAGGCCGAGTTGATCCGACCCATGAACTTCTTGAGGCCAAACTCCTTGCGGAAGTCGGCTTCGCACTGCAATTTGAAAAACCTTGCAATGAGTCGGCCTTCCTTCCTAAATTTTTTATTAAGGAAAAAAAAAAAATGGCTGTAGTTTGCCATTGCTTTAGTTTCTTTCTATTCACAAACTTTTATAATATAGTAGGAAATTCAAAAAAGAGATTTTCCCATACAAAGAAAAAAGAGAGAATCTGATGAATTAATGAATAAGCTCACTTAATTTCAAAAACATATCCGCAAAAACACACAAAAAAAATACTGTAATAGTATGCTGAAAGATAGCCTACCTACCCCCCCCCCCCCCCCCCACCCCAAGGAAACCAGACTGGATGACAAAGGGTGGTGGGCTAACACTCAGTGTATTCAACGTGGGTCTTTCGACCCAAGTTCAATACTCTGAATGTTAGCCCACCACCCAACTAAAACACATCACAAGTGTAATATCATATGAAAAACAGACAAAAGCAAGCTTAATCATCCATAACCCCAGTTGTTGCAGGGGAAGTTAGCGCCGTCATCAAAACTAAGAATGCCTGTCCCACTACACAAATAGCCCGAATCCAGGCGACACGATTTCTAAGAATCAACAATTTTTTTGAGTTTTCCTTTTTTAAAGGTTATAAAACTAACCCTGGAAACAAGAAGGTTGGGGAACATCCTTCCAAAGTTGGACTATCGCTCATCTTTGAACCAAAAGAAAAGGAGCCAACTAACCTCTGGATGTAATCGGTGTACCAGAAATTTACATGTTTGGCGACCGAGCCTAAGAAAGCCCAGTGGAACCATAGGAACATCTTTCAAAGGGAATTTCAAATCTGCGCGGGATGCACTTTTGCTGCCGCTAAACTTGGCGCAAAGGTCACGGTCAAACTTGCTCCCAAGAAATGCAGCATTAATAGAAATGGGCCTGCTACAGTCCGTTGCAGGCTAAGGACGGCAAGACAAAGTTCCTCCCAGAAAATCCTCCAATCTTTCCAGGTCAGCGAGGCAAATGCTGGAGAGAAGGTAAGTGGAAAGGAGGAAACTGCAAACCATGGTGAGTGAAGAGCTTTGCGGGACAGGCTTGTCCTGCTCCTGGAACGGACTAAAGCTACTTCCATGCTAATTTTACCAGCTAAGCGTGAAACACTCAATTTAAGATGATGGTGCAAGAAGCACCACGGGTCGTGCACTTAGCAGTGAGGGCCGGCAAGAATCGCCATCGAATCCCGGTACTTCACCTGATCCTGGTGCTTCAGCAGGATCTTGTCAATGTCCGAGATGTTGGGACTCGCTAGGCGCATCAGGTCACCCTCCAGATTCTCGAGCTTCGAAAGAAACCAGCGGGCCGAGGAATATTATAGAATTCACGAGACCAGACACTTTCATATCAACAACAACTGTGCAATAAAAACGCACACAAAAAAGTCACCTTTGACAGGCATTTAATTTTTTATTTTGGGGGATTTATTGTATTGCAAAGTATCTAAAGCTATAAATGCCATCAAGGTGAAGAAGAGAACCTTGGTTTGGCTCAGTGAAGGGTAGCGGGAATATAGGGCTCAATGTTTATCCTTCGGTCACTGTCATAAAATTCATCATTCAATATCCTCAAAGAAAAGTGCATGATCGAACAGCTACAAGGTGTCACTTTTGATCAGGCTCACTCTTTTGGAAAGTAGCAAAGAATGCTCACACAATGCCTGTAACCTTAGCTGAGAACATATTTCGCCGGTGCTGCCGTTATATCGAAACTTTCATAAGTGGCTAAGAGTATATATAAAAAAAAGTGAGGTGAGCCATTCGCTTCCCATACACGGAACACAGTTTACAGCGGCCCACTCAACATTCCCAGCGTGTGTGCACAAGTACCAGATCCACGAAACGACAACCGTTACGCGGGGTTCTCGTCCTTTTTCTCATTTGTAAACTCTTCTGAGCTACCTTACCGAACTCAAGTATGATGTCAAAACCGCAAACAAACACTCCGACGGTTTTCGCATCGACGGCGGCAACAGCAAAGGTTCGAGGTTTTTCCCGAGACAGCGAGAGAGGACACCCACCCTCTGGGAGGAGGAGAAGTGCGTGGCAATGCGACCCTTGAGGACGTCCCAGCCGACCAGGCGGTACCCCGTCAGTCCCAGGAAGAGGCCCAACTTCCCCGGTAGCCTCGGAAGCACGTAGCTGCCCCCGACGTCCGGGAAGAAACCTGCACGTGTCCACGGATCGTCTCTCTTCTCTCGCGCGCAAAGGGCATAGAACGTGTTACGGCCGCTGGCGGGACGGAAACGTTGAGGCGTCTCTTTCGGACGAGAGCCTCTGGCACGTGCTCGTTGCAATGTGTTTTGGTTGCGCATGCGCGCAGGAAGTGTCACTGAAGGTAAGGAGCTCGTGCCGGAGGTGGGACAACCAAATGACCTCCCTATCGTTTTCACCCCGTCGGTGATTGACTATGACTGTCGGCTGCCACCGACAGTCGTAGGGACATCTATACGGAGTGCAAGTTCATCTGCTTCTTTTGCAGAGGTCGTGGTGATGTCAGAACACCGAGCTCCGATTGTAGGATAGCGGGTAGACCTCAAAGAAGGCTGCATCGAGGTCCACCGACCATCCTTCAATCACAGCCAGTCGGAGCTCGGCGTTCCGACGTCGTTACAATCGCTGTAAAAGAAGCGGACAAATTTGCGCTCTGCATAAGGGCAAAACGAGCGAAGGAAACTCAAAAAAATGCCAGGCTAATATTTTCTTGTGTTTGTTCGCATTCACACGTATCAACAAACCGTGGGTGGACATGCAAAAAAAAGAGAGACGCGCATTAATTCGCATTGACAACCCCGCCGTGCCAAAACAGAGGTGTCGGTGGGATGTAGCGCTCAACCACAACGTAACAAGGAGGGAGAAACTGTGGGGAGAGCCTCTGGGATTGAGAGCAAGAAAAAGGAGTGCAAGGACGCACCAATGGCAGTCTCCGGCATGGCAAAGACGGTCCGCTCGGTCGCCACCCGGAAAGTGCCGTGGACGGAAAGACCCACCCCCTGCAACCACATTTTCACCAGACACGTTTCACGAAAGGTCCAACCTACGACGGGCCAGAAAGTAAATTCGTCAGACGCACGACTGAAGAGATATAGTACACCAAAAAATGCCCAGCGTATAACCATAGAAAAATAAAAAAGAGGTGCCTGTTAGATTTGAAAGTGGACAAGCAGAAGGGGGTAATATGTGGTAGTTTTGAGCCTTCCCACAGGACAGTACAGCAGTCCGGTTGAACGCCCTGAGGCAGCTGCATTCCGTCCAGCTTTGCTGCCTCAAGCCGCCGCACATGCATAACGCTTTACCACTTTGACCGACAAAGCTCGGAGAAGCTGCTGATGCAGACGAGCATCTCGGTTAGCTCGGTGGGCTTGGAAATTTACTGCACTGGGTGCTTCGTACATCCACTGCTTATATTTTAGATGTTTTGAAGGCAGGCGCTCATTGCGACGTGGGCACACACACGGTACTTTATGGCGAGAGGTTGGTTAAGACAGTGTTGCAAAACCATTGCAGGCATGCTGCATTGTCAGAGATATGCAAATGCTATACAAGGGCCTTCACAGTGGATCTACGGGGTGCGGCTCTAAAAAGTAGTGCCTGTGACAAGTTTTGCAAAAGTTTTATGTATATTTTTTTAAAGCTCAAGTCGTAGCTGGTGAAGTCCTAAAAAAAGCAAAAACGATGGCCGTGCATTGCCCATGTTGTTTTAACACAATCATTCCAAAAACCAACGATTTTACCAAAAGATATGAACATGTAGTTTTATTTGGCATTTCGAAACAAGCAGACGTCTTCGGTTTAACAAAAATGTATCTTCAAGCAGACAAATGTTTATTTCAATTTTGTCGTCTGCTTCTTCGTTCGTTATTTCTACGTGCTGGGCCGGGATGTGCAATCGGGAAGTCTAATTTGTTGACTGCACATGCAGTGAACGTCTTCTTTTCTAAAGAAAATCGATATTCTTTAAAAAGCAAACACATTATATGATAAAAGTGCCTTGTATAGCAGTTTCAATGGAAAGCCCCAGCACATGCAGACCCTCAGCACCCTAATTCATTTTGTATAAACGATAAATGCAAGAACAAATGCGACTCACCCCTCCCATTGTAACACCATCCAAAAGAGCAACGTACGGAATCGTCAGGCTGGCTGAAAGTGAAAAAAAAAAAGAAGACGATTAGTACTTCAGTCTTTATGAGCTAGATGTAGCTGTATCCGACCAAAGTGATCTGAAAAAACTGTAACCTACACAAACCTTGAAAAAGGCTTTCCTTACACATTTATTGACACTTTCACTGTGCTTCAAAACGTAGCCACAATTCCCTCTAACCATGATGCTAAATCATTGAAACAGGCAATGACAAATCTGCAGGAAGTCTGCACTGGCAAAAAGAATACAGTGGTGTTCAGCAAAAGGAAAAATGGGACACAGTGACTGTTCCAAATCTTGCCCGAGTAACCTGTCACCTACGTCAGCGGGTGGTACCACATGACATTGCGAGTAAACGATCTGCGACTCAATTTTGGAAAGGCCGGGATTATCACCTGGATACTACGTAGATCGCCTTCGTCTTGGGCTACGGCAAAAAGAAAACATAGCAGCAATCGCGGAAAACAGCAGAAAATCGCTTTTGATCATGGAGGAAGCACTCAAAGAGACAATAATATTAACCACTGCGAAGCTTTTCTTTGACAGTGACGACACTGTGTTTTCAAAGGCGGCTTCACCGGCTCCACTTGCTCAGCCTCCTTTTGGAAGGTGAGCAAGAAGGTACCGAGGGGCAGTTTCCACCTCTCTGGTTGCCCATCAGGTCTTGAGACATCCAGCTAGGTGTTGGGCCTGCTCTTAGTTCTCGGTGAACCTGCCCTTCAGCTTGGGTCCCTGCCGAAAGTGGCCACGGCCCGGCCCTCACCGATGAGGTTGTTGAGGCGGTACTCCTCGCGGAAGAAGGCGTCCCGCAGGTTGGTGTCCTGGCCCTTGGTCTCGGCGATGGCCTTGACGTCCCCTCCGGAGCAGAATGCCTTGGAGTCCTTCTTGGCCTTGATGATCACCATCTTCATGTCTGGGTCCGTGTCCCATTTCTGCCCTCCCCGTTGGAGCGTTGCAGAGCAGAAAGCAAGCAGATTAAATCATGACAGGATTTTGCAGGATTCTCTGATGGCAGAACTTTGCTTGGGATGCGACAGGAATTATATAACAGTATTCAACAGCAAAAGAAAACAAAAACACGGACAATCACAGCAATGTTTTGGTGATGCGTTGGAAATTGCATGTTAGTAAGGGTTGCAAGAATTTCTTCTTTTTTCTTTTCTTTTACTAATTTTGATGTTTTATGCCATCATTAAATAATCTTCCTTGTTCCACCTCCAGTCAGCTATTCAAAACAGGCTATCACTGCTGAAAGATAAATTTTTTTTCTCTCGTAGGTTCTTGAAAAAAAAAAAAAGAAAAAAGCTTTTTGAATGCATTGAAGACATAATATATGTGGTGCTCGTTCACGGAAAAAACAGTAGAAGAAAATGAAAAAGCACGCTACATTTGCAACAACGAACGCACATGAATGAGAATCAGTACCTGTTCTATGCTTTACAAATGGGAAAAGTTTCTTATGAGCAGTAGTAAACACCAGTCTAAAAATATTGTTTCACAATCCCTCGGTGAGCAGCCACAGTTGCTTCATCTACTTTTGATGTGATGTTTAGTAGGTACCGTAGCTTCGCGTGTATTACCTGCCCCTGCATATAACCCGTACCCCCAGATTGCCACTCTCAGAAAAAGAACAAAAAATACCCCGCATATTACCCGCACTAGCCGCTCAAAGTGATGTCCGGACCTCACTAGAAACCATTTCTATATTTTAAATACACTTATCGCTGGCGCCTCGAATGTTGCAGATAGCGTCGTCAGCTGTGCAGGTGGTGCAGAACAGAAACTGTTCTGCACCACCTTGTATAGAAAAGTTGCGGTAGTGCTGGATTTCCGTAAATACCGCATGACCGCGACCTCTCCTTTTCTCTATGACCTTTGCGGGTGCTTTTCAAGCTCGGGGTAAAGGCGATTCACACACTTGCGTAGAGTCTGACCTAATGCAACTGCAATGGCTTGCAATGTACAAGTTGCCGTGGCAACAGCTGCGTCGGCTCTAACAATATGGGGTAAAAACCGGTTTTGTTGGAGCCGATGCAGCTGTTGCGATAGCAACCCGTACGTCACAAGCCGTTGCAGTTGCATTCGGTCAGACTCTACGCAAGTGTGTGAACTGCCCTTAATTATTTCTCAATTCTCGCACGCAAGACTGGTCAACGACATAACAATCATAGTCCCGGCCCACCACTTGGTTTCCAATCTCTTCGGCAACAGATTTGACGACGGCGTGGAGCTGCGATTGATGTCTAGCCCACAAAAAGAAAACAAAAATGGCTACCCGCAAAAAGGAAGAGAAGGTGGGAAAAATAATGTGTCTAGGAGAGACCGGAGAAGAGGGACTCTGGGGAATCTATCCCTACGACTATGCGCGCATCGCCATGAAATCGCACCGTCCACTGAAATTCACGTGTAACTCGTACCCCTACTTTGCCTTTGATTTTTTTATAAATTTTGATGCGGGTTGTATACGAGAAGATACATATATTATTTGCATAGTAAGAGTTGAATATCTGTGCTTCTTTTAGGGTTGTTATTCATTTGTTGTATACCACACAGAAGGCCATGGGCTATTTGTGAATGCATCAAAATCAAAATGATTATTATTAATATTAATAATTTAGAGGGTGAACAGTTATTAAATGAATGATGCCTCGAGAGTGTACCACAAAATGCAAAGCACCGCCTTCAATTGGGACTGAACTAAACATGGCTGCCAATTACTTGAGATTTAAACATGGGGAAAAGAACTCTAGGGTGAACTTCGAGTAGCACATTTACCATATATATATATATCTTTTTTTAATGAGAATATTACGGCATGGCATATTGAGATAAAAGATCTAATAGAACATCGAAAGATATAAAATTGACACATAAAAGTCTTTGGAAGCAAAGTTTATGTGATACAGTAATTGTTTGGAATGCTGCGCAAAGGTGAAGAGAGGAGCATTTCGGAAATGAACAGTACCTTGAGGGTTGGGTAGATCTGCCGAATCATGTCAAGAGAAAGGGCGTTCAGGGCCTTGGGTCTGTCCAGGATGATGACGCCTTTGTTGCCGACCTTCTCCACTATCACATCGCCGGTCTCAGATGACATGGCTCTCTGGGAAGCAAAAGACTGGTTCAATCAAACCATCTTCAAATTTAGGCCCAGCATGAACAACCAACTTGCCCAATCTGAAGTTCCAACAAACCATGCACTCATAAAAGAAGTGTCAAAGCAGTCCCACTACCATGAAATACCGAGCATCCGCCCATTCTACAAGCGCACACTACTCACTTTTGTAACATTAAAAAAATACACGAGACAAATCTTTACGTATTGTTGATCCAAGGATTATCTCCAAATTTTGAGTGGACGCTTGCTCGGGATTTTACGGCACATTCTAATAAACTAGTCTATGGTCGCTGACGGGCTGAGAAGGGTAGGGGGTCATTTTGTTGTACCACTTTCTGCGCAAGCTTTTTACCTTAGAGAAAATCTTGAAGCCTAATGAGCCTCAAGAGTGCGTCCTGGAATGCGAAGCACTGCGGAATGCAATGGGCACATGTTGGAGGCGTTGAAAAGCGATGCTCCGCCATTCTCATTCTGCTGGCGACTACTACAGCCGATAAGATATTACGCAGCATCTAGGTAGACGAGACTATCTGCTTGCTGCAGCTACTTTCCCAGAAGAAACTGACATGTGAACAATTAGAACCATTGGGAATATCTTCCTTGTTAGCCATTTTTGCAGTTAAATGTGTGTTGCTGCACTGACAAGGAAGCAGTCTCCCCCATCGCCCAAAAATCCCCCCCGAAACCACAGCAGCGCTTGTCATCTGGATCAGTGTCACCACCCCCTCGTCTTGAGGGTCCTTCCCGTCAACCAGAGTCGCACAGAATCACGATTTGTGACAACCACAACGGGGTTCCTGAAATTGCCTGGAACGTATCAGTTTGGCATGTATCAGTTAGAGTGCTGATCCCTATTGTGCAGTGTCTGAGAGATCAGCTGCCAAAAAAACTGTAATGGAAGCTGGTTGACAGCATGCAGTCAGCAGCATAGGAAAAAAAAATATAGTGAATGAAATAATTCTAATAAATAATGCACATATAGGAAGTAATCTATGCCTCGGACGACTTGACGGCATCTTTAATCGTGCCATATGTGAGGAAGCAGACTTCTCTATGATTGTGGCTCAATTTGCAATTAAGGACAAGGGAAAGAGCTACTTCCACCTTTCGTGAGAGCCACACTTTGCAGCGAGTATCCCAAGATGGTGCTTTTGAGCTCATTCTTGACCATCGTTCCTGAAGTTTGTACAAGAAGGGCTTTCCCCCTCTCCCATTAACAAGCACAAGGGAGGCCCAAGTTGAAAATTTCTAACCGGTTCCAGTTGAAAATAATTCGAAATCTTATTGTTTTCAGCAGGAAAACCAACTGGTTTCAATTGGTCCCAACTGGAAACCCAGCTGGTTCAAGCTAGTCTCAGTTGGAAATCAGTTAGTTGAAGTTGGAGGCCATTGATTCCACCCAGTAAGAGGCTGGCTGGTTCCAGATGGACACTAAGTGATTTCATCAGCAGATTAACTGGTTATTGTTGCAGCCCAACTGCTCCAGTTACTTGCCAAGCCACCTTTCTGTATCCCTCAAATTCAGGATTTTTGTTTTGTTCCAGATGAACAGCATATTTATCATGCACTTAATGGTGGATCAAATGCAGAAGTAATAGAAACTAAACCGTACAAAAAACTAGCTCTTTCCTTTTTTTTTTTTTTTTTTTTTATTTAAAGGAGTTTTTTTGCGTGTTCTGGGGCCTCACTAAATTGGTGACTCCCCATAACTGGGTCCACTTTATGTAGCGCTGCTATGCTGTTCCAAGTTTCAGTTCATTCAACGACCTCCAGAACTTGGGCAGTTTGGTATTCCATCGCTATAGCCACTGGCAGGATTAGAAAAGCAGAGAGGACCTTCAGTTGTCTTGCCTCCAGTGCAAGCTTCTAACCATTGACAACGTTTCCATGTCTTATCAACATTGCACGTGCAGCCAAATCACGGCGAAGGCAACAAGCTCGTGCCGGAGATCGCGAATCAGAGAGAGAGCTGCCCTGCAGCTCTCATCCAGTCAGTAACTATATAGTGATATAATTTTTTTCCCCCACGTGTGTCTATACCATTGATCTGTGCTCTATTCATAGGATTGTTGTGCTGCGTTATACTTGCGCACTCACATCAGCATAACATATTGCGATTTTATAGTTTTAATCGACAGACAAAGATGGGGGGGGGGGATTGTTTCGGCAAACATTCTCCTCGTGAATAACGAATAGAGAGCAGAAAACGCTGGATCTAATGGACGACTCCGGACAACACAGGGCAACTGTCAATAAGCACATTTTGGGTAAGCGAGCCATTTTTTTTGTCTGCAAGACATTCTGCCGCATGTTCTGCAAGCTTTCTTTGTGATCAGTGCGTAAGTGCTAAGCTATAACTGCAGTTTTCTTTTAACTGGTTATGTGTTTGGAAACGCGCGTGGGCTTCCACAGAAGTTGCAGCTTGCCCCGTCAGACGGGCTACTTTTGCTGCACGCCGAACTTGCGTGCCAACAGCCAAAGTCGTGAAACGAGATGTTATGAAGTTCTACCCAGTCTTGGGTAGTAACACGTTACTAGTAACGCATTACTGTAACTTTGTAACTGTAACGAGTTACTTTCTGAAAATGTAACTTGTGACTTTAGTTCTATTACTTTTTCTCAGGTAACTGTGAAAGTAACGACGTTACTTATTCATTACTTTCCAGTTTTTTATGATTAATATATGATTGAACAAGCACAATCTAGCCATTCCTTGCACTTTCCAAATAGTCTGTTCCGACGTTTTGAGTGTTAAGTTGGCCTTGCACAAACTTGTAAATGCGTTCTTTCTCGCGAGTCATGACCCGAATATAGACATGTGTAGATGTGATGAAAAAGAAATCTAGTTATGATTACGCATGCGCTTGTACTTTGTGACTGAACGCTTACATCTTAGTATCTTGAAACACTAACTATGTTGCAGCTGTTCTTTTTTTTTTTTTTTTTGCGCAAACGATTTTTAATTTGGTGAGTCAACCGTGAAATAACAATGCACACAGAGGGCATCGCGAATGTGTCGTATTTTGAGTATCGCCACTAATCCGCACTGCGCATGTATAGTATTTTGATTTGCACCACTACTCCGGCGTGGTGTTAGCAGTCGAGGCAAAATTTACTGCTGTTTGCGCGGGGTTTGCTCGTTGCTCTAGTTGCGCGGGGTCTGTTCAGTAAGGGCAGGGACGTGTTCGCCACCAAACGAGGCAAACTTTCAGACACTAATTTTGAGAAGCAACTGCTGCTAAGTTACAATATGAAGTAAAAAGCATACTTTTTAATTTTATGCAATAACACTTGGTGAGTGGCGTTTTCTAGTTTTTTCTAAATTGTTCGTGTTATAGAAAACTAACTGAAAAGTAACGTCATTACTTTTTAAAAGTAACTGTAACTGTAACGAGTTACCCTTTGTTGTGGTAACTGTAACGGTAACTTCGCTACTTTTTTTCTGAAAGTAACTGTAACTGTAATTACTTTTCAGAAGTAACTTACCCAAAGCTGGTTCTACCCTACCAGAATTGTAAATCATACAGCTCTTTTCCTGATTCTGCAATTTCGTCTTGCTTTAAAATGCTAACCTCTGCTGCAACAAACAATGCACCTGTTGTTTTGTGCTGACAATAATGTGGCTCCGACCAGCTTCTTGTTACTGCTCAACTGGATCCATTTGTGCATACTGTTAATGTATAGGGTGGCTACAGTGAACCTTATGCCGTAAAACGAGCCAGAGAAATCGGCACCTGCACATAGAAAGCTCAAACTTTCACCAAATGTGCACAGAGGTGGTCGGTTTAACTATGTGAAATTTCTAGGCGTAGTGTCATCTGCTTGTCATGACTCCAATCAGTAGACAGTACTACAAGTCACTGGCGTAGCCAGGGGGTGGCTTATGGCTTTCAGCCCCCCCCCCCCCCCCCCCCACTTTGAACCTTAAGTCATAGACTGGACATCCCGGCCGCCTCAGCCTTTCCACATAAACAAATCCTGGCTACACTACAGCAACAAGTTACATTCATTGCTAACTTAGTCGTCTGCGAACATATCCGCTAATGACTTCGGTAAGTTTGTTGTCCTCATTTTTACAGAAAAACTATGCCTTGAAATTTCAAAAGGTAAAGCCGACCACCTTAATGCATATTGGGTGTAAGTTCGAGCTTTCCATGAGCAGGTGGAGATTTTTCCGGCTCATTTTACGGCACAAGATACACTGTAGCAGCACAATATAGTTTGCTTCCTTCCTTCCAGAACACAGAAATCACCGAGAAGAGCCAAGCTTTGCGAGATGGCCACGTGAAAAGACATATCGAAGAAGCAATGTATTTGTGTTGCTTTAGACTGACTCATAATCACTCTTTAGCCTCCTTGTCCCACCCAGTTGCAACTGGATCAACTGTAACAGGGAACACGGGCAGTTAGCCAGTTCAATCAAACATGCAGTTGGATCCCAGTTGGAAACATTTTGAATCCTGCCGGAGATTGAGCTTCAAGAAATTTTTATTTACGGCTAATCAAATTTGATGCATTCCACTTCTCATTGCTGTGAGTATTTAAGCACGTTAGGCAACCAACTAACTGGGGGGAAAACATAAATAAACGGATATTATTTAATAAAGTTTAACACACCATAGAATGGACGTGTAACTTGGTCTGGCTCCTCAGGAATCTGCAACAGAACAAAAGGAAGCGCCTTATACTTAATTTTGTAGACGTCATTAGGGGATCGAAGTCAAGACCCGCTTCTAACGAGTCCTTGAAGGATCCCCAACGCTCGACACACGAGTCTGAGTCTCTCTAAAGACCGCAGCGACCATTTGCATCCGATTAGGAAGCACGTCTAAGCGCATACTCATCTCGTATTTCCACAGGCACCACACTACAGCTTGATCGTACTTCAACCGACCTTCGCTGAAATGCTTATCCAAGCGTTGCTAAAAAATAAACTTATCGCGTGGCTGCGTTGCAAGCGAAGCAGTGAACAGGCCATTTATTTTTTTTTTTATTATTTTTTTTTTAAATATTATTTTTAGTGTGAGTGCAGTACCAGCTTTTTTTTTTTGTTTCTCTCGCCTCGGTTGCAAGGTCAAACATTAAAAGAGTAACACTCACCTGCGATCTAATAATATCATTTTAATGCGCGAATTCGAGGGAGAAGGTTGCTCTACTATTTTTGTCTTTAGAAGGACAATTTTCGAACTGCGTTCGAGATATGCAAGTCGACACCGCGTCGAAATATCTCCACGCGGTTCGCATCGACTTGATCGCGGCGCTGCATCACAACTAACATTTACGCAGTGCGAACAAGAGATCGCAATGCTCCCTCAAATATCTAGTTTACAGTCAAGATACTCAGAGCAATGCAGAAAAAGTCTCGTACCTTTTGGCCAGCCCAAAAGTCGTCGTCCGCATCATTTCACGGAAAGTCATCCCGACTGCTTCTTGGTCCGAACCGCTTCCCGACGTTCCGAAACAGAGCGCTTCTGTGTAGCTCGTTTCGTGCGCACGTAAAAATGGATCACAGAATCAGAAACACACGCAGTACCGATGGATCTCCCCTGCTACGATCGTGGCTCACGAGCCCCAATCACGCCCATATGAGATTTATTTACAAATATAACCGCATATAACCTTTCTCCCACACGATACCTTCTCGCCACCGAACACACCTGGCAACGAGGATTTTTCAGTTATCTGATGACAGCGCCGCGTCGCGCCCGGTTTGGCGTTAGGTCTGGTTTCGGAATGCTTTTTTACCTTGAATTTCTGTCACGTAACTGAAATAAATCTCATATGCAGTAGTTTGCATTTTGTGTATAAACACAAAATACTCTAGGATTCCTGAAAAAACCCAACCAAAAAATAAGCTAAAACTTTTTTTTTATTAATCACGCTTTTCTTTTTCTTTTTTAATTATTTTTTACGATATTTGGAGTGCGCATGTCCGCCGCTCAGAAACCGTCGGTGGTAAAGCACTGGATAAATTTTATGTCGGTGGCGGCACTGATCTCGGTATGTGAACGGCGCGGGGGTCAAATGGTGTCAACCACGGGTCAACGGATCAGCGGCGGCGTGGCACCATAGTGGCACGGAGAGGGGGGGGGGGGGGGGGGGGGTAAATGAGAGTGAGGGTATGGTGCCTGGAACAGCTGGAACGCTCAGACTGGTGCGTTTACCAACGCAACTCAAGAAGGTACGGCGAGGGAAAGGAAGGCAGGGGAGGAGGAAGCTGACCGACCGAGCGCCGGGGAGGAGAGGGGGAGACCTCCTCTCTCCAGCGTTCCGTCTGCTTCCTCCTCACCGGGCTTCCTTTCCCTCGCCCTCACTTCTCGAGTTGCGTGACCAAAAACTCCACGCTCGCACCGCAACCACGCGCCACACGTGCCGGCGTCTGCAGCAGTAACTGTTCGAAAGCAAAAGTCTAAAACAAATAAACAAATGGCATCTACCTTGCAGGCGCGTTCCTCAACCAGTTATTTGGGTTATTTACTTCTAATCTTTTATACGGGAAGGCGTGCGCGTGCGGCGCATGGAACACCATTCCCTGCATTCTCCTTGAAGCTTGGGTAATTTGGGTGGGGGTACCCTCACGCGTGTATACCTTCTGCCGGGTGGCGATCCCGTCGCGCGTCTAGTTTCCTCCAGGGCGGCGATAGTCGTCCATGGGAATGTACATAAAAAAACAGAAAGACAAGTTGCCGGTCTCCATTTTCAATTTCACTTCTCTTGTGGAGAGGCTGCGTACAGTCTGGACTCCTGAAAAGCAACACGCCTACGAAGAGCAACAGTGGGAACGGCAACAAAAACGTCAATGGCGGCGGGAGTCGGCACGTGTATGTGCGTACCTTTCGTCACAATGACCACCGATCAAGACAATAAATCTGTTCGTACCTTTGTTCAAACTTCTGTATCACGTCTGTGTCATGCTAAACAGCTACGCTGGTCATCCAACTTCACAAAGTGGAATGGCTCCCAATTTTTTTTGTACCGCTGTACAATTAGGCAAAGCATTCTTCTGGTCCTGAGGTGTGCAGACAGTAATGACAATGGAGGGAGAGGCCAAAGCAACGAAAAGCTCTACACTCCGAGGTTGCCTGCTGATCAGGTGCTCTTGTGCAGTGTGAACACTGCTCAAGACAATATGCACATATTTGTGTTTATGAGCTCGCTCGCACGCATAGTGAACATACTGCTTTCGGCACGAGGCTTCCACCTTCAGTGATTTTCTGGCATCGCACGAGCGTTAAACACGATCCTGCATGCTTGTAGCTCATATTGGAACACATTGCGAAGATTATGTAGGCTTGGCTATGCTATCAAGATGTAAACACGGGCTGTCCGATACACTAATTTGTAAAGGACTACATGAAATTATCTAAATCAAATAATTTCATCAGCTAAAAAAAAAAAGTGTTGTTTGTATGTTTAGACAGCCTTGATGCTAGTATGCCTGAACGGGCGACGTGCTTTTCAGCTGTAGACGAGAAATTTAGCCCGTGTAGTCCAACCATTAACTTGGGGTCTTTAACATGCACCACACAGTAGTGATTAGTTAAACGCGTGCCGGTATGAAACTCATCCAGATCGAAACGGGCAGGGGGTGGGGATCGAACCCAGGAGGTTCTGCAGCGCAAGCTTTCGCACCACACTCCGAGCCGAGATGCCTTAGCCCACTTGGCGACCGATCCCCCTCCCATCAGCTGACTTACCATAGTGCCGCCTAATGTAAACATGCATGCGTACTCTTGAACTGGAGCACAAGATTGCAGTGTTTTTTCTGGTCCATGTCATGGATAGCTTGGGTCTCGCCGACGCACGACGGAATGACCGAGAACCTTGACGGCAACCCTCTTTGGAGAGAGCGCCCAAAAGCCTCTGCGACGTCTATAGTAACTGCCTTAATCTGTGTGCGTGTGTTGTGTGAAGAAGCAGCTTAGGCATATATAGGGTATATACTTTCCGGTGTTTATTTATGACAAAAATCGGTGGCTGTTTATCGGCGTTTATTTATTTCACCAATATCGGTGCTTTTCGGTGAATTCTGTCACGCAGACACTAAAACGGTGATTTTTGGGGGAAAAAATTGCGAATGTAAACTACAACTGAAGACGAAAAAGAGAACAAATTTTATTTATATCTTTTACACAATCTCTCACACTTGATTAGTGTAGTATATAAATGCACACATTCCTGGGCTCATGTGTCACTCACGCCCGCTCCCTCCTGTTAACGACGCGCAATTTCGAGAATGCCCGCTCAACATTTGCGCTGGACATGGGAAGCCCCAAAAAGTCCAACGAGGCTTGGGACAGTACTGCAGACAGCTATGACTGGCCTCTCAGGCCACTGATAGTGATCTAGCTCGGCGGCCCAGGAGGCCCACTGACCTTGGAGAACAGTGGGACAAAGCTACTGTCTTCCAAGAGTCCAAGACCCTGTAGGTCACAAAGTCACAAAAGAAAGACAGGCAAAGTGCATGATTCCGGGTAAGATAATGTGTTCGACGCTAGTTTGCGTAAAAAACTTTTCAGTGAAAAAACCACATTGCTAGAAAAAAATATATTTAGAAACCAGTGTTTGTTTGTTTTAAACAATTTTTATTTCCGTCACCGGTGAATGTTTATTGATGTTTTTCGGTTAAAATTAGGAAGTATGCAGGACATTTTCGGTGAAAGAAACCAGCACTTGCTATAAAATATGAAAAAAAAAAAACCGGTGTTTTTTGGTTTTAGCAGATTTTGTATATCCGACACCGGCGGATGTTTATCGTTTTTTTTTGGTTAAAACCGGAAAGTATACAGCCTAGGTATATATCTACATTCTCTGTATATTAAGACATATATTTCATCACTTGCTTTTTAGAGCGCAGCTCTTAGGCGCCCGTTTCCAGCTTCAGCGGCGTCGCCGTCGGCATAACAGAATGTATTATGGGAAATGTCCCATAATGCACCGCGTGGGACCCTCGTGACGCCACTCGTGATGTCACTTCATCGTGCGGGACCCTCGTGATGTCACACGTGATGTCACGAGGGTCCTGCGTGGTGCATTACGGGACATTCCCCATGACATACCACACAAATAGGAGGAGGAGGGGGAGGAGGGGCAGGAGGGAGGAAGAGGAGAAGGGATGAGGAGGAGGAGGTGAAGGAGAAGGAAGAGGAGGGAGGTGTAGCAGGGAGGATGATGAGATGAGGAGGGAGGAGGGGTATACTTTCTCCTTAGTACCCTTACCCCCTCCTCCTCAAGAGCTGCGCTCTAATTCGGCGTTACAGGGTGTTGTAAACGTCTTTCATTTTTACAGCGCAGCTCTTAGGAGCCCGTTTCCGGCTTGAGCGGCATCGCCGTCGGCGTAACCTTGCGGTGCATCATCGGAAATGTCCCATAATGCACCGCGTGAGGCCCCCCCGGGTCACATGACCCCCCCCCCCCTTCCGAGGACGTCGTCACTGATGACGTCATCAGTTACGTCACCGGCATCCGCATCGTCATCATCACTGATGAAGTCATCGGTATCCGCAATCCGCATCGTCATCGTCACTGATGACGTCATCGGCATCGTCCCGTGACCCCCCCCCCCCCCCCCCCCCTTGAGGTCGCTTGACCCACCCCCCCAGTACCCTTCCCTCCTCCTCCTCCTCAAAAGCTGCACTCTAATTCGGCGTTACAGGGAGTTGTAAACGGCTTTCACTTTTTTCTACCCAATTCATCAAATCTCAGAAAAGAAAGAAAAGCTTTTGCGGCCTATTGGTGCCCCACGCCTGCCTCCTACAGGCAACACCGAAAGTCTGACTTTATAACCTTGTTCTCTGGGAGGTGCTAAGCAAGGAGGTAGGAAATGAATGTACAAAGAGATGTTGCTAAAGTAAAAATTGGAGTTGAGGGGAAAAAAGGTCGTTGCGTCTTATGATCGGGCAACTCAAGAGCCAACCGAGGCACTTTTTTAAATGTTTTATGAGCTGCAGAAGAAGAGATCCCAGGCATAGGAAAAAATGTGTTTTATTAAAAATATGAGCTCTTCGTGCACAAATTTATCTTGGAGACTGGTCTGCGGCATTCGCCCGATTTGCTTCGTTTGGACCGAGTATGGCACTTTTAGAGAGGGAGCATTTCCTCGTAGGTGACATGCTCGACAAATGCCACGCTGAATCTCGGTGCTCGTTTGTCGAGAAAAGAGGTTTCAAATATCATTTTGTAAGCCACCCCCATTGTCCCCTAACCTTTACTTCGATGCCATGCTGGGGAAGTAGCTACAACGATAATTATCCCTGGAGAAGGGGAACAAGAGAGACAAAAGGCAAACACAAATCTCCAAAAAATATTTATCATTATTCCTGTCCAGCTCACTTGCACCTTTGCATTAACTGCATCATCATCACCTTTACCCCTGCATTTAAAAAAAAAATTCAGTGCAGATCAGACAACTTTTTATGTACAGAAAATACAGGAGGCACGGCATTGCGAGTTCCTCACTCGCTCCCGAGAGTTAACCAAAACTTATTGCACAGTTGCATTTCAATTCCACAGATTACATTGGTCTCCTTTTACTCCTCACATATACATAACACTCTTCCATGCCCGAAAAAAAGATGCCGAGTGATTGTTAGAGCGCTTGCAACACCATTTTGCCCCGGTGTTGCTACCCAGGGCAAATGCTTCCAGCATGTTAGTAACCTCCACCTTGACTGGAACCTGGTTTGGGGCGCAGATAATCTCAAATCTGGCCGTCACATATAGCAACAGCGCTAAAGTGAGAGCTTTTGTACACCGGCCCAAAGAGCCTGCTGGGCAGTTAGTTGCGACATCATCATCGGCAAAGCCTCCGTATACTTATATTTTTACTACCTTATTGCTGGCTATGGAAGAACATGGCACGAAGTAAGGGATGCCTTGCGTGAGACACGTGCCGCGGTCATGATGCTCTGCATTGCAAATAAAACTTGCAACTAACGATTGGCCTTGTAAGAAAAAAATAATGAATACCAACACTAGATATGCAGCAAATGTAACCTAAGCCAATTGCCATTCTAAACCAGGTACACTAAACACTGAACATATCCTTTTTCTAAAAATTCAGATTGATCTGGTTCCTGCCCTTACATCATTAACATTTCGGCCTCGGCACGGTATGCTGCATAATGAAGCACTTGGGAAAAACAATTTGCAGGTAGAAACCATATGGGCTCAAGGAAGGCGGATCTGAAGAACACAAACCATACGGCATAGGCAGCGTTCTAAAACTCGCAAGCCGTCACTCGACACGTTTGCCAGCTCGAGCGGCGTGCACCTCAACACCAACCACGGCGTCTTCAGAGGGCGGCTTCTCCAGCGTTCCCTCCGCACGTACCGCTCGCTGCGAGCGTCCACCTCACAGCCTCAGCTCCCTGTCGGCTGGGAGTGGTGCGAAGTACGAGTTCACCTTTTCTTCCGTGACGTCCGCAAGTGTTGCCGGATTCCACTTGGGCTCACCCGAGCGATCGATGAGCACTGCGAAACCGCAGCGTGCACAAACTGTTAATCCGGGTTCATAAACGTGCCCCACAGTATATGGGCACGTGCAGGTGTGAGCCGTCCATCACACCCCGCTTATGTGCCTACGGTATACACGAGGTAGGGGTGTATTGGGTGATTATGATAACAATAGGACAAATGGATCCAACTATTTATTTGAATACAGTTCAACTCCTCTACCAGAGGACTTGCTGAGAATAATAAAAACGTTTATGAATATAGGTCGGAAGGGCTTTCTAAAGGCGCGGAGAGAAGTAATTTTGTACAAACATTTCTCTCGCAGTGCGCATAGTCACCCTAGCTAAACCATGCTTGTCAATCTCGCTGGCCACGTCGTCGTCTAAACTTCAGAAACGATCGACCTCGTGCCTTCGAGCTGTGGCATTCGCCCTACACTGCTCGCGTCGAACTTCACTGCATTGCACCGGCACAGGTACGTCAAGCTTTACCAATTCGCGCCCGCATGCAGTGGTCGAGCTTCACCGCTTTGCACTGACGTGCTCGGTGAAGCCGCTGACGCGGGCGAGTTCAATCCTCCTGGAAATTTTGTTCCTTATTAGAGGCAGACTTTCTTTGGTTACGATTATGGTCGACCATTAATGTTAAGGAACGGTGCAGGAGCAAAAAAGTGTGTCAATCCATATTTTAATAACTGTGTAATTGCTAGTGTGAAACAGATTCGTGTTACTATTGCTGCATACAGAAAAAAAGTTGCACGGAAGTGTGATCTTTATATATTGAGTAGGAAAAAAAAAGTTTTATAGTTCGGCTTGGACTGACTAGCGAAGGCTCTGCAGACCTTCAAAATTCCTTTCTGGACCCCTATTTAAAATCCATTGCCACAGATCAAGTTAAAGTCTTAAAAGACTCAGCCAATAACCTCTTTATTACACAATTAATTCAAAATTTACACATATATATAATACAATCTAGATTCAAAAAAGTAATTTTATATTAACGAAAGCATCGCTACGAACGTGCTACATTATACAGTGATGTCTCGTTAATATGAATGCCCCCGTTCCCCCCAAAAATCATTCATAATGTGAGTTGTACATATTAACGAGACAAAAAAGCACATATTTCCCCAGTTTGTGCCCAAAAATGATGTCCATATTGCTGCGCACAGGGCCGAGCAAGCAGCACCCGGTCATAAAATTCTAGAAGACTCGTGTTTATTTTTACTTGGCGTGTAACTTTATAATTTCGTCCTAGTTTCTTGTTCTCGAAAGTGCCTGTTCATTCTCGCCCCAACTGCGTGACGCTTCTTTGCTGAATTTTCGAGACAGTCACGCACACTAGATAAGGAGCTGCGTGAGACCTTGTGGAGTCAGTCTCGCTCTCGCTTGTTGTTACGCCGCCAAATCGCTGCCCGCTTTTCTGCTGTCTCAATGCTCGTTCTGTATTTTGTATGGCACAAGTTCCCCGATTAAACCTTTATTTTCAGTTCACTGTTCATCCTCTTGTCGCCTTCATTCGTGACAATATTGCAGGGTATCCATGTTTATGGGGTGCATATTAACTTGACATGACTGTAGTTATTTTTCTTTCTTTATGTCGAGTCACAAATTTATTTTTCATAAGTAATTTAAGTTTTCTCAACAATGAACATGGTAGCTTTGAAGTATGATATGTTGAATTTAGTGCACAGTATTAAAATTCAATTACACTTTCAAAATCATTTAGTATAGGTCCAAAATTACTGATCAGGTATAGACCCTTTCCGAAATTCAGTCTGGCCACTTTGATCACTATCATCATCTGTGGAACAGCATCTCTGCCATACCAATGGCGGCCTACTAGTGACTGATAAAAAAAGACGTTGAAGATGCTCCTCAGCGGATGATGCGAGGCCTGTACATTCCGGGGGTCAGTACGACGCGACGTAGGAATGGAACACAAAAGCTACGTAAGCGTTTATTTCTGATAACTCAGATTCAGTCAATCTGTGGGCGGCACACAATCGGCTTTAAAGCACTTCGGTGTACAGAATTTTCTCGAGGCATCTGAGTGGGTTGGAGCTTTGTTCTGAATGCAGGTTCTTGGTCACCATCGAACTGAAAGTGATCGAGAAAGAACTCACAATGAAGAATTCCTCGCGTGCCGTTTACTTGCAAAAGTGACTGTGCCGATCCAAGTTCATTTCCGCCATTGATATGGCAAAACCTAAACTGCTTTACGAACCACCAGATGGCACTGAATTTCGGAAAGGGTCTATTGTCAAATGAGAAAAATGTCAGCATGCAAGATATTGACGTGTGTGCGGTGGAGTTGGCAGCCCACACGACTAGCGGCAATCAGTTTGTCGAACAATGTTTTATGAACAAATCGTTTCGTCAACGCTTTGTTTTGTCGAAAGGCTTCCCACGTTTGTTTCATTGACAGACCTTGAGACGTTCTGTCAAGCACAACCCCACTGTTTTCGCAGCAAAATCTTTGCGTATCACTGTAAATCGCGCGCTAGCTTTCAGCGACTGAGTAAAAACAAATATGCTGTTGATGGCACTTACCAGGAACACGTGTCCATGAAACGGGTTTCCACAAAATATACGGTGTCAATGAACCATGTGTCCACGAAATGTGTGTCCACGAAAAGTTTTACACAAAACATATTTTCACGGATGAAACGGTAGGGACCCGCACGCGACTGCCATATAGAGGCACGGGGTTCAAACCCCACCTGCTCAGTTGTTGCTTTTGCAAATCGTTGCTCTGGGAAGTTTCGGTTCCTTCTGAACAGTTATCGTGTGTTCTGGTTTAGAACCTTCCTTAACAATGGGCGCATGCAAAAGCAGCTGAAGCGCGCGTCTTTGGGTCAGTCCCTCCCTGATTAAGCATTTATTTCCAGTTGTACATTTCGGTGCCTTTTTTTATTTGTGACATCACTGAGCTGGGCCATTAAAAAGTTTGAGCTAAATTGATTAGTACCTTTCCCTATGCACTTTTTACATATGAAAAACACTTCTGATTAGATATTCTGAAGTGTTGGGTAAGATAGTATTATATATAAGTAGACTTCAGTGTTTACTTCTTCATCAAATTTTTTATCTGAGAAATTATTTTTCTTTTTTTTTCCAAATTGAAAGCTTATCTTTTTTTAAGGCGATAATTAACAAATGGTAGTGTCTGACGTGCTGTCACAGCGAGGCTGACAATCAAGAGCCAAGATATTTGGCTTCAAAATGTATAGCAATATGGCTTGCTAGTTATGCCTCACTGTTCCGAGATATTAACCTTTTCCAGTTGAAACCAAAATTGTAAAAATGGAATTGCCATTTCTTTTACTGGTTTTTATAGGTTCAAACCAGAAACATCAAACTCTATATAGATTACAATAATAAGTAATATTCCGTTTGTATCCAACTATTTTAGCTTCAACTATTTTTGAGACATACCAACTACAGTTGCAAAGAAAGCTTCACACCACCACAGACTAGAAGAAATCAAAGTTGTAAAGCTTGCACCTTGCACACACCAACATTATTCACTGGTAAAATAAGAAAAAAATATCTACACTTGGCAAAACCAACACACCTTAGTTTTTGAAGGTAAACATGTTTGAGAGAATTCTCTCTGGTTGGGTAAATAATAAAGAGATAAGATAATCCGCCAACCAAAAATTGAAATAGTAGCGAAACGTAGGGTCGCTACTATTTCAATTTTTGGTTGGCGGATTATCTTATCTCTTTACCTTAGTTTTTATGTTTAAGTCTCACTCTGGAGTCCCCTATTCATAAATTTGCTTCTTTCACAATAGGGACATAACTACCAGCCCCGTTGACTATTAAGTTACCTCTGACTTTTGTTTATATTTAAAAAAAGAATTAATGAGATTCAAAAACTGTTGTTATCCATATGCGAGAGCTCGGCAGCAATGCCATGACCAGACTTCTCGGTGTTCACTGTTTATTTCGGGCCGAATTCAGCGTGGTGACTCAGTGCCTAACAGATGTGAAATCAGTGATTATCAGTGTCTTAAAGATGGTCGCAACAACAACATAAAAATATATGAAAATAACTCTGGAATGAAACAAGCAGAAATCCACAAATAGTAGACAGAGAGAGTGAGGCTATGGAGGCTGGAAAGGTGAACCGTAAAATCAGTTCAGTGCCTCAAAGACAGCCGAGTAAAAAATTTGGCACTCCTTTCTGCTCATGCATGCGTAACTCAATTCTTCACAAAGCTAAATGGGCAATCATTTGTTTTTAGATTTTTCATAACAAGGATCCAAGGTGCCGTTGATGGTCTCTGAGCTATTACAATCCACAAAGCGAGATAAAGTGCGAGACAGAGGGCAATTGTGTACAAAATGCTCCCCTTCGTTTGGTTGCTTTTTCAACTGCATATGCTCAAACATGATGAATTTCACCACAAATGATCCCTGTCATACCACAAAGAAGCTCTCCAGTGTTAGCAAACAAGGTACCAGGTACAAAATGACATCAAACACCAAGCGATCAGCAGAACGTACGCCTCCTATTCTTCCCCACTGATCTGTATGCCAATTATATTTGGCCAAGTTTCCCGTTACACACCGAAACCAGACACCCCAATTACGATAAACGATGCCAGAGACTCGCAAACCCCTCGTAGTGCTAGCTCGTGCAGGCACGGAGACCAACCTGCTCTGACGCCTTCATAGAAGTCTGAATCCTCCATGAAGTGCTGACAAAGGCGAAACTCCATCTTTAGCGCGTCCTGAAGCGTGAGCCCGGGACCCTCCTGAAACGCTCGGAAGGTCACCTTCAGAGACAGCGGAGACTGAAAGGCCACAAAAAACGCATCCAAGCGTGAGTGGCACAAAATCGCAGTGGAACATAATGCCAAGAAATCTGGGTAAAGGAACTAGGAAAAAGTGTCACTGTTATATCCGGTGGTTATGCTGAGTTACGTCTGGAAACCACACGTATGAACACACCCTACGAAGTCCACACGCCAACGTTACTGGCTATGCTTCCTCGGATCAAGGATTGCACGCGACAGGAAACAGTGATGGGAGCAGCACAGACGTCGCAGTAACCAGTTTGCTGCACTGTCGCGGTATAAACAACCTGTTCGATAAGTGCGTTAACCCAAATATGTGTTAGCTGCCGCATTATTAGAAGCATCACAAGAGGTTTTATTCGTGTAGCTCCCAGACTGCAAGCCTGTAGGCATGTGAGAAAAGTAAATTTTGAGTTCGAAGTGAAGCGCTATTTTGGCTGAATATTTTTTAAGTGAATATTGAATACCATAAAATCCTGTAAGAACGACCACCCGAAATGAAGAGATAAATTGGGAAAAACATAGGGTGGCTATCTTTGGGGATGCAACAGCAAAAATTTATAAAAAAGGCGATAAGACATAGGGCTATACGCTACAAACCATATAAAACGGGAACTGATACTGTGGATTGCGGACACGGAAAATGTGCGTTTTATGATGCTATAGATACGCGGAAATTTGCTACGACATCCTGTGTCATAGTAAAAGGGGTTGCGGACACAGCAGATTCACTTTACAGTGTTTGCACGATTCTAACGCGCCCCCGATTGTAACGCGCAGGCGGATTTAGCTTTCAGATATTCAAAAAGTAAATTGTGGCTGACTTTACTGCACAGGTAAAATAATGAAGACTGAAAACATACCCCATAGAACGGATTTTATGAAACGAACGCCAACCCAAAAAGAAATGCCATGCACTAGTCGCCATTGTCAGAGTCTGACGATGGTTCTTCGCTGTCCACAGAGGTGATTTCAGGCCGTGCTCCTTGCGCATGTACTATCACGATCAGTATGAATGCAAACACCACTCCGCATGACCAGCGGTACTATCAGTGCCCCCTGGCGATTGCTGTTTGAAGTATAAGTGTACCTTGCAGTCGAGACATATCGTCTTTAGTGATTGCCGCACCACACTGCACTTCCGGGTCGTCTGATAGCAAAAAACGGTCGGCGAAACTGTTTACCAATGACGAAGCGCATTTTTCACTAGCAGTGTGCACCAGCATAAATAACTTGTATAAATATTATTAGGATAATCTTTTTGATTAGAAGTTTTAGTAGATCATTCCCATGACTCTGATAACAATACCCGATACTTCAGCGACGCCTTTGAGCATGTATAATATTGTTATCGGAGGTATCAAATTGATCAACTAAGACTACCTATTATTTCCTTTGCGTGGGTTTTGCGAGAGCAAAAGACCACCAATGCGCAGAGGCAAGAAGTTAGCGCGGTGCGAGCGTGGGTGATATCTTTAAAACAGCACGCTAAAAATGACGAGGACGTACCATGTGTTTCTTCTATGACATCATTGGTTATTTCGCGCTGTTTTCCATGATGAAGGATATCTCCCACGCTCGCACCGCACTAACTTCTTGCCTTTGCACATTGGCGGTCTTTTGCTCTCGAAAAACTCAGCCGAAGAAAATAATAGGCAGTCTTAGTTGTTTGTTTTGATACCTCTGATAACATTATGATGCATGCTTAAAGGCGTCGACGAAGTATCGGGTATTGCTATCAGAGTCATAGGAATAATCTACTAAAACTTCCTAATCAAAAAGATGACCCTAAAAATATTTATACAAGGTATTTCTGCTGGCGCACATTGGTAGCAAAAAATGTGCTTTTTCATTGGTGAACAGCTTCGCAGTTTCGCCGACCTTTTTTTGCTAGCAGACAACCTAAAAGTGCAGAGTGGTGCGGCGATCGCTAGAGACAATATGTCTCGACCGCAAGGTGTACTTATACTTCAAAGTGCAATCGCCGAGGGGTACTGATAGTACCGCGAGCCACGCAGAGCAGTACTCGCACTCATCTACATCGTGATAGTACAAGTGCGCGCCTATCGTCTTTGGGAGGATCGTCTTCCAAACAACATTTTGCGGGCTCGTCAGGTCGCTGGGATTGTGAGGTCACGCAGTGCCGCACTGTTGTTATCTTTCCCGCCAGCGTGACGGCTTTTTGTTTAAATAAAGGCTCCCAGTGGATTTTCTTTTCCATCTGAAAACGGCGGACACGAGTCTGTAGGTGCGAGAGAATGCGCGCGATATGAATACCAAAATGGCGAATGTAAACAAACCGCTACGCTTTCGATGGGGCTAGCCACCTTACATCGGGAACTGCGTTTTTCATTTTTCATTTTCGTTTCGATTGTAACGCGCATGTAGTTTTGGGCGGCGATTTCAACGAAAAAAATTGTGCGTTATGATCGTGCAAACATAGTACACGGTGCGAAGGTCATGCGGGAAACTTCTGCGAACTCACATGTTATGGGAACCGATGCTGCAAATCGCGGATGCAGCAGATTTACATTTCACAGTGCAACAAACATTTGGGACAACTCGTATGTCACGAGAACCAATATCGCGTGCGGAGATCGTGAACAAAAACGCGGAAACCCACTAAGAGCGTTTATGCCAAGGGAACAAATACCCCGGATCGCGGACGCAGCACTCTCATTTTACGATGCAATAAACACGCGGGATCAACTTGCATGTCACATGAACCAATATTGCACGCGCAGATCACGGACAAAAACACGTGACCCCCCAAAAACTGTCTTGTTAGACGTACCGGTACTGCGGATCGCACAGTTGATGTGATTCCCGTCCGACATCGCATGATGTCTGACATGAATAGGGGGTGGGCGATATTTCAAAATTATTATGCTTTAGATATTGTGGGGATCCTCTTTTCCCCGATGGCTGCGATAACGGCCACGAGTCGGAACGCTCAGCCTCCTTCGCCGCTCCGACCTGTTCGGGAAGCGGAGGGTCCCCTGTCTTGGAGGGCCCTCCCCTCACCCTCTCTTGGGGGGACCGATTTCCGTTCTCCCGCTCGGATGCGAATCACTGCTGACAGGCGAAGAGGTTTCGCCTCTATTTTCTTGCTTTCGGGAAGGGGACTCGTCCGGTGACTGCGAAAGAGATAGGACGTGTATCAGCGACTTCTCCGATGCTTCCCTGATCTTGGCTCTCCAGAACCTTGCGTCTGGCAGGTAAGGACCTTTTCTTACCTTACCGGTGCGGGGGGCATTTTGGATGGGGACATAGTAGTTCTTTTAGAAGAGTGTTATAATAAATGCTCTTGGACTTGGTCCTTACTCTGGTACGTGTGTGTCTTCTCTTCCGCTATATTCGAGAGTGAGACAAGGTAGTCGATCATTGGCACCGAACGGAGTTAATGTATCGAACCGACCTGCGGTTTGTAGCCCTAAACGTCGTCTATAATGTGGGGACCGCGCTACTAGGTTTGGTGTCTCCTTTGAGATCGCCGCCGCGGTTGAGATAACCCTTTGGTTACTCTATCGGTACCTCTGTTGGTAGCAAGATCCCACATAAAATGGCGCCCAACGTGGAGCCATGGCTTCCTTTATCGTGGTCGTGGCTCCTGGCCTCAATCCCCTTGTCCGGCATTTGTCAGAAATTCCTTGCCTTTGATCGCCCCGTACCACGAGCGTCCTGATCTCGCCACTTATGGTTGAGCGACTAATGCCAATCAGCAACCCGCAGTGCCACTCCTTTGAGCGGTTTATTTTTATCCGTCCCTTTGCAGTCCCCGTATCAATTTACTTCGACTTCAGAAGACGGGCCAGCTGCGTACTGTTATCTGTTTTTGGCCGTTTATAGTCAACGGACTCTTCCGGTAACTGTAAAACCGGGTATTGTAGGCATCTTCTGTTTTAGCTGCCTGCGCAAAGGATTGAGAACTCGGCGTTTTTCCTAGAAGCTCTCTCCCCAGTGTCCACAGTAAGCTAACTCAATTAGTTTGCTTGGTATGTGGATGCCTTTCAAACGAAGGGGCCCCCTTTATGGTTTCTTCTTCCGGTGTCCAAGCGGGTCACTCTGGTATGTGTCCTGTGATCGTTCATTGGGTCCGCATCACAATAAAGCACCTTCCTGTCACCGTTGACAAATTGGCCTCCTTTTTGTGGTTTTGTTTGTCGTTTGCTCCTGCCCGCTTCTGCCGCCTTTGCGATCCGGTAGGCAAGCGTCGGTTGCGCGCGCCCCCCTCGTTTGGAGGCTGCGGCGCCCCTTTTCCCTTTGGGGAGAGCTGCGGCCGGCTTCGGGGTCGGTTGTCTGCTGGTGTATTACGACTTCACAGGTCTGCTCCAAGGTCGTCCACCCCCCTTCACCAACCCACTGCGGCCGATATGGCGCCGACCCTCTGGGCGGTGTGTCTTTGGGACTTCCCCCAGCTGGTCTCCGCTGGTGGGTGGCGGTCGTTGGCCTTTCGGTGCTGCCACCTTCGCGACCGCCTGACCGCCCTCCACTGCAGGCCAGCTCGTACCGCGACACCTGGGTCCAGCTGTATCAGCACGGTGCCTGTGATGCTGTGCGAGGTTGTAATGGCTGCGTTCGTGCACCTGGACTTGAGCTTTCTGGGTCTTCGGTCCTGTGGGCCAGCTGTTGACAGCGGACACTGTGAAGACGCTCGCTGGGTGTCGCGTGTGTTTGTTAGGGGTGCGCATAGAGATATTTTATTTTATGAGAGCAGGTGGGCCTCCTTTATTCTTTATTGAGACTTACCTACGGTTTTAAGGAAGGGGGGGATGTCGGGATTCCTGTGATCTCCATTCCCTGACGGCTGCGATAACGGCTGCGGGTCGGAAGACTCGGTTTCCTTCGCCATGAGCCCCGACCTGTTCATGAAGAGGAGGGTCCCCTGTCTTGGAGGATCTTCCTCTCATTCTCTCACAAGAGGACATCTTTTCGTTACCCCACTTGGATGCGAATCACTGCTGACAGGTGAGGAGGTTTCGCCTCTTGTTTTCCCGCCTTCAAGAGGGGGACTCGTCTGGTGACCGCGAAAGAGGTAGGACGGGTATCGGCGACTTCTCCAATGCTTCCCCGATCTTGGCTCTCCGAAACCCCACGTCTGGCAGGTAAGGACCTTTTCTTACCTTACCGGTGCGGGGGGCATTTTGGATGGGGACATAGTAGTTCTTTTAGAAGAGTGTTATAATAAATGCTCTTGGACTCTGCCCTTACTCTGGTACGTGTGTCTTCTCTTCCGCTATATTCGAGAGAGTGAGACAAGGTAGTCGATCATTGGCACCGAGTGGAGGTAATGCATCGAACCGACCCGCGGTAATGTAGCCCTAAACGTCGTCTATATTGCCGTGGAGATGTGGGGACCGTGCTACTAGGTTTGACATCTCCTTTGAGATCGCCGCCACGGTAGAGATAACCCTTTGGTTACTCTATCAGTACCTCTGTTGGTAGCAAGATCCCACAATATTTAGCCAGAAAAACGGGATGGGCGATTTTACAGGGGAGGGCGCCCTTACGAGAGTTTAAGGTAGTGTGTTATTCTAAACTACTGGTAGTCGAAACTTTGAGTATTTGTGCAGAACCCCAAAATTGGCTTAGTAGACAAATTTTGACTCCTCAACATCATGGAGTGGGAATCGCTCTACAGTAGCTATCTTCTGGGCCCACAAAGATAAAAACTCGTAAACAAATTAATCCGTAGACCCAGCACTTCCTTATCCTTTGAAAAACGCTGCTCCACCAAGACCTGTCGGAAATCTGGATTACGTACATTACTGCTCGTATATCGTATATTTTGCAGCAAAGCTGTAGATGGCTAGGGTTCTGTGGATTTTTCATGTGCATCAACAAAAACTTGCAGCGCCCTCTCTTTGTCGTCCTTCCAAGTGCTAGCGTGTCTAGTTTCCTTCTGCTCTCCCGGGGTGGCGGTCCCGTCGCGCGTGTCTAGTTTCCTCCAGCTCCTCGGGGCAGCGATAGTCGTCTATGCGAATGTATATAAAAAGACCAAAAAGACAAGTTGCCATTCTCCATTTTCAATTTTTTTTTTCTCCTTTCGTCGTAACGGGGAGGCCGCGTATAGTCTGGACTCCCGAAGAGCAATGCGCCTACGAAGAGTAACGGCGGAGATGGCAATGAGAATGTCAGCAGCGGTGGCGAGCGGCAAACACCACCGATGGAGATTGTGCATAAATATATGTTCGTACCTTTGTTAAAAAATCTGTGTCACGTCTGTGTCGTGTGCTAAACAACTTCACTGGTCGTCTGCTTTCACAGAGTGGAATGGCTCATGATTTTTTCATTCAAAAAGCACTCATATAACATAGAATACCGCGCATCCGCCCATTCCACATTAAGCGCCCATATCCGAATTTCTAAGATCTGAGAAAATATGCACAGTACATTTATATGTAAAATTGATGACCAGACAAGCACCCATCCCCCATTTTTTCGCAATTATCTCTAAATTTTGAGTAGGCGCTTGCCCAGTATTTTACGGTAGTTTTTATGTATTCCATTTTAAGAAACATAGGTAGCATATTTTCCTTTGTATACAGGGGTTCTGAACTTATTGGTTTTGAGGAACACCCTCCCCTTGTTCTTGACATTGAAGCAATAAAGCACTGCAGACCTACAGACCACATAAACAATAATACGACACTCCCCCCTGGGAATACTTTTTAGGTTATACTAACAATCATTTGCACAAAAAAAAAATAAAATAAAATAGACCGATTTAAAAGGATGGCAAGAAAAAAAATATCCATCACCCTGGTGTGTCGATGAACAAGCCAGGCCCATCTTGGGTGGCGTGGCTCGTTCTTTATGCAAGCAAGCATGGCACAGCTCACCATCTTCCGGAGGATCTTTGCTTGTGCCTGGGCCCATTCCGAGGCATCCTTGCTGAGGTTCTCTACAATTGCGTCGACACTGGGGGCGTTGAAGGCCGAGTTGATTCGGCCCATCAGCTGCTCGAAGTCAAGCTCCTTGCGGAACTCTGTCTCGCACTGCAACGGCAGAAATGTGGGACGATACTGCTCGACACGGCTGCCCTGTTGCTTTTTAAAAGCAAGGGTTTGCATTATTTATATTTATAGTAAAACTAACTCATGTGCTCTAATGCTTCGGTGCTGCTAGGTTTTCTGTAAATAATAATAATAAAAAAAGATCAAAGGAGCAGTATATCCTTTCAATAATTCAAAGTGCTGTTAAGGAAAGCGGCTGCGTGACTTTCACAACCGTAAAAACTGTGGAAGCGCTCACTTTGTTCCCAAGTGCCCGCTATTAACATTTCCCAAACTTGGAAATTCTGCAAATTATAGATTATGCACCATATTTGATCGGACAAGCGCCCATATCTAGATTAACCCAGTTTCTAGTGGAAGTGGGGTGGGCGCTTCTCCGCTATTTTACGGTAATTGTTTTAACTTTTTGCATCAATTCTTTGTCATGGAACAGAAAATTCAGGTTTCAATACATTGAGAAAAAATGTTAAATAAAATGCAACAATGTTAGGAAAATCTTTTTTTTTTTTTTTCATAGATGACTAGGATTTATGAAAGACGCCATTAGCAATGTATAAGTGTTTAACTTTAATTTGAACACATTTGATTAAAAAATGAAAGACGTCTACAACTCCCTGTAACGCCGAAATAGAGCGCAGCTTTTGAGGAGGGGGAGGGGAGGCTACGGAGGGGACGGCATGCCTCTCCTCCTCATCAGTACCCTCCTCTCCTGCTGCTCTCCCATTTAGCGGGAGTTTTTGTTAAATTTCTTGCTAAATTTAGCAGAAAAAATTCCCCGCTAAATTTAGCGGGAACATTTTTGTGCTAAACTTAGCGGGGAATTTTTTTTGCGCTGAACTTGGCGGGGAATTTTTTTCCAATAAATTTAGCGGGAAAATTTTTTACGGTAAATTTAGCGGGAAAATTTTTATGCTAAATTTAGCGGGGAAATTTACCCAAGATGCAAACGCGGTGACGTCACGAGTGACCCTCATGACGTCACACGCGACAGGACGTGTGACGTCATTATGGGAAACGTCCCATAATGCAATGCGCAATTACGCCGACGTCGCTCAAGCCGGAAACAAGTGCCTAAGAGCTGCGTTCTAAAAACTTTGCGAAAGGTAGAGTAATGTGATCTGTGCGGGCGAGTTTTACGACCGGGGGGACATAATATTGGGGGCTAATCATCACGGCAAGTCGAATTCCAGCTAAACATACCTATTAGCGGAGAAACTGAATTGTATTAGTCGTGATGTCGATTTCCCCGCGAAATTCAGCCGAAAATGCACGGACGGACGGACAAATGGATGGACAAAATTTTGGGATTGGGAGGATTCAATAAAAAGCATTTCATTCTTTAAAAGACAGTCCCTTTCAAACCAATGTTCCCCTACTATTCTGGAGAGGTCTAGTTCTAAAATGGTCAATAGCAAGGACAGCCGTCAACAAACACAGATGTCTAGCGAAGATGCATGCCTGTCTAACCTCAGGCATGCAAGTTTGTTTGAATAAAAATAAATAAAATTTGTACGATAGTGCAAGTATATTCGAATTTTCGAATAATATGCTATTTGATAATCGCTTCAAGATGAATTGCGATATTCATACTTTTCAAAGGTTGTGACGGGACAGGTATCGAGCGGAGAAGCAGCACCCGTGGAGCTCGCTTCCGCAGGCGTTACTTCTAGGCAAGACCCGCTTTCACAGGAAATTGCCTGAAAATGTGCCATGAAGATTGTGGGATGGACCCCAGATAGCGCCGTCTTTTTCTAAGCTGGTGCAAGCAACCAACCGTGACCTCCTCTAAGTTTGGAAAGAACAGAACCCATGTTTGGAGCTTTCACCAATATTTGTATAATTATCGATCAAGCCTTCACCAGTATGAAAAGGTCTTCTTCGGCCCTTGTGGACACCGGTGTTAAGCGTTCAATGAAGTGACATCTAGTCATAAATTTATCTGACTCTCATTGTGTTTCTCCAAAATCGCCCGACGTGTTTCCTTAGTGACTTTCCCAAGTCTTTCTACATATAGGATTTTGTTGCACGTGGAAGGCTTGATTGACTAAAAATAGGCTTTCCAGTCACTTTTGCAATCCCTCAGTTAAACAACATTTCAGAAACAACCAATTTAACAGGCCACTGCGCAGAAAATTATATCATGTTACAAGTTCTCAAGCTACGTTCTTAGGAATGCAAGTGCTCCCCAAAGTAGCTTTAAGGGTTCCTCGAGCTCCGAAATTTTCTCGACTGTCCAGGGCCCCAAGTAAGGTGTCTTCCCAGTTTAAGCAATATCTTACCAAATCAGAGCCACCCACTGGTGCATAACTACCGCATATCCGCGGCTAGGTAACATATCACGCTACGATTTACCACAGAGGTGCCTGAGGGTGGTGGAAGTATTGCATCGAAATTTCAAAGAACAGACTGAGTTAAAAGTAAAAAGTCGATAACTGATTTTCTCTACCTACGACGCCTGTATGCTATCCATGCACCCTCAGACTGCTGGAACATCCGACAGACGGCGGCAGTGGACCCGGCGTCGGCTTACCACCCAGTCACGCCAAAAGCAGATGACATATAGATGAAAAATACTCAACGAACCATCGATCCTTTAGCAAGTTAATGATTTATAGAGCATTTATGATTTGAAAACATTGTTTGCTTTTGGCATGTAAGCCAACGCTGGGGCCGCTGCCACCATCTGTTGGTTATTGCACCAGTCAAAGTGTGCATAGACAAGAGACAGGAATCAATTATCATTCTTTTACTTTTTACTCGGGAAGTGTGTTCTTTGAAATTTTGATGTGACACTTACATCACCTTTGGCAACCTCTGTGGTAAATCGTGGTACGATAAGTTAGCAAGCTGATTAATGCGGTCAGCTTAAAGGCTTTCTCCGAATTCGTGGGCATGCTCTATATGTTGTATATGCTCCCTAGTATATGTGCACTACTTTTTCCAAAGTCAACAGTTTTCTGCACTGCACTGCCCTCCCGCATCAAGACAGGACTGGGAGGTGCTCGTCTGTTGCCGTTCTAGGCAGACAGGGGTTGGTTCCTTGCAAGCTAAAACTTTCAGGACCCCTCTGTCAGAAGTCGTGTTTAGCAACAGACATGAAAAAGAACTCCAAAAGTCATTATACAACTGAGTGTGGTGCTCACCAGGTCCTGATTCTTTTGGAGGATCTTGCCAATATCCGAAATGTTGGGGCTCGCCATACGCATCAGGTCGCCTTCAACATGCTCGAGCTTTGCAGAAAAATAAGTGTGTACAAATATATTGTAAAATAAATAAAATATGATTGAGACACCTTACATTTAGTACATGTTCATTAGGCACGTGCAAATGATGTTATGATGTGAAAAAGCACAAATAGTTAGGAAGAGAAGAAGGGGACAGGACAGAGCACCCCCGTCTTGTCTCCTTCTTCTCTTCTTAACCATTTGCGCTTTTTCACATCATGTTTAACCAACTAGCCCACCAGTTAATTTTAAGCCGTGCAAATATTCACAAACATTTAAAATATGAATTCCAAGACAAGTGCACTTGATTTACCTTTCAAATTAAATGTGGCATTAAAAAAAAATTGTGGTGGCTTAGCTCGGCTATGCCAGGATATACGTAGTGTGAGCTTATGCGCACAAAATGAGAGGCGCTATCAAGCGGCTCCGGTGCAGCGTCAGACTTGGCTACTGCGCAACAGAGGCGCAGAGCTGGGCACGCGGCGGCGCCAATGCGTCTGCCGCGGCTATGACGTCACTCCTCTGAAATGCGCAGACCGGCGAGGCGCGCACGGCGGCAGCGGAACGCACGGTGGCAGTGGCTCCGGCGCGCCAGCTGTGCGCCGTGTGACGTCACTGCTCCTCGCGCATGCGCAGCACGGCTCTTTGGGAGCCACAAGACTGCTCAACCTCGGCCAGTGCAGACCACGCTACAAAAAGTTAGGTTACTTTTGCAATAATTCTGAATGTTCTTCAAACTTGTAGAAGGGCAAACTTTGATCCATTTTGTGCTCTTCCCCACATGATTCTGATGCAATGCAGAGAAGCGACACCTATAGTGGCAGCGTCCGAAGTGTCACTTTCCTACAGCGCAGCAGTGTGCAAAGATAAAAGCTCTCACTTTAGCAAGTTCCTGTGTGTCGTTCTGAAACAGCTGAAGGTCCATGTCTGTACACGTTACCCGATCCTACTTCGCTATACACGACACAAACCAAACTGCACCATTTTGAAAGTATCAGAAGTGCTCTATTGCCCTAATGAACTGAAAATGTCCAATTTTCATTTTCGAATTCTAGATAAAAATGAGGATACAACAGTGATGTGATTTTCAAATATTTCCAATTGTAGTTTTTAATTAATCAGAAATAGTCCACCTAACCAACTTCTATTAGCTTCCATAGAACATGAGGTGTGCCATACGTTTGATTAAAAGCTTACTTTCCTTCCATGACATTGTACGCATCTTTCATTTGGAAAAATATGGGAGAATTGATTAGGTACTCAGCTCCTATCACACCATTTCCTACATTCGATGTGTCATTAAATAATACTAAAATTAAGTAAAACAAAGCTTTCTTTTGAACCCAATTAGGAACGCCATAATTTTCTAATACCACAGCCTTCTCATTTTGAACGAAATATTTGATTAAATATTTAACATTATTTTTAATGGTGCAACTGTATTCTATTCATATCCAATTAGGATCCCTAAAATGATTCTTCCAATATGTTTAATGTCCACCACTCAATATTCTTGGCCAAATAAAAGCACTCAATCAAGCAGCAACAGAGTGCCACTTATGGAAAGAGGCAAACCTTACTCCGGGGAACAATTCCCTGCTGCTGTCACCATACTGAAATTTCAAAATCTGGCAAGAAGCATATTAATTTAAGTAAGGTGACAGACTCAGTTTCCGTCCATGCAACACAGACTAGGCTACCACAACTCGCCTACTATCTGAACGACTCGAGACAGTCTTTTCAGTTGTAGCAGTACCCGTGCTTTGGCACTCCTTGGTACTAGATCCACCGAAAGGAGAGTGGAGAGCCCACGGCAGTCATTCACAATTTCCCTCGAGAAACTAAAAACTGAGAAAGGGGATAAAGGACGAGCAGAAGTACACAAACAGGGCGCTGCTGTTCATGTACCTCTGCTCTTCCTCTATCCGTCTTTGCGCTGCTTTCAGTTTTTTAATACATAACCAACCCGCCAAAAATTCAACAGTACTACACATTTTCCATTTGTAAACTACTTTAGCTTTTCTTATGAAGTTCGAGTGCAATGCCAAAAAACAAAAGTATTATTTTCTGCTCCCCTTCGTTGGATCAGTGACTATTGCATTTTCTAATGTACAAGTCACATTTTTTTCCAAAAGTTTCGTTGGTGCGTGTTCTGCGACAATGCAACATAAGTGCATATTCTTGTATAAGTAGGAGCCTTAGCTACAAAAATCTGCCAAGGGGGTCATATTTATTGTTTGACTAATCTGCAAGAGCATTGGAAGTGGCTCCCGCTTCCACACATATTGCGGTTACAATACACGCGTACGGGCTCGTAGATGCAGTTCTGCCACGCCAACCGTACAAATATACAAGTGCAACTTACACAAAGGTGCGACTTATCTAGCAACACCTGCTATGCTTATAAGAAGGTGCGATGCATACACTGGTACAACTTAGAGACCAGAAAATACGGTAATTCGCATTGCAGGACCATAGGTAAGCTACGCTTGGTTTCTGAGGTGATGGCAGTGAGTGCAGGCCTCGAGGTCCCCACAGAAACAAAGAGAGGATGCCCACCCTTTGGGAGGAGGAGAAGTGCGTGGCGATGCGCCCCTTGAAAACTTCCCAGCCGACCAGCCGACACCCCGTCAGCCCCAAGAAGAGGCCCAGCTTCCCCGGTAGCCTGGGAAGAACGTAGCTGCTCCCGACGTCCGGGAAGTAGCCTGCACGCGTGTCCAGCCATTGCCTTTCTTTCCCTCACAAAGACGTGACGTTGCTACGGACAGTTTCGAAATCGTAGCAACATTTACAAAGATCAAGCAAAAGAAACTAAACAACAGCACGCTATAGTTGCCGATAGCACGAGAATGGCAGGCAGGTCCTTCAGTTGTCCAACCTCCAGCAAGAGCTTCCTACTTTCGATAACACTTCGGCATCTCGTGAACCTCGAGCATGCAAGCACAACCAAAGCGAGGCAATGAGCGCATGATTGAAGCCGGGCATCTGAGAAAGTCACCTTGCTGTACTCATCCTGTCAGTGACAATAGCGTGCCAATTTGAAGCTTATATTATCTACCACGTTTACTTACAAACAATCTTAAAAAAAAAAAAAAGAAAGAAAAAACTGGTTACGAAAATTTGCACGGACGGCGTTGGTTGGTGCAACATTTTGACAATGCTGCATCGCAATCACGATGGAAGAAACACATTTAGGTGATGCCACTTGCTGCTCTTTCCGTGGGGAACGAGCCAACAGATTGTGTTCAGAGCTAGCCTCAAACCAGGAGTAGTTAGTTCTGCGCCGCCGCAGAGGGCGCTGTGGTATGGGGTCCCTACTCGGCAGCTACGGTGTCGGCGGCGTAGCATGCTCTCCTTTTTCGCGATGTGGTGGTGTGGTGGTAATGTGTGGCCAGCGGCTGGCCTCGTGTTTTGCTTTGGTGCTGTGTCTATCACAGGTGCCACCGTCGTGCATGAAGGTGAGCCTTAACCCGAAGAAGAAGGAGAAAAAAGAAGCCTTTACCCGAAGAAGAAGAAAAAGCAGGAGAAGAGAACGCAGATTTACGGGTTCTGGCGACTTGGAGGTGACGTGATGGCGGTGAGGTACAACAAGAAGCAGTGAGCGAGGGAATGCGGGACCACCACTGGGGGAAACAACCGGAGCGGTCGGTTTGGGAGGGACCCCATACTTGGGCGCCATCTCTTGTGCGAGTGAAGCGCGCTCGGCGCGCCGAACATAATGTGGCCGCCACGTCGGACGGAGAGTCATCACCTAAATGTGTTTCTCCCACCGTGGTCACGATTAACTGGGAATTCGGGTGATGTTGCGTCGAGTTGTGTCTTGCATAAACTGCGTCCAATCACACACGGGATAGCACTGGTCTGTCCATTCTTCGCTCAGTAACATTCTCTTCTACGTCCCCTTCATGTTTGCGCATGGCATGATCTTGACGTCGAATGCGTGCCGTCCTAACACCTGGCGTCAGAACGTCGGCACCTACACGCTGACGACGTTCTCTTTGACGGGCGCATTTACTTCATCGAGCAGCCGCAGCTTGCTTGGCCTTCTCCGGCGGAACGGGCGACCGAATGCGAGAAAGAACAGGTGACAAGAAGTGCAAACGCAGGATCTCTACCGCAATTGCAATTGGCCGACTGCACTGTGCCTCAACCCTCAACCAAGACTGTTAACGGTCAAAGGTATCACTGCTGTACTCGCCCTCTCCTGACGCCAAAGGCATCTCTACGATAAACGCTCCGTTCGTTTTCGACAACACGACACTCGCCCAGTACAGGCCTAGTACGGCCGACGCTGTAAGGAAGGACACCCACATTATGTTGCATCGACATCTACATCGCATAAAAAGGAAGAAGAGAAGCAAGAGAGCTCACCTATGGCAGTCTCTGGCATGGCAAAGACGGTCCTCTCCGTCGCCACTTGGAAGGTGCCGTGGATAAAAAGGCCCATCGCCTGCAACCATGTTTCTTTACTAAATAAATGTGTTTCGCTAACAGTCGACTTACGACGGCCCAGAAAAATGCCCCGTAAAGTCTAGAGCAGAAGGGAGTACAGGTAGCCGAGGCAGTGCAGCAAACCATCGCGGGAACTCTGTGAATCACTGGAGAAATGCCAATCTGATATGCGACTTTCTTCGCCGAGTTGGCCCGCCAGCGTGGTGTGTTCAGAAATTGGCAGTCAGCTACATTGCCTCTTGGGTCATATTCTCTTTCTGGCCATGACAATGAGGTCGACTGATATTGGTGACCGATTGACTAATTGCATTGAAAAAACCATACCTCTTACTACCTCCTATCCATGAACGGCGTTTGCCATCAACTCTCTATGTACTCCTGGGTTCTCTACGGTTACACACTTTGTCAACACTTCTTGGAAAGCTGCCAGTGCTTAGTTTTACCTCTGTAAAGCGCTTCCGCTGCACAGGCGTCCAAGGTAGGGAGGGGGGCGTCGTTAAGAGAGCTATACTAACCTGCACTTGTAGGTTTTACAGGCTAGTTCATGTTGTATGCAGACAAACTGGAAATTTACAATAGGAGACAGTTCATTTTTGCATTGCTCAGGCTAGTTAAAGTCTCCTTTGTAGCAATACTTCTCTGCGAAATTTTGGCATTTTGAAAAGTTACAGGAAGATCCACTGGTGGACTCTTAGGAAATGCGTTGACATGGCCCTTGGAAACACCACACACGACCCCCTTTGGGAAACGCTAACCCCTTAGCTTTTCTCTTCTGCTTCCTCTATTTCTTGCTGCCTCTTTTTGGCCTAGTTACAGGGTCAGTGTTAGCATTTGCCAAAGGGGGGACGTTTGTGGTATTTCCGAAGGGTCATGCTAACGGATTTCCTAAAAACCCATCAATGAATCTTTCTGTAATTTTTTTTTACCCCTTTTCTGTACTCTGCCTGTCGGAGTACTTCGATGCCCTTGGATACGGTCGTTCATATCTCTCGTGGAAAGAACCACATCCATATCACTCAAGAAGGGAACTGCATCCATCGTTTTAGCTACACAGATACACATCACAGGCCACGCACCGCTACTATGGAAGCCTAGAGTGAAGAACCAGCGACGGCAGAGTGGCAACTGGGCATGCCCGCATTCCGCGCCACGGTGCAACGCCTCCTAGATAACAAAACCGTAGTGGTGAATGAGATGGCATCCCCAGATAGGGCCAACGCTGGGCACAGATTGCATACAACAATTGCGTCAACGTTCAGCTCAGACATGACTTGAAGTCGAGAGCTGAAGCAGCACTTGTTCCCAATCTCTGTATAGCATTTGGCCTTTTCTGATGATGCCATCTCATTCAGCACTACGGCTTTGTTATCTAGGAGGTGTTGCATGGCGCCCTCTCCTCTCTGGCTATGTGGCAGCTGTGCGCGTGACTTTGACGAAAATGAAAGGGCTCATTTTGATGAAAACCCGCTGGTGTCTGTCAGTTTGTTAGCACTGGGGGGAGAGGGAGAGCTTGACGCATGCTGACGTCAGTGCTTTGAACCAATGGAAGTGTTGCATGCATCACCCTCTCTTCTTCTTCTCCCTCTCTCTCCGGCGCTGACAAACGAAAGACTCCGCCGGCTTCTCGTCAAAACGAGCGTTCTAATGCTGACGCATTAATAGTCTGAATTAGGAATCACATACAGTGATGGAAGCAACATTTGACCTTTTGTAGCAGGTACTGTAGCAGGCAGAGTATTGGTTTGGAGCAGCCGCTGATGCTTTTGGAGTGGATGCCAGCATCTGTTAGCACATCACTCGAACATGAGAAAGTGATTGCATCACTAAATGAGTTTGTCTTTGATAATGACTGGGGGCTCCTCTTTGATACTGAGGCATATTACTTATTACCTGTCCTAATTAGAATAGATGTGGCGCAAAAGGAACACAGTGCTATCTTTTTAGAAATAAGGCTCTGGTCAGAGTAGGTTCGATTTACAATAAGTAGTAAAAAAATGATAGAAAAATGAATCATAGCACAACATCTCAGTTGGGATAAAGCCTCTCTCCCCTCTCACTTTAGACCCAATAGTTTATTTAGCCTGTAAATATAATTTCTGTAAAATGCCTGCGAAAACTAGCATATCCACTAAAATGTCTAACAATAAAACTGTGACCCACAAATTTTGTGAAGCTACCAAACTCAAGACACTAATTTTATGAACTGCAAAAACAACTGCCAATAAATATTATGAAGACCTACACTTGTGCTTTAAAAGTAACATTGCTCTTTAGCGGCTCTGTGACCAGGGTGAAATCAAAGTTCGGTGCTCTTTCGATCGAGAGCTGCATGGGAACTACCTTCACTACTGTGTTTATCCAAATATAAACCCAAAACTTTTTTTCTCTTTTTCGGCACAGCATTTTTTAAATTGGAGATCAACCTACAAACAGAACCAAAGAAGGGTAGATCTGTAATGGTACTAGCATAATTTGAGCCTATTGCACTAATCTAGGCGCTCACCCATGTCAGCCACTGTTCCTAGCACTCCGGTGCAAAGCAGTAAAGCTCGCATATGTGCGCTGGTGAGAGGCGGTGAGAGGCAGCACGGAGGCACGCGGCAGACATGACAATCAAGTGATCTCATCAGGAGTACAAGCACCTGGTTCTGTCTTATTAGACTAGCCGCCATCCTACTATTTTGCAATGTTTTCTTGCGACTTTTAGTTTCGACATGACTGACATATTAGTCTGGAAATTTAGATGAGCCGGTGATCGAACCTGTCAGCGTGTCAACCGGACCGCGTAGTTGACGAGCAGTCTTTATACTTCACTTCACCTTAATTCGAAGTGTAGGCGATGCTACGAGTCAACCAAACAGTGTGAAAGAGCAACATCATGGCATTCGTCCATCTTCCCGTACATGGTCTTTCATCGACTAAACCAATCAAGTGCAGCAGATGTCCCTTGACTTGCACTTTTAGTCTGTGTGTTCGTGGTTGTATGTGTTCAAGCCTTCTACTGTGCTCTGACCTAAGATAAACAATGTATAGACGCTTTCAGCGCGCGCCAGATTGAGCCGCCATAGCCGACCTTCTCTTGTCTTACCGAGATGCCGAGCCACTGAAGCGGGCGTTGTCGAGCCTCCACAAAGGCCTTGGCTGGGGAGAAGAACGCAGTAGAATCTAAAATGGCAATAGCCTGTCCTGCTGTGGTAATGATGAAGTGAAGCGAACGGAATAAGCGGGAACAAAAACTGAAGGTCGGTTATGGCGGCGCCCATGCACAGCTGCCTGAAAGCGTCTATACGGTGAGCCAGGCACGTAGCCAGGATTTTGTTTTGGGGGGCCCACCCATGACAAAATGCCGTATGAGGGGAAGGGCAGGGTAGGATCCAGAACTCAGTTTTGAAGGGGGGGGGGGGGGGGGGAATTTTAAAAGGTACTATTCTCGCATTCTTTCTTGTGCAAGGGGGGTCCGCCCATGTCAAATTGCCCTCCGAGAAGGGGGGAGGGAGTGGGGTCGACTTTGTTTGGGAGTGGGGGGGCGACTTGGATCCGCCACTGGGGGAAAGGGAAAGGAGGTCCCAGCAAAGTGGAAGATATTGGGGGGGGGGGGGGCCCAGGCCCCATGGCCCCCCACTGGCTATGTGCCTGCGGTGAGCAGAGGCACGGTGAAATACATATGTGTTCCATTTTCTTTCCTCCTACTTCTATGAATATTAGGGTGAAGCAACAATAAAATATTTTTTTTTTTTTATTTTTTGTTTTGCTTAGGCCCATTTTGGCGCAGGTGTGCTGCAGTTCTTAGCAAAAATGGCACTTTGACGCAGGATGTAGCAGTCTTTTGTTTATGGCACAATTTGGCACAAATGGCACAGCACTTCCATTGTTGCACAAAGCTTAACAAATTCTCCAGTTGGCTGATATCACACTGTGATATAATCGTAATCTTGCAAGATAAACAAAAAGAATATTCAGTTTTGTTTGGTTAGAAACAGTGGGCTCCATCAGTCTTGGGTAAGTTACTTTTAAAAAGTAACAAGTTACAGTTACTTTCAGAAAAAAAGTAGCGAAGTTACCATTACAGTTACTGCAAAAAAAAATGGAACCCGTTAAAGTTACTTTTAAAAAGTAACAACATTACTTTTCAGTTACTTTTTTACAACACAAAAAGTTAGAAAAAACTAGAAATTGCCATCACCAAGTTTTATTGCATAAAATTAAAAAGTATGTTTTTTACACTTTTGTTAGCAACCACCTCCATTACAGCAAAATACTCTCTGTATGACGGCCATGGTAGTTCTTCTACCATGGCTGGAAAAGAATGTGTCCGCAGATGTTGACAAAAAGACTCCCCACTGGTCGTGGCAAGTATGAATAAATAAAAATAAAAAGGGGGCAACCAGCATGAGTCAGCCTTCCTTGGCATTACTAGATAGTGAGGTCCTGATCTCTTGATATCATCCTAGGCATTGTTCTCAAGGTTGTCCTAGAAGTCGTCCTTGAGGTCATCCTCGAGGTTGTCCTAGAAGTTGTTCTCGAGGTTGTCCTAGAAGTCGTCTTTGAGGTCGTCTTCTAGGCGTCGTCCTCGAGGCCGTCCTAGAAGTCGTACTTGAGGTTGTCCTAGACGTTGTCCTCTAGGCATCTAAAAAGGAACAGCTTTGCTGGTCCTCCATCTTCACGTGAAGTGGAAGGGCTCTACAATTTGTTTTCTTTTTACAGCGAAGCTGTTATGCGCTAGGATCTGGGAAAAAATGTGTCCACGGATGTTGACAGATAACTCCCCATTAGTCATGGCAGGTATGAATAAATAAAAATAAAAATAGGGGAACCTAGCATGAGTCAGCCTTCCTTGACATTAATAGATAGTGAGATCCTGATCCCTTATCATCTCTAGGCATTGTCCTCGAGGTCGTCCTAGAAGTCGTCCTTGGGGTTGTCCTAGGCGTCGTCCTCGAGGTCGTCCTAGGGGTTATCCTAGGCGTCGTCCTCGAGGTCGTCCTAGAAGTAGTCTTTGAGGTTGTCCTAGACGTCATCCTAGAGGTCATCCTTGAGGTCATTTGAGAGGTTGTCCTCTAGGCGTCGTCCTTGAGGTCGTGCTAGAAGTCATCCTGAAGGTCATCCTAGGCGTCGCCTTCTAGGCGTCATCGCTCAGGTTGTCCTTAAGGTCGTCCTTGAGGTCGTCCTTAAAGGGATACTTCAACGAAATTTGAAATATTCCCGTCGTGTTCAAAAGTAGGTTGAATATGATCCACAATATCCGTAAAAGACAATCGCACGTCTGTATTTTAAGCCTGGTGGCTGTATTTTTCATTATAAACGGCCCACTCTGGCAAGCGCTCGGAGAAGGCTCAGCGGAGACCACGTGACATCCAATGCAATCGTGACGTAGGTTGTCACAAGACAAGCAAAGCTACGGCGAGGCTGACGTCGAGAGGATGGCCTAGTCGTTCCAGCCACCGAAGCAGCTACTTTTGTACGAATTCTGAGTGACGGGTTAATCTTCTATAATCTTGTAGGGGGACAATAGTGACTTCTGCGACACACAAAAGGCATTCTCGGGAAAAGGGGAGTTCCTCCTTCCCCTAATCTCTCGAGGTGGCCGGATGCGAGACAACCTCCGTCACTAGCTGTCAAGGTTCCTAGACGGGCATTACAAACGAGGCGTTAGCGACATCCACCAGGTGCTCTTTGCTAATCGTTTAATTCGTTTTAAAATTCCTTTTCGAGACTTTTTTAACAAGATATTGGTATGTTCGATGTGATACTGCTCCTTTGAACACATATAGACCAAAAAAATGAGCACCGAAATTTCGTTGTAGTATCCCTTTAAGGTCATTCTAGACGTCATACTCTAGGCGTCGCCCTCAAGGTCGTCCTAGATGTCGACCTTGAGGTCGTCCTAGAAGCAGTCCATGAGGTGGTCCTACACATCGTCCTCTAGGCATCGTCCTAGACGTTGTAAAAATAACAGCTTTGCTTGTCCTCCAGTTCCATGTGAAGTGGAAGGGTTCTACAATTTTGTCCTTCTTGCTTGAACCATCCATTAGTCTGCAGTATGAGATAAATAAAATAAATGTTCTGTATAAAAGAAAAAAGGAACATAAACTCCTTTAATATGTGAAAAATTTTTTTTGCCTCTATTACCTACATTAAAGGCCCCAATGCAACTTGTGTTTGCATCTGTGTACCTTTGAAACTCACAATTCATTACATACAAAAAGAAACATTCTGCACACCAGTTTCTACAATGAATTAAAGGGGCGATGCAACAGTTTTTGTACTTTGCGCAAATATCGCTTAGAACGAATCCCCGATGTTAATGACCTGTGAAACACCCGTTCGTTTTTCACCACATGCAATTGGAGTCACAGAAAAAATGAAAGAAAAACGAGAAACGTTCACCCCCTCAACTCACAGCCAGAACAAGCAGCCACGTGATCTGGAGTCGATTACATGCCCCCAGTGTTGATCATAGCCACGCGCTGGGGTTGGCAAGGTACAGGACACGCGCTGAGTTCCAGACATTGTTATGGTTCGCCTATTGTCGTCGTTGCAGCGATTGGACACGGGCCACTACCTGAATGCTTCTGGAGCTATCGATTATCATGAGCTTAAATCAAGTGCTCATGCAATGCTCGGGTCCAATCTATGAGCTGCATTCAAATATCTTGATGACGTAGCGGGGCAGTCATCAAAACATGATGACCGCCCAGCTACGCCAACAAGTTTTGCAAAGGAGAGATTGAATGAAAATGCTCGCTTTCGTCCTTGAAATTAGACTGCAATGCCATTGGCCAAGGAGTTCCTTGGCCAATGGCATTGCGTGCGAGTATCCTAGAGGCCCACTAGTGCCAGTAAGCTTGTGTAAAGTGAAGAACATTCCAATTGAATATTGTTGCACTGCCTCTTTAAGAACATAATTTTTTTTTTGTGCTACCAATCTTCTTGTATGGACAGTCACTGGGTTATTATGAAAGCAAAATATGGCTCACCCCTCCTATTGTGACACCATCCAAGAGAGCAACATAGGGAAACGTCAAGTTGGCTGAAAGTAAAAAAAAAAAAAAGAAATTGTTCAACCCTTTTGTAATTCAGCTGTAGCCGGCAAGTGGTCTTTCCAAGCTGTAATCTATGCCAACAACCCCGAAAACTTCGAAATAATGTTCTTCCATACATGTGTTTATACAGCGCATTTCAAACTAAAGCCCTCCCACATATCAAAAAGGCGTGAGCAAACACCCAAAGCATGTAACGACAAGCTCTCGAAAAGCTTGCATTGGTGATGGAAACAGTTTGTAAACAGTGTTCTTGTCCACACAATGGCAAAATGGTCACTTGAGAACACAGCCTTTCAGTCTAATATATCGCAGAGAGATTGCATAATGGTTCAATATTTCACAGAAAAAAAAAACGACCCTAAGATATGTTTTCCATTTTGGCTCATTGCACCCAAGTGCTGATTATAATTCGGTTGATTTTGTGGATTCAGAAATTTGTGGGACGTGTATAAAGGAGTGGCTTGACCAAGGCAAGAACGGCGGCCCCTGGAATGCATCTGCGACTCGTGTGTCTGGCATCCTATCGTGCCCGTGCATCAAGAGAGGTCCCGAAGTGGCAACGAACAACGTCGCAGAAGCCGGCGCGTCATGTTGGAGACCGCTCATTAGGATGCGGTAAACACGGCAGTCGAACACGCATTCCAGGCACCATACTTGTGGGGCAACTACACTTGGATTACGGCCCGCCCCCTCCGCACCCCCGAGCAAGTTTGGGTAAAGTACATCTAAAAAGTACTTGAAGTACAAAGCAAATGAGAGGTTATGAACTTCAAGTAAAGAGCAACTACACCGGGTGCAAAGTACTTGAAGTAAAGTACTATAAATACAATCTACTTTCAAAGTACTAAAGTATACAAGTACTTTTTAACACAATCTTTCATGATGCCCCCTTATTCCTTTATAGTGCTAAAAAAAACAAAAAAAAAACACTGGTGCAGTGCTTTAGGGGTAATCGGGGGTGCATCAGGTGTTTACGGAAATGATGCCAAATATTGGATGACGTGGCCACAGAGTAGTTGTTTTCAGAAATGGTGCCAAATTCAGAAGTCTCTCCGACTTCTGAATATGGGGCCACTTGCAGTGGCTTGAATACAAGGGGGTTAAACATACACTAGGAGGGGGCGTGAAAGGAGCACCTTCTCCTAAGAATTTGAACCTTGGCGCTTGTGCTGACCGATCGAGAAGTAGCGAGCATTCAAAATGCTGTTGGAAAGCAGACACCCCAACCTCTCAGTACAAACAGAGTGATGCATTGTCTGCTCTCGTTTCTCGGGAAAGTAGAATAGCAAGGAGTATCCTACCCAGTATTTCTTCAGAGTTGACAAAGCATCACTTTGTGATACAAATTTAACAGGTCCAAACTTGGGGAGTACACTTTGAAGTCGAAAGTTTTCTCGGAAAGTACCAGAAAAAAATACTTTAAGTAAAGTCGAAGAATGTACTTGAAGTAAATTACAAGTTCTCTAAACCTACCTGAAGTGGTACCTTAAGCACAGTGTAGTTCAGGTACTTCCCAACACTGCCCCTAAGTCATACATACAGATCTCAGCTGTCCCAGCCCACCCTGAAAAAAAAAAAACAACTCCTGGCTATGCCATTGGTCTAAAGCAACAAATCTTTGCTCTTAAGCAGCTGTCAAACAAACCCATAACGACACGTTGGAACTGGATGCTGTGCAGCAGAGCAAAATGAATATGTCCCTAAAGCAAACAGCTTCAAAATTTTCAAAAAATCTCTCAAACACCAGGGCTACTCTGGTGGTTTTTTGAGCTACCCCAACTAACTATATATTTTTAATCCCTGGCCTTCACACTTCCTGGTATGCTATTTAGTATTACGAATTTCACAATAATTATCGTGAAATTGGCAAATGAAAATGATGCCAAAACCAACATTCAATACCCGTGCTTTTCAGTGCCGTGACGTTTCTGGCAGGAAGGCTTGCAGGCCAAACGGGCAGTCTAAAGGCCTATCCAAACAGGATACTAAGAAAACCGTGAAGTGACACTACTCCGTCAAGAATCGTGGAAATTGAAGTGTCCGGCATTCAGATGTCTGTTCGGACACCGGCCAAGCGAACATCACGATATGCTTCCTCCGGTTTTCAGTGGCCTCGGTTCATGTCAGACTCAACGTCACACGCCACCTGCCAATAATGTCCATCAGTTCTCTCGGGACCTCGAATCCTTGGCCGTGTTCCAATATTTAGTCTATCTTACTCCAGGGCAATAATTTTGTACCTTTGCGTCCGAAACCCTAACCGCATCCAGGTTCGCTCTATCTGTGTTATCACATGACAGAACCCGCCGGAGTAGCTCGGATCTACTTGGGCAAGATTTAGAACACAGCTTTTCCCTTTCCTGGTTTCGGGGCCTGAAGAGCAGCAGAGGCCTTGAGCAATTGATCAACAGCCAACACAGCTTGTTAGTGCCTGTCTGGACTCACGGGATGAGCATGTTCAAGGCCCCCGTGAAAAGCAAGGGCGACCTTTGACAGAAAAAACTTTCCCCCAAAATAACAAAATAAAAAAAAAAAGGATGGAAGAGGAGAGTTCCACGATTTATGTCGGAGTCATATCGCCTCACGATTTTTGCAGTATCCTCTTTGGAAAAAAATTGGACAGTTCCGGGCATTTGATTCATGCTGCTACGTGGGTGCTAGAGCGAGTTTCCAAAGCATTCATACGACGCCATTAAACCGGTTGTAATGGGAACAATTTTTACAGTCCAAAGAGTAAATTCTTGCCTGCCTCTAGCTTCACTTTTTTATTGTAGCCAGAAAAGACTTTCACTTTGAAAAACATGGTGAGGACCAAAATTGTAAACTCAATAACTTCGCCACAAAAATTTATTTTGGCCTAATTGTTGGGTTACTATTTCAGCTGTGTTTGTTTGCGTGTTTAGTAAATTTTCAGGCAAATCGGGGACTATGAGGGAAATGCAGAAGTATCCCTCCCCTTCAAAGGGGTGCTCCGGCGTATCCCTTATGTTTTCCGATTTGCCTGAAAATTTACTAAACACAATAACATAGCTGAATTGTAACCCAAGTATTGGGCCAAAATAAATATTTTTGGCTAAGTAATTGAATTTACAATTTTAATCCTCACCATGTTTTTCATAGTGAAAGTCTCTGCTAGCAACAATGAAAAAGTGACCTCAGCAGAAGGCAGGGGTTCGGTCTTTTGGACTGTAGACTTTGTTCCCAACTGATTACGAGCAGGTTCATGGTGTAAAACGAGTGCTTTGGAAGCTTCCTCCAGCACACCTGCAGCAGCTGCAGCAGCACGAAACAAATGCTAGGCACAGTCCATTTTTAGACACCCGCTGGACCTGCAAGTCTGTCTTCCCCCGACGTTACGTCACGGCACTAAAAAATGCAGGTATATTTGACCTTTGACGGTCGCTGCAGTACATGTATGGTGACAATCACACAGTTGAAAGTGCCCGCCTAAACGCGAAACCGTGCCCACAGTGGGACGTGTTGCCACTTGTTCCGTTGTTGGCAAGCTATAAACGTTATATTTGCGCAGTGTTCGCTTTGTTGCTGCTATTTATAGTCTTAAATTATATGCTCTGCGCACGTGATAGGTGCGAGATGGTCGCTTCACATGTCGGCTGCTCTGGCGGCAATGACAATTAGAGCACTGGCTCTTTCGATTAATATATTTAATGCTTCTCATAGTTCAATTAAGAAAATGAGAGCTTACCATCTAATGAAGAAGCTCTGCAATGTAACTTTCAGGGCGCCGAAAATACACAAGGACAAGATACAAGAAAGGAGACGTGAACAAGGCACCCTGAAAGTTATCATGAACCAACTAGCCCAGATTGCCATTTTTTGCAATGTACCTTCAATTCCAAATATGAAACCGCCAAAATGTCGCGGAAGCAGACGTGCCAAAATAAAACCGAATAGAAGAAAGGTGAAAACTTTTTGCTTTAATATTTCCGTTTGATACTTCTAAACCTGAACAGCTTGCAGGCACCATACATGCTCCCGCAAGATAAATAAGGAAAAAAACCCTGCACATTGACCCTTTCTTTACACTACACCTTTAGAAACAAAGCCCCATCGCTGAAAAACCTATCTTTTGGGAACAAAAGACTCGACCATTAAAGTGTTTGACCTTGAAAGCATCAGCAGCTTCAAGGACACTCCTGGTTTTCAAGGACTCGCACAAAAAAAATTCCGTTTTAGCTTTTCTCCATGATATGGCACTCCTAATTTGTTCAAACCAAGCATTGTTCACAGAAGAAGATATGGACCATTCCAATAATCGGCTTCTGCGTGTTGCCATCCTTGTTTACTGGGCTATGTTCTGAGTGTGCGCTCTACCCTGCAAAGTATCAGATGCATGCGTCCACAACAACACAGTGACTTGGCCTTTTGTGCACAGGTGACAAGCGCTGGAAAGGTGCAGTATGAAAAAAGTTTATTACTCCTCTGTCAAGATGGCCCCACTAAACACCGCAACCTAACCTTCTCTTTCGATGAATCCACCCTTCCCTTTGGGAACACGAACTTCCCTTGGCCTGCGCAAAGGTAAAACTCACCAATGAGATTGTTGAGGATGTACACCTCTCGGAAGAAGATGTCCCTGAGGTTGGAGTCCTGGTCATTGACGACAGCCTTGACATCCCCTCCAACACTGAAGGCTTTGGAATCTTTATCGGCCTTGATGATCACCATCTTCATGCCAGGATCTGCCTGCCATTTCTGTCGTCCCCACAGAGGCCGTGCATTGCGAAACAGAAGGAAAGGGTGCAGGTGAATTGGCATTTTGTGTGACAGTTCAATACAGTGCACACAAATAAAAGCCACTGCTCGGTCAGTTATAAAAAAAACATCAACTGAAGCCTATATTTACAAAAAGATGAAAATGTAGACTAAAATACAACTTCTATCCAAGATTAAAAAAAAAAATCTTAAATTATATTTTGTTTTAGGTTTTGGGTTGTATTTACAGGTAGTGTAATTTACATTGCAAGTGAGTACACCATGGTGCAATCATGGCACAGATGGAAGCCTGCTCCCATTATTGCTTTTGAGCTCTTTGGCTTTGTCACCACTTGCCTTTTTTCCTCTCCTGTTTCTGCCGTTCAGATATAAATTACCGTATTTACTCGAGTAATAGCCACACTGTTTATGAAGAAAACCTGAGGGTTTGCTTTTTCACGAAGCATGTGGATTGCCAATCACCGCGATCGACAACATGATTCCAACTGTTTACAGGACAGAGATAACGTCTTTGTGCAAAGATACCATCTGTGAAGATTTAATTTGTATGGAGAATCACGTTCTCGATCCAATTATTCACTATGTTATTTATGCGCAACGCGATGATTGGCTGCATATGTGCTTTGTGGAAAAGTAGAGACAAGGGCCTTGCTTATAAATAGTGCGGCTATTACTCGAGTAAATACGGTAGTTTAAACACACTCCCCACCTAGAGGAGTGAAGTGCATTTTTGGTGTTCATTAAGTCAGAAAGTAAAATCAGATCATTATTTCTATCTTATTCGGTTTGGTATTGCGTAGACTTCCTAAAACAAATCAGTAGTGGTTGAGCTCGAACACCCTGGCTAAATGAAGAAAACTGTATTTTTGTATTATACCACATTTTTTCTTCATTTTAGGTTTCTTCTTTTGTCAACAGTATTTTCATCAAAGGGGCACACTTCCCAAAGGGTCAACTTTTGAACCTTTGGCTTAATATGAATAAAATTTATAGGATATAATGGCAGTTGCAAAACAGAATGCAGTGCAAAGTTTCATCTGTGTACATGAATTGTAAAAGAAATTATAGTGTTTTTATCAGGAACACACCAACTTTGTTTAGGAAAGCTCGTTAGAAAACCAATGTAATACCCCACGTTTTTCTTCATTACATCTGCAACACAATGCCTGGAAAGTGCAACTGTGAAAACAAAAGTTCCAAAAAGTAATTTATTTTATGCTAACATCGCGGTAAATAATCAAATAAATTTTGTCTTTTATGTTGTTAAACAAATCTTAACATCTTTTATAAAAACACATCAACAAAGAAAAAAAAATGGTTTCACAGTTGCATTGCCTATAAAATTCCAGTTAGGAAAAACATTGAGTTTTTTTTTCCGTCCCATTACCAAACGATAGTTTTCCTCAAGTGAAATTTATGCCAAAAAGTGGGACGAAGAAAAATGTGTTCAAAGTGCTTTAACCTTCACCTTTCCTTTAGCATCAATGGACCGAAAATAATTAAAAAAAAAAAGAAAAAAGAAAAACTATGCAGTGTAAACTAGTTAAGCTTTCTGGGAATACAGTCTAAGCTCATTATAACAGACCTGGTTACAACAGACATTTGGATATAACATACCGATCTGTGAAGTTCGGTTGGTTTTCCTCTATGCACCACTGACTCAAATTCGTATCTGTATACAACATACTCCTTTTACAACAGACCGAAACCTTGGTTAAAATCAAGGTCTGTTATAACGAGCTTAGACCGTACTCTCTAGATGTTGGTGGATGTAAATATGTCATTTTCCAAAATCAACTTTTTTAGCAGAAATCTTTTTCTCTGGGTAGTGTCCCCCCTCAAGGGGGTTCTTATATGTAATGTGTATTTATTTACATTTGAGATGCTTGGCATACATACTTTGAGAGTTTGCTCCAGCACATTTTTGTTTTGCATGCTTCTTTCTGTCATTAATTTGGCACTGTTTCGTCAGTTGTCTCAATTTGTTGGAGCTCCAGGCAAAATGGCTTTTGGCAAACTTGTAGATATTTGTTTCCAACATGTTGGATCTCTGACCGAGTAGTGACGCATGTTCCGATTGGTAGGTTGGCTGTGTTCGTAGCTTCTCCTGTTTTACAGTCTCAATCATGTGTTAGAAGAGGTGTTCAACATGGGTGTGGTTGAAGATGGTTGTCTGCACAGCTACTGATATTTGATCTGTTGCTCCCTGGCTATTGATAATTTTTGGTAAAATTCCCAATAAGGTTCCCATGGCTTCATTATGTTCATTCTGTTACTGGGTTTTTGGCATTCAATCATAGCTATTCTGTATATCTCAAGTCTTGCCACAGTGGCGCAGAAAGGCGCTTATGTCCGTTTCGCACTGAACAGAAGCAAACGGAGACCAAGGGGGTGAGGGCACTCAATCTTAACCATAACCGGAGCGTTGGCAGTTTCTACACACCTTGTTGGATGTCCCTTACCCCCAACAAGGACACACCTTGTTGGGGGAAAAGGGGTACGGAATAAAACTTTAGCGCTTATTTCCTTGTCTAGATATGAACTATCAAACGCAAAGACCTGAGATACATCAGTCGTTCGTCAGGAAAACGAGGGAAAAGATATTTTAAAACAAATTGTTTGGATGGCTACCTTACTGTTGGGATTCACAATGCCGAGCAGTTTGAAAGTGTATCATTTGATTTGTATGCAGAGACGTGCTAGTACTCTTTGGTGGTGATGACTTCAAGCGTTCTTGTCTAACCGAAATTGTACTCAAATGGTTGCATTGTGGCGACTGTTCTTGATGCTCGGTTCTTTAATTTTGATTGTTCTATTGCTATACACTCCTGGGGCAAGCCGGAAGGGTTTTCAAAAACAAAAGTAGTGCACTTAGTGACAAAAAGATGATGTTGGCGCAACATATAATAACAGAAAAAAACAAAAAAATGCTTACAGAAAACTAGGTAAGCAAAAACTACATACATTGTTATACATTGGTTAGGGCGTTGGTAAACATCTGAGCTGAAGTGATCGACACAATATCGCTGGGTAGGCTGTTCCGATCGGAGAAAGCGAGGAGGAGAGAGGAGTTTTTAAATAGGTTGGTGCGAGCGAAAATGGGGCGTACTTTCAAGGGGTGATCTACGCAGGATGAGACATGATGAGGAGGCTGGATGTATGAATCTCTGAAAGCAGATGAACCATGGTATAGTTTGAGGAAGAAGGACACGTGGGAAATATATCTTCGACAATGAAGTGGCGAAAGGTTGAGGGAATGTTTTACGTTAGTCACACTTGAATATCGGGAGTAATCCTTAGCTATGAACCTGGCGGCTTTATTTTGAAGTGCCTCAATATTATTGGTTAGACACATCTGATGAGGGTGCCAAATAATGGACGCGTACACCAACTGCAATCTTACGAGAGAGGTATACGCAAGAAGTTTAGTTGCCTTATTAGCCTGGTACAATGAATGCTTAAGAAATCCTAGAGTTTTAGACGCTTTGCTAATGATATGCTCAGTATAAAGGTTCCATGATAGGTTAGCTAAAAGGTGGATGCCGAGATATTTGATTGATGTGACATTTTTAATCTGGTTCTCTCCAATTGCATACGTGGGGCGATCAACATTTAATTTGGTAGTGAAAGTTAGAGACTTTGTTTTCGTAATGTTGATTTGCATCAACCAAGTGATATACCATTGGCTGATTATTTCAAGGTCGCACTGGAGTATACACACATCTAAAGGAGTGGATATGGGGCGATAAATGACACAATAATCCGCGAAAAGACGTATGGTGGACTGAATGTTATCGGGAAGGTCATTTAGTATATAGAAAAGGAACAATACCGGACCAAGAACCATACCTTGTGGGACACCAGACTTTACCGGTGTGGGAGAGGAGACATATTTATTAATCACGACAGATTGAGATTGATGTGATACAAAGTTTGCTATCCATTCAGTAACTAATTAATTTATATTAATAGTACCCAGTTTATATATCAATCTGTTGTGGGGGACCCAGTCAAAAGCTTTCGCGAAATCAATAAACACAGCATCAATGGGATGTGAGGAATGAACAGAAACATGGAGGCCCTGAATTAATTTAAACAGCTGGGTTTCACAAGAATGCTCGCATTGGAAGCCATGCTGGTTCGGAAAGAAAAGGTTGTTACCGGATAAATGAGTCATAATCTGGGATGAAAGTATATGTTCCATGAGTTTGCATGCCACACAGGTTAGCCAGAGAAGAGGGATTGTTGAAACAGCGTACCCAGTAGGACCCCAGATACGTGTTCGGTTAATTTGAAGAGTTTGTTGATATTACATCAGGGCCCGGGCTGGAGTTAGTGTTCAAACTATCAATGGCACACTTGACCCCGTGACTGGTGACAACAATGTCCTGCATAATACATTCAGCATGAGATGGCAAAGTGACTGGCTGAGGGAAGTCATCCTCCTCAGTGAAAACACTGCCAAAAAAGGTGTTAAACTCAGTGGCCAATTAGCGTGGGCCCAAACAAGGCCCATCATCACAAGAAACGCTTGGCAATATTGATGAATGTTTAGGATTAATTACTTTCCAAAAATTTTTTGCATCAGTTCTAAGCATGTTCGAGACATCCTCGTCATAAAATAGTTGTTTGGCGGTTTTTATTTGTTTTTTACATATAGTAACTGAGTAAGCATGATAAACGGTCCAGGAACGTTCCGAGTCTGAGTGAAGGGCGTGCCTGTACAGACGTTTCTTTTTTTTTAATAGATCTTTTAATAGTGGTTGTAAACCAGGACTTGTGCAAACTTGGAGCGATTTTTAAAGTTGGAACACACATAGATTGAACCTCCAATAGCTTTTCCTGAAAAAGGACCCAATTTTCATTCACAGACCATTCATCAAATCCACTTAAAAATATGCTGGAAAAGTCGCGTAACACAGACTCTCAAGTTGCCGAATCAATTCTCTTGTAGTCAAATATTTCTTTCCTTATTGAGTCCCGCTTATTAACAACCAGAGAGAAGTCACAATGTATAGCATGATGATTGCTAATTTGGTCGATTACTTTCACACTAGCGTGTCCTGGATGGGTTGTGAAGACTAAGTCAAATACAGCATCTCCACTAGTAGGAGCAGTAATTATACTTGCTTCATATTAAAGTAATTGGCCATATCAAGTAACTTGCGGCACTCACTTTCCTTTGCACATTCATCAGGTACAACACAGGCGCCCCAGTCAATGCCAGGATAGTTGAAATCTCCAGCCAATATGAGAGGACAGTTAGGGAATCTACATTGGATCTCGTCGATAACTTCTGTGAGGCCCTCAACAAAGTCGGCCGGAGAGCTTGGAGGGCGGTAGCACACGCCAACTACACATGTCTGAAATTCCAGCTTTATGGTGACCCACAAAATTTCAAGCAAGCTGTTACGGGAGATAACAGAGGATGAGGCGCTGGTTTCTAATAGCTACTATTACTCCGCCTTCCCTGGCACCCGGTCAATCCTTGCGATAAACAGGGAAAAAATTAGAAAAAGACTACTTTGAGTCTGCAATATTCGAAGAAAGCCAGGTTTCAGTTCCTAACAGGCAGGGATGGGCAGTATTTCAAATACAAATATTTGAAATACGTATTTCAAATACTTTCTGTATTTTGCCTTTGTATTTAATTACAAATTGGGTAATGTATTTGACGTGTGTATTTAAATACTAAAACGTGGGTATTTCAAATACAATTGTAATTAAATACAATTTTGTGGGCGAAAATACATCTTGTTTTTATGCATGTGGTTGCAAGATATATTCTCCATCCTTTATTCGGCCATGGGGCTTTTTTCTTTTTCTCCTCCGGCTTTATTTTAAAGGCACTGTCCAGAGCAGGAAGAAAACTACGTTCTGCACCGAATGCAGTGTCTCTCAATCAAGCACAAGCGTTTAGTGACTTTGTGATTACGGTGCTAGTCCAGGGCAAGAATAGTGATGAACTCAAACGTTCACAGGCAGACTGGCTAAATAAGTGCCTGTGACAACTTGTGATGCTTTCCAGCCTGATTTCCATCCATATTTTTGCCTGAAACATTCTAAATGCGCGGGTCATCCAGATTTTCGTAACTGGTGCGGGTTGCAATAAAAACTTCTCTAGCTAGTGCTGCGCGTCTTGGTCGTCTCGGTTCTTTGTTGGTCTATATCAAAATGTAATCGACAAAAAAAGCTGCTTGAAGCTCTGTATTTTTTTCACCTATTACGTCCAAGCTGATTACATTTTTTTTTGTGTGATTATATTTCTATTACGTTACAAGTGCCTCGCACACTAACTCCCGAGTGTGCAATGCAAAATTAAAATGAGATACCCAGAAACCCGTTGCAGGTGCCCTGAAGTCGCCGACGCAAATTTTGAGGCATGTATTTGGAAAAGTATTTGGAGGAGACCAAATACATTTGGTTGTATTTGTATCTTGTATTTAAATGCTTTTTTGAAAATGTAATTAGATTTGTAATTATATACATTTTTGACGACGTATTTCGTATTTGTATTTTGATACATATTTGCATGTATTTTGCCCATCCCTGCTAACAGGACATCAACAGAGCATGCATCGATACAAGTAAGCAGTACGTAATGCTTTGGAAGCAGACTTCGAAAGTTGGCTATAAGAAAGGAGAGAGAACCAATCTTTGTAGCGCAGCATGAATTGGATTAATTTTTTTGTCATGTGCTGAGATCAGGCAGATTGTCTCTGGGAATACAAACAACTTAATCAGTATTTGCATCGCAGGCGTAAGTAACATTGTTTAATATGAGCTTATTGTATGATAGCCGAAATTTGCTTGCGCCTTGATTTACTTTTGCAAAGTCACGGAGTTTATTGTGGGCAAGTTGCAGTCAAGGTGAAAAGTCATCTTCAATCCAGACTTTTGGCGATTCCAAATTTTCTAGTTTGTGAGCATTTTGCTGAACCTCGGACTTGCTTTTAAAGTCAAGAAATTTTATAGCAATCGGACGAGAAGTTCCACCCCTATGCTTGCCGATGTGATGTACACGCTCAGTTTCGCTGGGGTTAACATTTAAGTGGGTTGAAAAGAATTATCTGATCTTGTTTTCCGGGTCGTTCCAGGTTTCACGCTCAAGTTCAGGTAGGCCCTTCACTATTACATTGTTACTTCGTAAAGGATTGTTCAAGTCGTCGACAATATCAACGACACTTTCCAACCCACGATGCCTTTAGGTCAGGGCCCCCATTTCAGTTTAAAGACTGGAAACAGTCTGGTCAAGGGACTTGACATCTCTGAGCTTGGTAACCTCGCGAAGAGATTCCTCCAGAATCGACACGCGCTTTGAGATGTCAGTTATTCCTGTATTTATGACAGCAAGTACAGCTGAAGTTTCCTTCTGACACGTTTTGTTCGATGTTAATTAAACAATAAACAAATTTCACCTAGTGGATGCCTTTGAAGCTTTGTTAGAGGACCCTGATGTCAATGGCCTCGCAAGAGCAGTGCCGCTGGAGTCCGGTGTACAAGCACATGCCAATCGGGCCTGTACACGAATGCAATGCACTGGCAAGCTTCACTGCACCATTCCCGCATTGAAGAAAGTTAATGGCCGGGCGACCGTCTTCCTCAAACAGCAAGTTTGCTTCGTTGAATGGATCAAATGTTTGCAAACATTCTGCGAATTTATGGCGAGATGCCAAGCTACTGTGCAGCGGGGGGCTTGGGCAGCAGCCCGGTGTATCGACCATCGTGAGACGCCGACGCCCTGTTCCCCCAGGTTGCAAATGAGGAAGGACTGCCGAAGCTGTCCATATCGTTCGTCCGTCACACCCGAAGCTTGCGCGGCAGTCGTTTTTGTAGTTGGGACTTTCACTACGAAAAAGGAGTGCTAAGGCGCAGAAGTAGTATGTGAACCAGTCAACAGCACGGCTTGACCAAATAAGTGAATCGCTTGACTTTGATGCCGCTGCAAGCAAGCCGGAGGAAGCGTCGTTGACTGGTCGTCGTAGTAATAATCTTTGAATTATCTGGTATCCTACACACACAACCACAGGTAGCCTGCAAAGCGAGCATTCCGCAAAGGCAGTGGTGGCGGTGGGACGGTGAGATGGTGTGGTTGTGTGGTCGTGCAGTACTTGGGTACTTCGAGTAAGCGAGATTGTAACGCGTTGACGCCATCAAGTGTCAAAGCTCATTAGTACAATACGCTTCGCCCTGTCGAGGCCGATGGCATCACGGGTGCAACCGATATTTCAAGATGCATTGTGCTCTTCAATGGCTGATTTTGAAGCGCTCACCAAAATCCCTTATTTAGAACAAGATATATACCTACTGTAATATCCTGAGAAATGCCCGACCCCCAAAAAAGATAAGCCACCCCTATTTTTGGCTTGACATGCTATTTTTTTTAAACACCGAAAGATAACCCTCTTTTAGTAACCATAGTATTTGGATCAGTGATGGCCTCGACGTAAATGCATTTAGTTAGCTATGGTGAGACATAAGCGAACATTGCTGACTAGGAAGCACAGTCATCCTTGCTTCATTGCCCCTCGCCGCAATAAGAAGTCTGGCAGGGACACATAACCCCAAATAGCATTCCTTAAAATTTTCTTAATTGCATACCAAAAGTCAACCCACCCCTACTTTTCACCCGATTTGCTTTTGATTTTAGGTGGGCTAACTCTCGGGATAATACGGTAGTCATATGTTCAAGATACAAGCATAGATTTTCACTTATAAATATAATTGATCATATTCAACTTCTTTTTTAACGCAGATGATAAAGCCAACGTGGACTTATCATTTGCGTTTTTGCACCACCAGTCTAGAGCCTGTTGCACGGGCGGTAACTTTAGTGCGCCACCACGCTTCAACCACACTCCCAATCTTTCTCAAATGTACTGATTTAGGGGTTCTCAATGGTGCTCAGCATATTTCTAATTGGAATCATAGTTTATTTTCACTAATTGAAAAGTTTATAACATATTTTAGTTAAATATTAAAATTATCGTAAAAATTATCTATCTGTATTATGTCCCCCTGGCCGTATAACTCATCTATGCAAACCGGATTTGTAGCTTTCAAAAATTTTTCGTAACCAAATCTATAGCCTAAAAAAACAGGCTGCATGACTGCCAATTGTTTAATATATGAACACGGGGCAAAGGAGTTCTTAAACCCACATGCATTCATCCATTTTTTGATCCCAGGGTCATTTGGGCGGTATATCAAGAGGCCAACGATGTCTACAGATGACAGCTGCAGTAAGAAAACTATTTTCACGAATAAAATTAATAAAACAGAAACAAGATATGTCGTGCAAAGAGAAGAGAGTGTAGGAGCTCAATTTGTACAAGCCTCACCTTGAGGGTTTGGTAGATCTGCCGGATCATGCTGAGGGAGAGGGCATTCAGGGCCTTGGGTCTGTCCAGGGTGATGACGCCTTTGTTGCCAACCCTCTCTGCTATCACATTGCCCGCCTCGGTCGACATGGCTCTCTGAGAAGCAAAGGGCCCACTCTATCAGGACCCAGAGAAGGAACGTCGAAGCAGTCACACGACTTCGATGAAGTTTTCTTTATTGCTTAGTCTAGTCGATAAGATACCCTACTCATAGCATCTGGGAGAAAACAAGCCTTCTCTTCCTGCCACATTTACTTTTTTGAGTAAAGAGAGTGGAGATAACATTACCACTTTTGTCATCATTGTTAATGTATCCAACGAGAGCAATTTTGTCCTGTTAGCCCGAAAGCACTCCAATGATGCATAGCAGTGCTACTCATAGTGCAAACCAATGCTGCTGCAACTCATCTTGAAGATATTTCATGCTAACCTATAAGAAGGATTCCGTGTTATTGAAGTTTATTTCTTATGAAATTCGGCGAGTGTTTTACGGAGTTTATTTTTTACTGAAAATCCGGAGTTATCAGAGTTTCCTTCTGTTAGATTGCCAATCCTCTGAAATTCAAAATTTTTACTGTGTTCCCAAACTTAAAAGATTGAAAAAAAAAAAAAAAAATTAGCTTTTCTATTTTGGTGAACAAGGAAGATTAGCGATGCTGTACTATGGAGGGAATGAAGTATTTATAAATGTAAGAATTAAGGTGTGATTGGGTAATCGGTTATTTGAACGATTAAAGAATCAGCCATATATGTAACGATCCGGGGTTGTTATTTATTTTGTAACCACAGTGACCATGGCCTTGTGATCGCTGTGGCACACCGCCATAGGGTGTACGCTGACGGCAGGCACATTCTTCGTGAAGACGAGGTCTATACACGTCCAATGCCTGGTCGTGGGCACCGTAGGTTCGTAAAACCTACGGTGCCCACATAAAAAAACAGAACTGCTCTAAACTGAAACCAATCTGGAGAGGAAGAGGAGAAAGTTACCGAAAGTCACATGCCTGTGCTACTTCTTTTTTTCAATCAGAGTATTTGCAGATTTTAAAAAGCCACAAAAAATGGTTATACTATTTTTTGTCTATTTTTGGTATTGAATGTGTGCCTTCGATGACCCACGACTTTGATTATGTTTAGTGAATGTGTTTAAACTAGTGATGGGCCAAACTTTTGCCGAATTGAAAATTTGGCACCAAATCTTCGGATTCGGCAAAGCTGAACTTTTGCCAAAACTTTTCTAAAGATTCGGCGAAAATACATTGTTACCAGACTTAACGTTGATATTTAGTTTTTTCTGGCAAAAAAATGTTTTATGTTGTTTTCGTCTTAACTTAAATGCAACATGTAATTCATAATGATTAAAAAGCACAACAAGAGGACGGACAAACAAGGAGACACAGACGCAGCGCTACTTACGACTGAACTTTATTTCTGCTGCAGCTCGGTATATATTACTGGCAACAACACAAAAAGTTAGGAAGAAATAAGATACACATCATAAAATGTTTAAAAAAACATAAAATGGCTAAAATTCCTGAACACTCTCAAGACGCTAAAGAATAAAAATAGGCACGGAACGAAAGTGCAAAAGAAAAAAGAGAAACCAGTGGTCATACCATACCTACATAAAGTGTCCCATAACCTGAAAAGAGTGGGGGTTAACATTGTTTTTTTAGCACCTGTCAAGTTGGCTAGTTTATGTAAAAAGGTAAATTCCACCTCGAACACCATTAAGCAGACACGGCTGCACGAAAAAGCACAAAACTTGCTTTGTTGAGTGTACAGAAGAGGTTGTGTACTCCGTGCCATTATCGTGCGGGCATTATTATGTGGGGCAGACTGGTCGCTGCCTAAATGAAAGATTGAGAGAACACCATTACAACGTCGATGCCATCATATCGGGACACCTCGGTGTGCATTGCCGGGATTGTGGCTGTACTCCGATTTTCACAGATTGTACAGTACTAAACAAAAACAGAAACAAAACCACAAGGGAAATACTCGAGGCTCAAGAAATTGCTAGGTAAGGGCTGCAATGTGTCAGTGCACCCTCTTTATCGTGATCCGAAAAAGAATTGCAGTTTCTTGACCAAGCATGACTAGTTTTGGGTGGGTGCCGATGAGTGATGCAGGAATTTTAGCCTTTTTATGTTTTTTTAAAAATTTTATGATGTGTATCTTATTTCTTCCTAACTTTTTTGTGTTGTTGCCGGTAATGTATACCGAGCTGTAGCGGAAATAAGGTTTAGTTGTAAGTAGCGCAGTGTCTGTGTCTCCTCCTTGTTTGTCAGTCGTCTTGTTGCGCTTTTTAATCATTATGAATCACCAACTTGCCCAACTTTATACCCTCATCAGATGTAATTTATATTGACACAGTTATTAGTAAATAAGGTGATATTCTACAAGGTAAATGTATCAGTGTCGTTTTTGTGTGTTTACTGGCAATTTTACTGACCGCTTGCAGAAGTGGTGTGACAACGAGGTTGGGTAGTAGCGGCCACAGTCACGAATCACACTACGAAAGTTTCGGTTTTGAGGCCTCATCAGCGCAAGCCTGCAGGTGTTTGTACATTGTTAAAATAAAGGTAATAACACTGCATTCTTACTTTCTCTGGGAGTCACCGTTTCGTGCGCAAAAACGAATGCAACGGTTGCTGAGCCTTCACCGGAAGAGATAACAATATTATTGTAAATATGCCTATTTTTTGGTTTGAGTCACTTGACGTCAGCTTTGCATGAAAGTTTATGCCTCATATTCGCAAACGTCGCGTTTTTAACCTTTAAAATGGTGGTTTCTAGTGTAAGGACACACATGGACGTTTAGGAAGATGGGAAAAGTTAGGAATGTCTGATCTGAAACGTCGAGCATGATAGTTTTGAGTTTAGTTTTATGCAGATACACAAATACCGCAAAATAATGCTAATTCAAATGCAATATCCTTTTCTTTTGTCACGAACTACTTGTGAGCCGAAAAGAGGATTGTTATAATTGCGAGGACTGCTTTAAAGTAATTGTCAATCAATGTTTGACCTACTTTGTTGCATCACTGAAAAGGTCAAATGGAAATCACATTATCCAGAATGTACAGCATCATTTGCCACTTGCGCAGTAGACTGCGTAACCACACTCGCTCGCAGACGCACTGTTACTGTGTTGCCTACTCCACACGTCGCCGTAATCGTTGGTTGTACTGCACTGTACGATGGCAACTGCACAACTGCACGGCTTCCATTTGCAATCCACGGCCCCGTCACGTTCGCGTGCGTGCACAAATATTTGCCGAATTTTCGCCGAACTTTCCTTCAAAAGTTTGGCATGAGCCGAACTTTGCCGAATCTGAAGTTTGGCAGATTCGGTCCATCACTAGTCTAAATCATAGAAAACGGCCCATGACCACAGAGAAGAGTGAGTGCGACTCAAACAGGCAAGTTCTCAATCGGCAGTTTTCGGGTGGAAAGAAAACAAATTTTGGACTGCAAATTGTGTTCCAGGTAGTTGGGCTCTGATATGTCACGTACAAAGAAAAACCTTGGTGAGCATAAATAGTTTGTTCGTGTCGCTTTAAGAATTTGTAAGTAACTCTTTAAACCAGCTGATATTCTAGCAGTGGCTTCAACAAATTATTAACTATTGGCATTCCAATTTTGAGAATTCTATTCTTCACTGACACAAGCAATTGGGCATCTCAGGCACTGGGGACAAGAAAAATAAATTGAACTGGTTAATGCCACATACCACAGGATGGAGATGTAAATTGGTCTGGTTCTTCAGGAATCTGCAGAAAAAAAACAATAATGTTCTTTTTTTAAATTTGTTTTTGTAGGAGTTAGTCATGGGTCGGGATCAATGCATACTTTTAACAAGTCCTTGATGAATTTTTAACGCTGCACGAGTCCAAATTTACTTCCATTGCAACATAGTAGAGCAATAATTTGTACTCACTAAGAATTTTCACTATGCTCATTTCATTAACAAATGCAAGATAAGGATTGTCCAATGTGCAACACAATTAGCACAAACATGCTACTGGTACTTTTCATATTTTACTAAATATTTTGATAAAAACAAAATTTTACCATCTAGGCTGCTCCCCTGGATGAGGACGTTCCATCACCGTTTCGACAACAGCACTTCAGTTGTGAGAACAAAACAAACAGAAAAGACCAGCAGTGCCTTGCTCGCGCTAAGTAGCTGTGTCATGCTCTGCATGACACAGCTACTTAGCGCTTAGCGCGAGTAGCTACTTATGCACTCGCGCTTCATAGTTCTCTCGGGAAATCTGGCTGTGCACTGCAACAGATGTGAGTGCGTCCCGAAGTTTGACAACACCATTATCTTAGCCAGAAACCAAAACAAAATGACAAGTGGGACGAAGAGTTCTTCATAACGGGGTGCATTGAAGGCACATGTGTCAGCGCTCCATCCCCCTGTTGGGCTCTGAGGTGGCATTTTTAAAATCTTTCGAAAAGTAGCTAGTAAAGCATTGATTTGATGATGTCGCATTTCTGTCATCACATGTCTTGATTTCATGGTGTGTGTGCATGTGTGTGTGTGTGTGCATATATATATATGTGTATGTGGTGCTTTTCAGTGAGTAAACTTCAGTTGCAAGTAGCGCTCTCTCTTTCACTTGCCCGTTGTTTTATAGCGCTTTTACCCTCTGAACTATCTGCGCTTCAATTAGCTTTCACTGAAAAAATCATTCAAATGTTGTAAAAAATGCACTTACAGTATGGTAGTGTTGTAGCTATGCCGTAAGCAACACAGTGTCTAGGGTTACAGTCATGGGGTAGAGATCTGCTCTGGCCAGAGCCTGACCAAAGCACGAAGTAGCATGTATAAACCGGATTGAACCCAACCAGAGCCCGATGAAGTTTGTGCAAAACGGAGAAAAACCCGACCTGAGCTTCACGCAGTTTGTATAAACTGGACTGAACCTGCCTCGAGTTCGACAGTTTGCATAAACCAGGCAGAAACTGACCTGAGCCCAACCCATTTGTATAAACTGGACCGAACTCAACCTAAGTCCAACAGTTTGTATAAACTGGACCTAACGACCGACAGTTTGGCCGTTTGGCATCAAAGTCAGGGACACGCAGGATCAGAAGCCAGCAGTTGTGCAAGCCGATGAGCAAGTCGACATACGGATCTCAAAATATATGATCGCGCCTTGTCAAAGCTAATACACTTACACGCTATAAACAAAATATAAGTAAACCTAAGCAACGACATTGAGGTAAAGCCCAGTACCTTTTCGCCAGTCCAAAGGTCGTCGACGTCCGCACAATTTCACGGAAAGACATTCTGCTATTTCCCAGTTTTTATCTCACGTGCCTGACGTAAAGCAGTGCGCTTGTAGCGATGCTTTTACCCTGTGCCGTGGAAAGCACTCGGAGGGGGAAAGGAGGCGTCAGCTTTGCAAAAGTGCACTGTATAATTAGCGTAATTCGACCGTAGCGACAGAGCAGCGGAGCAGCTTTTGTGCAGCCGCCTTCACTTTAGCGACTTTGGCTTAGTCTTGTCTGTCTGCTGTTAGGTTATGGGTTTGGCAGTATCTTGTGTAAATCAGTTGTGAAACTTGTGATGAATTGCTCATGCACTGAATTGTAATACAGTTTAACAGTTACGCTGTCTGTGTTTGTATTCACTTCCTATGATCTGTGTAGGTTATTCAAAGTTAACAAAAATTACAATAAAAAATACAATGCCTAAAACAGACAAGTGCGTTTACAGTCTGCCAACTATGGCAATGTTTAATTATGGCGGTCTGAAAGAGTGTGGAAAGGATGAAAAGCAAGGGAAAAGCGTAAATTTCCACTGTTTTCACGTTTTCTAAACGTTTTCGGAGTTTTTGTGTATTCGTCGATCGTTTTTGAACAACCTAACTCGTTATTGTGCATAACAAACGCTTTGAAATTCGGAGATTATACATAAAAAAGGCCAGAACAATTTTACTCGTCCGCAGTGAACCGAAATGGGAAGTGTGCATTCGCAATGGCCATCGTTTAGGTAGACAAATTATGCTCCGTGTGTGAAGTTCCTGACAAATTCCTGACGCATTTAATATATGTTTTTCGTGTTATTAAAAATATGTCCGACTTGGAACACTTCCGGACTGAGTGGTTGAGTGAGCTCCAAGATGGAACCGACGGTACACGCCGAAGCGACCGACCCGGCGGCTCGCTTGAAAACGAAACTACATCCCCAGCGTCGAATGCCAGCAAGGGCAGCAACGCGCATACTGGTCCGCCCAAGGACAATTACTTCATCAGCGACCGAAATCGGTTTTGCAAGCAAACCATCAAGCTGCAATCGAATACCGCGTGCCAAGGAAATCCTCGTGCCTTTGAAATCGCGGATCGTCTGCTCCAAGGGGAGATCCTGACAGACGACGACCTTTACGTCCAGCGCGGGAAAAAGAGGGACGACCTCGGGAATGATCAAGACGACCACGCCGAACGGAGAAAGATGCAGAAGGTCACAGAGCGACACAAACACGACTCTGACAGATCCTTGCTGGACACTTTCATCAGTGACCTGGTAGGTGAAAAGTTCATCCGATCCAGTCCGACGAACCTGGTCTCTGCTTCTGTCTGGGCTGTGTAGGAGGCAACCAATTAATTCTGTAATAATACTTTTTTATTTTATTATCACATTGTCTAGCGTTACGTCCAACCGAACCTGAAATAAAAATTAAAATTACCTCCGACGTAATTTACCTCAAGGTTTTGAGTTACGTTCGACGTAACCCAATATGAAAATTACAGTGACGTCCGACGTAACCCAATATGAAAATTACAGTGACGTCCGACGTAACCCAATATGAAAATTAAAGTTACTCCCGCGGAACTCGCAATAAAAATTAAAGTTACGTCCGATCGAACTCGAGAGAAAGAGTAAAGTTACGTCCGACGGAACCCGAAATAAAAGTTAAAGTTACATCCTGTGTAACCTACACAACCTAAGCGTATGTTTCGCTTTATGGCCCATACATGACGAGAATACAAAAAAATGTTGTGAATTATTACTGCGTTACGTCCGATGCAGCATTAGTGAATCGGTTAAAATCTCAACTCTATCTGCCATTCTCAGAAAGCGTCGCAAAAAATCGTCTTAAAGGATAAAAAAATATTCTTAAAGAAAGGGAAAATATGAGAAAGGAAAATAAGTAATGTGACGGGCATCTGTACCTGGAGGTACAGCTGGAGTCGCAATTTTAACCAATGACGAATGCTGCATCGGATGTAACGTAGTAATAATTCACAATATGTTTGTGTTCCCGTCATGTATCAGCCGTAAAGCGTAACATTCAATAAGGTTGGGTAGGTTACACAGGACGTAACTTTAACTTTTATTTCCGTTGGACGTAACTTTCATTTTCATTTCGAGTTTCGTCGGACGTAACTCGAAAACTTGGGGTAAAGTTAAGTCGGACGTAAATTTGGTTTTTAATTCGAGTCCGTTGGACGTAGCTTTAATTTTCACATTGGGTTACGTCGGACGTAACTCAAAACCTTGTGGTAAAGTTACGTCGGACCTAACTCTAATTTTTATTCTAGGTTTCGTCGGACTTAACGCTAGACACTGTGTTTTATTATTGGCTGTTGAAAATGAATGCAGCTGACTTAAGGCAGAATTTGCTTGAGAGTAAAACAGAACACTAAAAGTGATTACCATCCCGTCGATTCTCGGTATTTACCTTTGAATCGCTCACAGCTTGGCAGTGACGGCAGTGCTAGACGGAGCACAAGTTCGTCTGCTTTTTGCACAGGGGTTGCAATGATATCAAAACTCCTAACTCTTATTGGCTGATTGAAAGAAAATTAGTGGGTAGACCTTTAGCATTCAGGCCTCTAGCATTGAGGCATCCTTTCAGTCAAAGTCATTGCAATCAGTGTTCGGCGTCGTTTTGACTTCACTGCAACTCCTGCGCAAGAAGCAGACGACTTGCGCTCCGCATAGATCAGGTGATTGAACAGTCACACCTCCAGCTGTTCACTTTGTTGGGGAGAAGAGCTGTTCACTTTGTTGGGGCTCTGGGGACAACAAACGAAGATGTTTGAATTGTTTCTGCTGCATCTGGAACCCGTGTCCCAACCAGACTGTATAAAAAAATGTTTTCTTCCTTTTCAGGTTTTTTTAAAAGTTGATGCATCCAGCTGCCAATTTGTCTTCAAGAATGACCATTATTACTTTGTAACTTTTGCACTCGCAGAACGAGATCGTCGAGATCCCCTTCTTCGACATCTGCTTGCCACGGGAAGTGGCTATCAATATATTCAGGCACCTCGATATCGTCGACCTGTGCAGGTGTGCTCAGGTAAACCTGCCTCCTAATTGTTTTTGCCCTGTACATTCACTCACTTGTATTCATTTCAGTTTAACTGATTGGTGAAACAATATGAAAGGAATGAGCTAGAGAGATCAGTTAGTCTGCTATTTCCTCAGAAGGAAAGCAAAAAAAATAAATGTTTTGCTGGTTTGTATTGGGTATTTATTTCCTAAGTGAGGCTATCTTTAATTTCATAAATATTAAAGGTGGTCGAGCGGATGTATTGTATTCCAAAATAAAGCCCTCTTGTAGAATGATTTCTCTACATCTGTTCCTTGTTTTGTCTCGTGGAGGTGGAGCGTGCTGGTAAAGTTACGGTGTTAGAGAACAATTACATAAATGACGATGACAGGACGAACTGGAGGGAACTAGTTTTATGACACCCTCTCAGGACCAAATGAGCAGAAGCTGTCCCAGCAGGAGAAGAGCACACAGCAATTTATTTCAAATGGCAGGAAGGATTTATAGAAGGGAGTAAATGACCAACGACCAAATTAACTGTGGATGGCAGGGACCCAAAAGATTGACTTTAGATGTGGTTGCAAAAGTTTCACCAAGCTCTCGTAACCGAAACTAGCCAGTTTCAGTTACGAGGCTTTTTCTAGTTCACGGCACTTCCGAAATTTCTAGATTATGCGATTGGCTTTCAATTTGCAAGCCAATATCGTAGTCCAACGTTTATTGTGTTTTCCTATGTCGCACATTGCCAATTTGCGGAGGAACATTGGTAATTAAAGGGGCCGTGCAACGATGTTGGTTAAATAATCGTGGTACCGTAAAATATCGCGGAAGCACCCACTTCGCTCAAGCGCCCACTATTAGCATTTCCCAAACTTGGGAATTCTACAAATTATACGTTAAGCGCCTGGTTTGATCGGACAAGTGCTCATGTCTAGATTAAGCCTGAAGTGGCCAAATTGGCCCCTTCGTTTATTTACACGTCTGGACGGAGTAGTAGGTGGTCCGAGAGCTTTGCCGTTGAAAAAAGGAGCCGGCTGGTATCGATGTTCCCTCTCGGGCTGGCCGGGTTTGAGTGCTGAGTGCCCACGCGGCGCGCGCTGCTAACGTGGCTCTTGTCACGAGCCACATGGTTATTGTCGTTGCCGCTTAGCCGCAATAAGTCTTCCCCCCTTAGTGGAGCAGAGGTTTGTTTGCTCCGCGTAACTGTTTTGTGGGGTGAGGTTGTTAAACCAGATGAGTGTGTGACGATTGCAGTGTCACAGATGGCTCCTTCCATGAATGCAGGCTTCACCCGGTCGATGGTAATAACGTCCCTTCGTCCATTGATCAGGATGGTCAAAGTCTTCTGATTTCTTGAGATGACTTCAAATGGACCATCGTAGGGTGGTGTTAATGAAGGACGAAGACATGCGTGCATTTGTCCAGTTCGGTATGAACACTTGCTGTGGCGTTTGACGTCGAGGCAGTGTCGGGCGCAATGATGTGAAAAGGTCTCGAAGGTCTTGAACATAGCTAGGGAGGTCCGGTAGTGGAGTGGGCAGATGAGTAAGAAATTCGTCCGGGAGTTGGAGCGTTGTGCCGTATACAAGTTCGGCGGCCGTACATCCGACGTCTTCCTTAAAAGTGGATCGGATGCCTAAGAGCACCAAGGGTAGATGGTTGACCCAGTTGCTCCTGTCCTCTCTAGCGATGAGTGAGGCCTTCAATTGCCGATGTAGTCGTTCGACCATGCCATTGGCAGACGGATGGTAGGCAGTCGTGTGTATATGGCGCGCTCCCAGCATTTTAGCGAGTGATGCGAATAATCTGCTTTGGAACTGCCTGCCACGATCTGTGGTGATGATGGATGGGCAGCCGTAGCGTGTAATCCAGCTGGTGACGAATGCTTGTGCGACGGTTTCCGCGGTGATGTCGGGTATTGGTGTGGCTTCTGGCCATCTAGTAAAACAATCCACGCATGTGAGTATATATCGGAACCCCTGGGATGTCGGGAGGGGCCCGACTATATCTACATGCACGTGGTCGAAGCGAGCGTCTGGTGGTCGGAAAGGATGCAGCGGGCTCTTGGTATGTCGCTGCACTTTGGCCCGTTGGCAAGGAGCACAGGTCCGCGTCCAGAGGGTAATGTCCTTGTTCATTTGGGGCCACACATATCGTGCGGAAATGAGCCGACGGGTCGCTCGAGTACCGGGATGGCTGATGTCATGGAGCGAGTGGAAGATGGCACGCCGAAAATCGGGGGGAATGTATGGCCGTGGTGTCCCCGTTGAGGTGTCGCATATTACGTCACAGTTTGAGAGCGGCAGCGGAACTGGCCGAAGTCGTAACGATGTAGAAGAGGCTTCTGCAATTCGGCGTCATCTTGTTGAGCCTTCGCCAGTCTGGAGAAATCCAAGTCAGGGGGCGCAGTGAGCGTCTCGATACGCGAAAGAGCATCGGCCGCCTCGTTATTCGCTCCAGGCACGTGACGCAGATCTGTTGTGTACTCGGAGATGTATGCGAGAAGCCAGTTTTCACTGGAAGTGGGATCGGGGCTCCCCCGATATCTTAGGGCAGTTCCCTGTCTCGTCTGGACTAAAGAATATGAAAACAAATTTTACCTGCGTGCCTTAGTTCTTCCTAAAACAATTGTAAAATAATTGATGTTTTGAGCACCTTCCAACCACTCAACTCTTATACAGTCTTCTGAGTCATGTGCGCAGTGACCTGTTCCCAGGTGCATTGGGGACGCGGAAAACCCGGTTGGGTTCTCCTTCAAAACCTCCGGCGCGCGCGGCCTCTGCTTCCGATTCACATGGCGACCTTGACGGTTGGTCTGAGCGATGAGGCGAGGGGAAAAGGGGGGCACAAAAGCACTGATGTACCGATGTAGTGGCAAGAAGATGAACCGATGTAGTAGCAACCAACGTTGATAGCAACGGGGTAAGACTTTAAAGGCCGCCGTACAGTTCGCGCTTTCCACTTTTTCTGCGTTTCATCCTCTCCTGCCCTCCTTTCCTTCCTTCACCGCCCTCCCCCACCTGTTTACCGCCCTCCCCCGAGGGGACAACACGGAAAGTGGATTAGGAGACGCCTCCGTTAATCCGGCCTAACCCGCCGAAAAGCTGCTGCTTGACTAAAATTATTTCGCTGCTCGAAAAAAAAAAACAAAAAAAAACGCCGCGGGCAGCGACCACATGCGCTTTGCCGGATGCGCAACGCTCCGTGCGCCTTGAAAAAGCTTGTATGCATTAGACGAACATTTTTCGAAGCGCGGCAGGTTTAGTGTAGGTCCTATCATAATGGTCCTGCAAGATTTCCCTGTCCGCCACAAGCTAGCCAATAATTCAAGAACATAACGACGGCAGCGTATTCAAACAGTGTGAAATAAAATGTATATAATATTTATAAGAACACCGTTGCCTTTACTGCTTGGCTTTCAAATTTGTAGCGTTGCCAATAATCATAATCAAACTATTTTTATGATTGAAGACCCCTCGTCGTGCATCGACCCCAAGATTACGCTTACGTGAAACATGATTCGGCGCGGGAGCAACTCGAATCACCGTAAACTTTTTTTTTTTTCAACGTTGATTTTGCTTTTTAATTTAGCTGAGGTACCACTGGCAGAACCCGAATCGCATACTTGGAAGGTATATACCGTCTGAAAACTCATATAGCTGGTTGAGTGAATGCAATACTATCGCATTCGTTGAAGCTTGATTTGTTGATTCGAACTTCAACAAATCACACGCACCCATTCTCCCCATTCCTGTTTACGCAGTCATAGTCGTTCCCTCACGATGCAATACGAGTACAAGTAACTGCAGTTTATGCATTGTTGATGTTGCACAGCCGTGATCGCACGGTTTTTAAAAGCGCTATAATTTCCGGTACACTGATTGATTTCTGTCTCACCGCCGTGACGCCACACGAGAAAAGCGATTTCGTTCTGTCTGTGAAATTAGGAACACAAAAATCAAGCTATAATTCCGGTAATAAAACAAAGCGAAATGGATCTCTGCAGCCAATACCCAACCATTTGCGAGGTGACTAGGCGAAAACATATATTACCTCCGTGCCTTTACCCTCTGCAAACCGCCAGAGAGAGTCATACAAACTCCTTGGAGCTATTGTCAACACGATTGCGTTTGCAAGCCGGTAGTTTGACTCGGCTGGGATTCGTCCCTTTCATAGCTCTCTATGAAACCAGAAAGGTAGATACTTTTCTACATTGCGTTTTGCGCGGGGCCTCCAGTTATTTACGGTCAAAATCACACTGGGGGCGCTTCAGCAATGTTCACTCTGGTCGACACACGTGCACTCTAAAAATGCCAGTTGTCTGCCTTCCCAAAAGATACTTGAAGAGTCAATCATAGAGACCGACGGATAACGAGGCCGAAATTATGCTTATACCTCAAAAATATTATCACACAAATTTGGCCTCGTCATTCCCAAACTGGTTGTCGGACGAAATTCTCTATGCGTATTGCAAGCCAGGATTGGTAATAGTAACATAAGATACGTACGGCAGAATTCCCTGCCATAAATAAAATGATTTGGCTAACGCCGAAGTAACGCGAAATAGGTGCAAAGAGTTTTGCAAAAGGGAGCGTAAACCGAAAAAAAAAAAGAAAGAAAAAAGAAGAAAAGGAGAAATAAAAAAAAAAAATCTCTGGTGATGTGGCCAAAAAAAATTTCTGTTCATGTGATTTTTATTGACACGTGACCCAACAAAAAAAAATATAAACGAAATAAAAAAATAACACGAGAAAAAAACCATCCCCTGCCCGGTTTCAAAAGCTAGGCCCTCTTGATCGTGAAACTAGCGCGCTATTCGTTGCGCCTAGTTGCGCCAACATAACTTTTTTTTTCTTTCTATATTGCAAGTTGCGCCGACATAACTCTGCCTGTAATACTCACGCATTCTCACATCATAGGAGAAAGCTTAGGTGCCTTCGTAGTTTTTTATGTATGTGTTATTTTTATTTGTGGCAAGAGTTCACGTTCCAGAATGCTGTTAGAGTTTTGGAGCATAACGAGTTTTC